AGTTTTAGGCTATAGATTACGGAAATTTATCTAAGATATTAACGGGTTTTAAGAACTAAAGAATCCGGAAGAAGACGAATAAATTATACGCCTACTACCGATTAAATATAAGGACCAGGAATCGACGACTACTAACGATCCCTAAGCTAAAGGTAGCCTTAGTACCCAATCCCCCCTACTTCCTCGTATTAGCGGACGTAAACCTCCGCTATAATAACCTCGTTAAGGTTATAACGCGCCCCCTCCCTCCCCCCGGACCAGAAAGGATTAAGGCTTTTTAGTCGGGGAAGACCTCTATACCGTATAGGTAGAAGGGAGATACCTAATTAACCCTTGGAACGCGCCCGCTCCCTTGCTATCCCCCTAACTAGGAGGGCTAAAACGAAACTAAGAAAAAGGTAGCCGAAATAAAGAAAGAGAACGCCGATCGGGTTAGATCGGCAAAGGTAAACCGGATTAAGTTAGCTATAAAGTAATAAAGGAACCTCCTTATAATATTAAACGAAAAGTTAAAGGCGCGGCCGTAATAATTAAATAATAGCCGGAGGAATGGAGTTTCGTAGTAGTTTTTAAAGGGAGATATTAATCGGGATATACCGTACTATCCTTTTTAGTTTAATTATTCCTTACGGTATAATTAAACTAAGAAGACTATAATAATACGGTAAGACATATCCTCTTAATATATTACGTAATACGCTACGATAGGCCTTATACTTATATAAAGTAACTATAGCTTCCGTAAGTATAGGATATACTATGCTTATTATCGAATTTATTACCTAGCTAGATTACTATCTTTATTATTTTTACCTTAATTAAAGATTCGTTTTTATCATTAGATTCGTCGTTCTCCGATTAATATATTTATTTTAATTATAAGCGCTTAAGTTACTTCGTCGTACCGCTATAGCCGAATAAATAACTTTTACGTTTTACCTCTTTTCTCCCCTTACCTCTTATACCTTCGGGCTAGCGACTATTATATCTCTACGACTAAGGAGCATAACTAAGATACGATAACTATATTAAATTCCTTACCTCTCGATTAATATAGCGATATTAGTTTTATCTATCTTAGATCATCGTACGTACTATAGTCTTCGATAGAGTATACTTTCGAGTGAACATATCCGGGTCTCCAACATCGCGTACGCTCTACACCTCCTTAATACGGGAAAGTATTTATAGCGTTAGTAACGATTAATAATTTAAGAGAGCTAACGAAACGACGGCCGCGCGTTTAAAGGCCGTAGTACGAGCGAATTACCTTTATTTTAATTTAAACGCCGGCGCGGCTTTAGGTTAACCGTAAAGGCGTAATAGCTTTAAATACGAGCGTAATTTTAACGCTATTCGAAAGAGGTTATATTAAGTAACGAATTACCTTCGAATTAAAATAACCCGTAGTAATACGTATTTTTACGCCTTTAAAATTCGTATCGATATTAATAATCGCGTAAGCCGAACTTCTTAATTAAAACGTTATTACGGAAGAGTTAATTCCGAGCGTAAAAATGTTACGCGGTAATATAAGGATTAATTTTTAATAGCTCGCGGGATAAGCGTATGCGTTAGATTTTAAGGGAAAAGAGTTATTCTTAAAAGCGTAATATATATTAAAAAAGGCTCCGCTAATAAAGATTAATAAGGCTTAAGGTAAGAAAAGCGCTAAAAATCCCGAGGTACTTAGTAAAAGTAACGTATTCGCGTTTTCGTTTAAATTAAAAAGGCCGCGTACCTTTTAAATAAACTATAACGCGCGTAATACTCCTTAATAACGCATTAACCTCGGTATTCTTAAGGTTCTTTAATACTTACTCGAGATCTTACCGCGTAATTTATTATTATTAGGCGCCTTTTTTCCTTACGAAATATTTACTTATTACTATCGCTTACTAGCGTATAAGTATATTAAGCGTGATAAAACGGAAAGTAAGGTATTACGCGAATCGATTATTACGTTAACGTATAACGTACTATATCTAATCGTCGAAATCGATCTTACGCTACTTTAGATATATAAATTTAGCTTCTTTACGCGGAAATAAGGTAGAAAACGCTAGTAAAAATAACGTAGTTAAACGTATAAATTCGTTAATAAAGGTCTAGCGAATAAAAGGCATAAATAAATAATAGGTACCTATAAGCTTAACGAAATAACCTTTAGAAATAAGCGCCTCCTTTAATTCTAACTTTAAACGCTTTATTTTAATTTACTTTAACGTAACGTTTAATATAATAAATTTATCGTATTAAGCCTTTAATCCTTCTAGGTCGCCCTTTATAAGTAGGCTAACCTAGAGCGCTTAACCGTTATCGACGAAGTCTTAAATATTAAGCTACTTAAAAACATTACCGTCGTTAAGTAGCTCTTCTAACGCGGCGCGATTTTATTTAAAGTCTTTATAACCCGGGTAGTTATATTTTAAATACTTAAGCTATACCTCGATAACGCGCCGGCGTACTTTAAACTTAGTTCGAAATTAGGTTATTTACTCGGGATTTTACGCTAGTTCGCGTAGGCGTAATAAAACGATATTAAAATACTAAGAAAGAAGAAAAAAATAATCGTATATTTTATTAACGTTACGTATAAAATATATAACGTAACCGTAATATTTATATTATTAACCGCGGATTATAAGTATATTTATTATTACGTAAATTCGCGTAATAAATAGTTCTTCGATTATTATTAGCTTTAATAATAAATTAAAAGAAGGAAAGATATTAAAGTTAAAATAATTACTTACGTTAAAAAAGAAGGACTTATTTACGCGCCTTTTTTAGTCTTTATTACGATAACGCTTATAAATATTCGCGGTATTTAAATTTATATTAAATTAATATTTCCCGTAACGACTATAGTATTTACGTCGTTCTTACTTTAGCGCTAATTAAAACCGTATTAAAATCGCGTAATCGGTATCGCTAATTACGTTAACGTCGAGGTCTTTCTCCTACCGTAACGGCTTAATTATAAACGAGCTTTAACGATTAAAAACGCTATTAAGTTCTTAAGAGCGAGCGGTATTTAAGGGAAAGGTTTAATTAAAAGGTCGGCTTAAGCGCGGTTACTTTCGCGTTAGTTTTAACGTAAGGGGTTTTAACGTAAAAAGCCGTAAAAGTCGGCCTCGACGTACTTATACTTACTTTAATATTAATTCTAACGTAAACGCGCGTAAAGGTCGGCTTCGACGAACTAGCTCTAGCGTTAATTCTAACGTAAACGCGCGTAGAGGTCGGCTTCGACGAATTAACTCTAGCGTTAATTCTAACGTAAACGCGCGTAAAGGTCGGCTTCGACGAACTAACTTTAGCGCTAGTTCTAACGTAAACGTACGTAAAGATCGGCCTCGACGAACTAGCTCTAGCGCTAGTTCTAACGTAAGCGTACGTAAAAGTCGGCCTCGACGAACTAACTCTAGCGCTAATTCTAGCGTAAACGCGCGTAAAGGTCGGCCTCGACGAGCTAGCTTTCGCGTAAGTATTCGAGGAGGTCGCCTCCGGGGCGCTAGTTCTAACGCTACCGTTAAATCCGCTAATTATAATTATATTATTAACGAAGAAAGTAAAGGAATAGGAGAAGGGTTACCGTTATTACGTCGGATTATCCTATGCCGTTTTCGAATTTATTATCGTAATACGTTACTTACGCGTAAAACTACTTTTTTAGCGCTTAAATTATATACCCGAGGCTACGCGATAATAAAATATAATCGATAATAAGTAATATTTAATCGCGGAGCCGGTTAAAGCGTTTTAAGCGTAAGATCGGATCGGGAATCCTATATAGAATTAGCGATAAAGTATAAACTACTAACATAGAATATTAACCTAAGTAAAACGGTATATATTTTCGCGGCAAAAGAAATAATTTTTTATAGATATAGCGTAATTTCGTAAATTAATAAATTATTCGATAGCTTAAATTCTTCCGTAAGTACGACATTCTTTAACTTAAAGTAACTTTATCTTAATTAAACTAAAGATAAATTATAAGGATAGATTATAAAATACGGAAAAGAATAAAAATTATATAAATAAGAATAAAAACGTATAAATAAACGCGTTAGTAAATATACGTAAGGATCTTAAGAGATAATAAGGATACGTTAAATAAGAAAACCTTTATTTATCCCGCCGTTTTTATTAGGTATACGTATTTTTAGGAACCCATAGCGCGTTTTTTAGCTAGTAAAAACAGAGTTTCCCCTAAATAATACCTCTTTATAGGGTTATTTATAGGGTTATTTACAGGGTTATTTACAGGGTTATTTACAGGGTTATTTACAGGGTTATTTACAGGGCTATTTACAGGGGTATTTAACCCCGTAATTAATTAATATAACAGGAGGTTATGCGTATTATAACTATCCTCCGGATAGGATAAGGTATGGCGGGGTGAGTCGCGTGGGTGAATCTGCCCGCCATGCATCTAACAATTGATAGCGGCCCTCAGCAGCCAGTTGACAGGAACCCGGATCATCTAACCGGAACGGGTAGTGGTTCAGGTACCTACCTCCTCACCTACAAGTTATTTGGACAGACTTTTTTTTGGTCAGATATCTGAGGTCCCTACCTCGAGGTGCTTACCCTACCTACCTCCTAACAGGTACCTATAACCTCCCCTACCTCCAGACGTACCTCCATACTGGCTTTTGACTGGACGTCCGCCTCGAGGCTGGCTCGAGTCTCCATTTGCGAAAAGACCCCGCTGGACCTTCTTCTGCTTCCACGCGAAGCTGCCTCCGTCAATGAGAACCCCGTCCATTTTGGCGAGAGCAAAGGTCTACGGGCTTCTCTTTACATGTGTCCCCAGGCGTCCTCTCTACGGCCTATGTGTTGCGAGGCCCGTCGCTGATCCCCGTCATCTCGACAACCGCACAGTTAGGCGCTACGGTTCTCGTACCCTGCCGAAGCCGCCTCCGCAGTCCCCCCTCCTGGACTGGGCTGGTCCGAGTCCTTCAGGCGTCAAGAAGCACTCTCGGGGCAAAATGGACGAGATTGACGGTGTCCGGATCGCCGTCGAGGGTTGTGTAGGTCGCCCGGCCACCGGGTACCGGGATCTGCCGTACTAACTCGGCCGTCGTCCAGGGACATGGCACCCTCGACGCCATCTACTCCTCCACCCGCATCGCCTGCGAGAAGCGGGGCTGGCCCAACGTTGATCTTCTGATCATCGCGGGCGATTTCCAGGTAACGACACCCCCAACCCCTCTCTTTACGCGTACGATGAGCGACATAGAGGGCTGACGTGGGTATACGACAGGCTGCCCGCAATGCGGGAGATCTCCTGGCCATGTCTGTACCGTCCAAGTACCGCCGGCTGGGTGACTTCCAGGCGTACTACCGCGGCGATAAGACAGCCCCATATCTAACAATCTTCATTGGCGGGAACCATGAGGCGAGCTCCCACTTGTTGGAGCTCTTCTATGGCGGCTGGGTTGCCCCTAACATGTATTACCTAGGCGCCGCCAACATCTTGCGCTTTGGGCCCCTCCGCATTGCCGGCCTAAGTGGTACCTATAACGAACCCGACTATAACCTGACCCATCACGAGCGCCTGCCGTTTCTTGGCAGAGATGTCAAGAGCGTCTACCATGTCCGTGAGATAGACGTGCGCAAGCTGCTGCTAGTGAGGGAGCAGATCGACATCGGTCTAAGCCATGACTGGCCACAAGGCATAGAGTATCTTGGTGACACCGAGTGGTTGTGGCAGGTAAAGCCTCATCTTAAGAAGGAGAGTGAAAGAGGAGAGCTAGGAAACCCAGCTGCCACGAATATTATGGATCGATTGAGACCTGCCTATTGGTTCTCGGGACACATGCACTGCAAATTCTCCGCCATCAAATCGTACCCTTCAGCTTGGAGCGGCAACCCCAAGTCCGCCACGGCTAAAGCAGAACAGCAGACAGGGGTTTCCGCCGCGGCAGCAGCGACAACGGAGGCCTCGTCTGGGGTTGGTGCGAACCCCGACGAGATTGATCTGGATATGGGCGACGACGAAGGAATTAACGATGAGGCGCCGCCAGCTGAAGCAACTGGCGACGCGAGCTCGGGACCATCGACAAGCGCTGCCGTCGCCGATGGGGTGGTCCCCGATGAACTCCGTGCACAGCTCCCTGCCTCGTTCGCGCCTTCGGCACCAGCAAAGCCTGCGCTGAAGCCAGGCCAGCCTGTCCCTCCCAGTATAACTAATAAGAAAACCCGCTTCCTCGCACTAAACAAGTGTCTCCCGGGGAGGGAATTCCTCCAGCTGGTCGACGCGGTGCCAGTTAAGCGTAATCATTTGCGTACTTATCCGCCGCTAAAGCCGCAACCAGGGGTGAAAGGCAAAGCTCAGCAGCGCTACCGCCTCGAGTACGACCCGGAGTGGCTCGCCATCACGCGCGTCTTCGCCCCGCTGGTTAGCATCGGGATTCGCGATGCCGTCCCGCCCGAAGACCTAGGCGAAGCCGCATACCGGCCGATGATCGACCGCGAGCGCGACTGGGTCGAGGAGCATATCGTGCGCGCGGGCAAACTACACATCCCCAACAACTTCGCCCGGACAGCGCCGCCGCAGAAGAAGGGGGACAAACAGTCCTCGACTCAGAATAAGCTTAGAGAATTTAGGAACCCACAGACGACGTTGTTCTGCAAGCGGCTCGGTATACCGGACTTGTGGGATACTCCAGAATCAGAGGGAGCCGAACCTCAGAACACCCCGGCAGAAGATCTCCCAGCACCAAATTCGCCTGAGACATGACGAAACGATGGGACGACTTCAAAGCAGAGCCCGGGAGGGGATGTGCAGAAGTTAAGGGATGGAGAGAGAAATAAGTCGTGACGCCTCTAGACGCGAGCCGGCTGGAATACGCGTTAAACCCAATCCCACTACTACTCGGTTTTGCTAAATAGGGGTGCCTGTACGACGAAACTACATGCACGAATAGGCAATTTGATATGATGAATGGACATGGGTAGCATGTCTACATACGTCCACAGCTGTATATGAACCAATTGCTGAGTAGACCGGGTCCATACAGGGCGGTAACTAGTAGCAGCGGGTGGTTGAAGCTAGATAGATGTCTCCCCTCCTAAAAAGCATGATCTCCACGGAGGAAGAGAAAGCCACGCAGAGTGACGGGGGAATATACTAGATATCGCTCTTCCATCCGTTATAGACATTCAACCCACGGGGAAGTGAGGAGTTGAACGCATATGCTTAGATGGGATGTACATGACCAGACATACAGGGAAGCGGTTGGGTGTCGATTGTTCAGCTCTGCGCACTGGGACCGCTTTACTTGTTTCGACGCAGGGTCCTCACCCAGGTCGTTCCCTCCGACTAGCGTTCGGTTACGATCTCAACGGGGGTGCAAAATTCTCTCAACCGCGATTCTGGCAGAGAAAACGAGGCCAAGCTCTGAATCCAATCTCTCTTTGGTTCCTAAAGAGGTTGTCGGGGCCGTAGTCTGGTCTCACAAAGGAAAGACATCATTCCTGGTGCTCGAAACGCCGTCAAAACGCGGGTCCATGCCCGTGTGTACACAGTATCTAGTCCCCGAGTGCAGTGCCCATAGGCACATTCATAGGGGTCTGCTCTGCAGTTAGGGGGGCAGAGGTGAGCGACAATCTAGTGAGCCTCCATGTGCTACAACGGCCGTGGGGGGAGGGGGGTAGGGCGAGCCTTACTGTCGAGGCCAAGGTAATTCCCCGCCATGAGGAGCTCCAGACACAGCTCGACGGGGATTTCCATGTCTGGGACGTCTTCGCTCTCGCGATACTTGTACCAGTAGTGGAAGTACTCAACTACCTTCTCCAGGACCATACCGCTGCGGGTCAGAAGTCGGTTAGCCCCTGATGCACATCTCTCGCTATCGCACGGAAGAACCACGGCGAAAGACGGGCCGCTCGCTCCGGGAATTGTCTCAGATCAAGTGTAGTTGGCTGTCATTCAGACCACCGTCCTGGACGGCGGTCTGTCGGTAAGAACACAGCGAAATAGTTGCAAATTCATCAACGACGGCGGCCGGCCAGCCTCGCTCCCTCCCGCGCATAATCAAGCGAATACGGGGGAGAAAGGGGGAGGGGCGGGAAAGGGGGGGAAAAGGAGCAAGGGAGACTCGACCTACTTGATCTCCTCGAAGACGCATCGACCCGTCCGCGCCTCGACGAATTGACCTGGCCCGCGTTAGCCGGGCCGACCCACGGATGGCGAGATAAGCGCAATTCCTTTTTCTGATTGATTAAGGAGAGATCTCACTCTGCGGATCCAGCATGCCCCTGATGACGGGGCTGACGAGGGTGGCCTGGAGAAGCACGACGAACTCGAAGCCGTCGCTCGAGACCAGCGTCACGTACTTGCTCTGCTCGGAGCCGCTAGCACTGCTGGCCGACGCCATCGTCCGGGAGCGGGGGGAGGGGGCGTGCGGGTATGAGCTAGCGGTTGCTGGTGACGGTGACGAGAATTCGACAGGTCTGCCCACGTCGACGATGGGAGGACTGTGGGCGTGGAAAGGAGAAGAGGGTGGGAATGGGTGGACGAGACGAGACGAGACGAGACGCGACCTCTTTGAAGGAGAATTTTGGGCGAGTGGAGACGGTTAGCAGGCTATTAAAAGTCCGCCGCAGGAGAGAGAAGTGGGCGGGTGAGGCATGTAACAGTGGCTTCGACCACTCCGTGGCTGACTCGGGTTAGGTAATACGAGCCGGGAGCCTTGGTACTTTGGGTACTGGAGGTAGGTACCTAGGTAGGTACCTACCTAGGTACAAAGAGGAGGGAAAGGAGGCGGGAGCTACCTGCAAGAGGTACCTACCTTGCCCACTAATTGTGGGTGCCTGAGGTACCTAATATATAGATAGGCACGCTGTAAGATACCTAATCTATAGGTACCTCCTAACCTACTTAACCTTAGTTGGCTTAGATACCTCCTACTCGCCATCCTAAGCGGCTTACATAGGTGGGTACCTAAGGTACCGAACCTATGGAGGTAGGAAGTACCTAGTTCTGCGTTTCAATATATAGGTAGGTAGGTAGGTAGGTAGGTAGGTAGGTAGGTAGGTAGGTAGGTAGGTAGGTAGGTAGGTAGGTAGGTAGGCCTATAGTCTGGCTCAAGTAACACTAGTGATGGACCCTCGAGGTTTCGGTGAGAGAGAAAGAGAGAGCTAAGACGGCTCACCGATCGGGCATCCATCTGATTAGCTGCCAATTTTAGATCCATCAGATCACACACCCTCCAAGCCCCCGGCCGGGTGCGTGGGAGGGACGGGCCTCTCGCTCTGCCAGCTGCGACGGCCATTGGACCCCGAAGGAGAACAGCGGGCTTGGTGGGGTGGTGTGGGGTCTGATTGGTGCGAGCGCAGCTGAAACGCTTAGGCCAGCACCGTTGCCGTGCCGACGGGCAGCTGGCGGCGTCTTCTTGTTGACCTCTGACGAAATCCACGCACCCAGGTCCGAACCAGCGAACCAGACGGATCGACCAAGCAACCATCCAATCCAACTCGGCCAACCCAACGACGCAGCCCAGTCGGAGAGCCAACCAGACCAGCTATCGACCTACCTCTTTTGCTACCCGACGCGAGCCTGCTTCGCTGCATACGGTTACCTGCCGTGACCTGCCGTTACGCACAGCAACATACGTCTGCATAGCTGCATAACAATTGCCTGCGGTGGTAACAGCAGTTGCTTGGTTGACTAAACAATCTGGTTCCTCCCTCAAAACTTCGAGATCCAGGCCTCGACGGAAAGTCTCACCTTCATTCCACTTCCTCTATTCCTCCCTCACTTTCCATCCCATCTCAGCCAGCCCAAAAACCCCCCAACTCCTCTCATCCTAACCCATCTCCAAGTAAACCCCCCCCGCCGTCCCATCCACATTCCCGCCCGTAACCAAACCAAGCCCCCCCTCGCTTCCGCATCGCCGTGCTTAATTCGAGGCTAAAGGCGACGAGACAAATTAGTACCGCCCACCACACATTTCCAAGAGACGGCGAGAGAAAGAGAGAAAGAGAGAGAGACACGAGAGAGAGTACCCTCCGCCGACCTCTCTGCCCTGCCCACCGTCTCGCACACCCCCCTCCCCCTCCCCCCAAGCATGGCGGGCTCACAGTTTCGCAATTCCTACTACGGCGCCGCCCAACCGATGAATGAGAAGTACGACAACGGCATCCAACGCCGACCCACCGGCAGCAGCAGTAGAGCCGACCGCAACACACGATCTAGCGAAGGCACCGTCAGCACAACGATGAGCGCCTCCACCTCGGGCAGGGAGTCCTCCGCAACACACGTCACCGAGGCGCCCGCATACTCCAAGAAGATCGTGGTCGTGGGCGACGGTGGCTGCGGCAAGACCTGCCTCCTGATCAGCTACAGCCAAGGCTATTTCCCAGAGGTACGTGCGATGAGCAGTCCCGTGTGCGACACCCATATATCCCAATGTTTATTTCCACGTATATGATTATATGTGTATATATATATCTATATATGTGTGAATATAACTGTTACTCCCTTGTCCCCGCTCATTATCTCTTCTCCCTCCCGTCGATCGATGGGAGCGAGTCGCGCGCGAGAGACGCTAATCACCACTCCCGCATCTAGAAATACGTCCCGACCGTCTTCGAGAACTACATCACCTACCCGACTCACCAACCGAGCGGTAAGACCGTCGAGCTTGCCCTGTGGGATACTGCCGGACAAGAAGAGTACGATCGACTGCGGCCGCTATCATACCCCGAAACCGACCTGATATTCGTCTGCTTTGCCATCGACTGCCCCAACTCCCTCGACAATGTCTTGGACAAGGTATGTTTATCGCCTCTATACCCCCTGCTTTTCCCCCTCAACCCCCCCCCCCCCCTGTTCTTCGTCCTCACCCCCCCTTCCCCTCTTTCGCGCTTTATAGATAAGACAATAAGGAACTGACTGAGGCTAATTCGTCACATGTAGTGGTATCCCGAGGTGCTGCACTTCTGTCCGTACACGCCGCTGATCCTCGTCGGACTCAAGTCGGACCTGCGAACCAAGAAGACGTGCATCGAGATGCTCAAGACGCAGGGGCTCACGCCGGTAAGCGCGGACCAGGGTGCGGCCGTCGCGCGCAAGATGGGGGCGCAGTACATGGAGTGCAGCAGCAAAGAGATGACGGGCGTCGACGAGATCTTCGACCAGGCGATCCAGACCGTCGTCGTCAACGACCGGCGCACCCTCGAGGTGGCGATGGCCTCGGCCCCGACGTCGTCGGCCGCCGGCGGAGCCGGAGCCTCGTCGAGCGGCGGGCGCGACGGCGGCGGCGGCATCCCCGGCGTCCGCGCTTTTAAGAAGAAGAAGCGGAACTGCAACTTCTTGTGAGAGGAGAGGGAAGGGACCGGGAAATGGAATGGCGAGGCGGCGGCGGCATTCCTCCTACCAGAAGCGGCAGCCATGCTTGGCGCAGGGACGGCGGCGACTGAAAAGCCGAGTAATGACCCCCTTGGCATGACATTTTATGTTTCTGTCTCTATTCCTCCACGACGTTATTTTTTTTTTCTCGCCTTCTCTCACGACTGCGGGAGGGAGGGTGGTTACCTTTTCTGGGAACAGCCAACGCTCGACGCCTTCGAACTTGGTGCCCCTACCATCTTCGTCTCCTTCTCTCCCCTTGCCTACTTCTCACCTCCCCTCCCTCCCTTGCCGGGTTCCCTCGACGGGTCTCTCGCAGACGCGATACGCCACCGCACAACGTTTTTTTACGGGTCTAATGAAACGAGGTTTTCTTTTTCGCTTGTACAGGGGGAAAATGGGGGTTTCTAGCTTCCCCTCTAAGAGTCTCTCTATCTCTTGGGCTTGCTGGCTAGGCTGGACTAGACTAGGCTGGGCCGGGCTGGTCGAGTCGGTAATATACAACTGCCCACACACACTGCAAACTTGTTTCTTCCTCAGCTTTTTTTTTCTTTCCCTTTTTCCTTTTTACACAAAGTCGGTGGGCCAGACGAGGAAAGAATAGAGAAGGGGTGATCAGTCACGGTATCCCCTTTTCGTTTTCTGATTTCTCTCCCAGCAGCAGCAGTAGCAGCAGCAGCCACCACGGACCAGAGCAAGAGAGAGAGAGGGGAGGGGGGGGAGTATGAGACACAGAGAGAAGGAGAGTAAGGAGAGGGTGAGAGATGATGAAGGGGATTGGACCCGGAAACTCGCGCGCGTGTATCAAATCGTGTCATACCCTTTTGAGGGGCCGATCTTCTCCTTTTGTCATCATTGCGTGCTGTACAGACTTGTTTTGACACTATCCATGCATCCATCCGTCCGTCAAACCCATCCCTACCGGCCGTGGTTTTCGGGGCGGGAAATAAAATGAAAATTCCTAATACTGCTCTATGTCCGTCCCGTGTGCCAGCGCATGAAATGAAATGCGCGCGTAGATGAAACGCGCACAGTAATACCCCTAGACCCCAAGCCTGGATGCGCGTCCCAGGGCGGGGTATCCTCCTCATCGCCGTGGTCCTACACCCCGCCGCCCGGTCCCATCCTGCCACTCCCACCGTGTCCCGGAGTCCCTCGTAGAATTTTCCTTCTTTCCCCCACCTCTCTCCCCTCCCCTTCTCGACCCCCCGGTAGTTCTCCCTCCGCTACCTCCTCCCCAGCCTCCCCGCAGCCGTGGCCAGGGTCGGCGAGGGGGGATGATCCTCATCGTCACTACTCTCGTCGTCTGCCCCCTGCTCCTCCTGCTCCTGCTCCTCCTTCTGCTTCTGCCGCCGCGCCGTCTCGGCATCGGCTCGCGGCACCGGCGGCGGCGGCGGCGGCGCGGACTCGCCCGCACCGCGGGCTTCGTCGGCGGGGGCGGCGGCCATGACGCCCTCGAACTGGGACCACAGCGCCTCGACCGACGCGAACTCGTTGCCCACCGCCACCACCGCCTCCACCGCCCGGTTCAGCTTGTTGATGCTCGCCAGCACCTGCTCGAAGCTCTGCGCTCCCCCACCCAAACAACCCCCGCGCGTCGGTTAGCCCGCCGCCCGCTAAGCAAGCAAAGGAGGGGGGAAGGGGGGGGAGGGGGAAGGGGGGGGCAGGCACCATCGCGATCTCCCCAATCACAGCCTCCCGCTGCTGCTCAAAGTACGTCTTCTCCCGCGTCGCGCTGCTCCTGCTGCCGCCGCTGCCGCCTGGCGCCGGCGTCGCGGTCGCCGCCGCGTGCGACGACGACATTGGGTGCGTGCGTGCGTGCGTGCGTGGCGAGGCGGAGCTCCTCGCGGTCGGTCGGGAGGCGTGGGCGTGGGGTAGGTAGGTAGGTAGGTACGTCGGTTATGCACGGCTTTTCTCTCTTGCCTGCCTGCCTGTCTCTCCTTCTCCTCGCGCTTCTCCGAGTTGTCTGTCGGTGTGTGTGCGGTGTGGGTTCCTAGAGGTGGCTTGGTGAGAGGGCGTCGAGTTAGCTGGGGAAGACTGAGTAGAGATAGAGAGGTTGTGGTGGAGGTAGGTAGGTAGGTAGGTAGGTAGGTGGGTAGATGGAGCTGGTTTGTGGTGGCTGACGGCATGGTTCGGAAAGATAGCTGTGTAATACTCGCCTATGGATACCTGAGGTACCTAGGTAGATACCTAGGTAGACTGGGGCGGGCCGCCCGTTGGTGGGGTTCGGCTGGGGAGAGACAGAAAGCCTCTCTGGCTAGTGGCCGCTCCCCCAGAAGGCCGGCCTTCTTTGTCCAACTCGGGCGTTATATCCTGGCATATTATTTACCTGTCACCTCGCTACGCCGACCTGGCTTACGAGACCGTGTCGAGAGGGATCAGAATACATCCTAGCTTCTATCACAAACTCGGACGTGCGACTATTCGGGCGTGATAAGCATGTGTCCACATTAGTAGCATGTTGCCGTATGCTGGACATAGCAAGACGGAGATAGCCTCCCTTACGAATCGCTCTTACATCGTCTCATAGCCTACATCCCAAGTAGGCCCGCTCGCCCTCTACTATACATACTACCTATACATAGATGGGGAGACGGAGCTCCAATTCCCAATATCTTGCCCCCGTTTCCCCGTTACCAAACACGTCCCGTTCGTCCTTCGTCACTCGATGCACTCTCTCTTTCCGCATTTACGTTACCTCTCATGTCCGTGTCTATGCCTGTTCGTTCCTCCACCATTCCCTTGTGCTTGGAAAATCCGACACGAAAATCCCTCAGAAACCCTGCCCGAACGCCAATGTGGTATCAAGAACCTCGACTTCATGACCTATGTGTGGTGTATAATACATTCATTACAAAAAGTAATCCGATGGGCCGCGCCGTCCTGCTGGCACGTGCCTCATGTCGTCGGGCACCGCCGAGAAGATGCTGAACTTCGGGTCCAGGTTCTTATCTACTGACATGATCGAAGCCACATTCCCGCACCGGTAGCAGTAATTCGGCGCGGACCACACCGTAACAACCGAGCTCTGCGCGAAGTGGTACTATCGGCCCATTAGCAGACCGAGCATTAAATATATGTAACAGTCCGAGAGACGGGGGAGGGGAAGAGGGGGGGCAGTCTTACTTTGTAGCCTTCGTTGACGAGTTGATGCGCACGAGCGATCAGCTTAAGACCGTTGACATGGTTGAACTCTGTCGCTACCTTGTCGCCGAAGAGCCATCCGGCACCCCGCGGGCTGACCGCCCACGTCTCGACTTCCTCGGGGTCGCTCCAGACGAGATCACAGAACGCGCCCTCGTGAGGTATTTCTTGCGCGCGTGCCACTACGCGAATCTGGTCGATGGTGCGGATCTCCGGACTCAGCCCTCCGTGGACGCATAGTATTTCGCCGTCGACGATGGCCGCCAGGACCAGGAAATCAAATACCTGGCAGCACGACTTCCACACCGACGCGTTCCCGTACTTCTGCTGGCATTCCTCGTAAAACCCATACACCTGGGTGATTTGCCGGGACTCGTGGTTTCCACGGACGAGCACGATCCGATCGGGATACCTAGATACCGAGCATGTTAGAATCAAACGAACGCCGAAATACACGGGCGGTCCGATCTCCGCTTACTTGGCCTTGAGACACATAAGCAGTGTAAATGTTTCGAGGCTGAAGTAGCCGCGGTCGACAAAGTCTCCTAAGAATACGAAGCGGGTGTCGGCATTGTCGACCGGTGGGGCGCCAGGCGAATTGGGCTGGGAAATTGTTGTAACTTCGGCAACATCGTCGTCATCGTCTTCAATATTAACAGAATCGTCCCCGGGAAGGCCGGCACTGTCTCCCGCTTGACTCTTCCCCTTTCCCAACTTCTTTTTCAACTTGGGGTTCGTGATCTCGGTCGGTGGCTCGATATCGGCTGATGTAATTACTGAGGTTGCGCTCGCCGGAGGTTCCGTGGCAGGTTGGCCAGGCATGCCGCCGCTGACGCGGAAGAGCTCAAGCAGGTCGTAGAATTGGCCGTGTATATCACCGCAGATAGTGACCGGGGTGACGACAGGTTGGATGTTGGACTCTGAAACCCCGTGTTAGATTACGTTTTGCGATGGCCCAAGTATCAGGAGCAGGAGCATACCTTCCATCAAGACCTCTTTGACCATCTCGCATAGCTCCTTCATCACCGACTCTGGCAGGTAGCGGCATTGCTTGGCTTGCTCGAGCCATTCGTCTAAGCCAGCTCCGGGAGTCAAGTTAGCCGGTCCCGGTTTGGGGACGGCGATGCGGGGGGAGGCCATTGCCTCAGTTTATACGGTTATGTGAGTCGGATGTGTCGACCTGTGGTCGGTGTGGATGCTGCGGCGTAGATCCGCTGAAACGGACTGCTGTGGCGTCGGCGAGTTGGATAGCAGTGGGTGCGGGACCAGCGCCAAGCACGAGGAGGGCGAATTATCTCGTGGTCTAGAACTTCCAGTGCCGACGTCAATTTCGCGAGTCGGGATATGAACTTCAAAAGGAGCACGGGTAAGTTGAAAGGTCTATTTGGGAAAAATCGGTGTCCTGGCGCTGCCTAGGATACGACGAGTCACTCGAGTACTCAGCGGGTCGATACCAATTCGGGTGAGTACGCGCATACGTAAAAAGGACCAAAAAGATAGAGGCTCGAAAGAATGCCTACGACAAGAAAGGGCTGGGCAGATCGCGGCCACCGGGTCGTCGCGAGATCTCTGTGAATCTCGGACTAGCTGCGGATCCTCGGAATGTCGCGCTCTTGCGGGTCGAGTCGCCGGAATCTTTCCAGTAGGGATCAATTGACGGGTGGAACCCAACGGCAGCAAGTGCTCCTAGCGAATCTTCTGAAGGCCGTTCGGAACGAGAGAGCCGGGCCCTCAACGACGCTTGGGTGGTGCTTGAGAAGGTTGGAGGAAATGATGTCTCGTCACCAGGTCAGGCGCCGGTCCCAGCAACTGTGCAAGGAGGGAGGTCGAAGGGCTCATCATCCACCTCTCTACCCAGGCCATTTCTCGGCTCGGCTCGGAAACTTATTTATTCCGAAACTCTTAGGCCTGAAAGGGGGCCCCGCCCATCCATTCGGCTCATTGTACCTACTTGTACTTGCTCGTAGTGGCGTCGGTGGAGGACCTCGTGTACATAATGTATGCATATATTCATATGTACTTAACCGATAACCCCCCCCAGAAGTATGGTGAACAGCAGTGCACAGCCAATGCTCTTAGCACGAAGCAATAGAGACAACAGAATCAGGGAGTAGCAAAGTCTGAATGACTGCCCCATATCATTATAAGCAACCCTACCACTAAAGAGCCTTACCCGTGTATATCTAGGATACGTTATTGGTGATGCTTCTTGGCCCAGATTCGTCCAGACTAGTAAGGTATGCTCGATACCAGCAGTAGCCGCTTCTCGCTGGAAAAGGCCGACTCTAACTCTGTCCACCTATTAACCAGCGCACATTTCAACGGCCGGATTACGCCACCACAGCAGATGATCGTGTCGGCCCTGAACAGGGCACCAGTTAATGATACCCCAAATGATATCGCACGACACAAGCGGCGGCTAGCCACCTCATGATGAAGTGGAGCTTTCCCCATGACTTCTCCGCGCCCTCAACTGATAAAGGAGACGTAGCACCCTCAAAGGAGTCATCGTGTGCTGATTCGGCTCTCATATGCCAGCTTTAGAGACGATTCGCTGCATGTAACGGTCAACTACGTAGTCAAAAGTAGCATCTAGTGGTAATTATTGGTCATGAACCGGCTGCGGCCTTAGAATCCGTAGGTGTTGCGGAACTGGCCGTCTCTTCAATCGGCCCATTCCCGTTGTTTGCGTTGGCTGCTCCTTTCCGGCCTCGACCGCGACCACCACGCTTGGGACGATCGCCGGCTGTATCGTTGGTAGATTTTCCAGCACTGGCAGTCTTTTCACTCGCCGCCTGGACTTGAACCTGGGCCGGGGCGGGGGCAGGGGCGGGGACGGGGGCGGAGGCTTGCTTCTTGGGCTCCTTTCGCTCAAGCACCTGCACAGCGCCTTGCGCGACAGTGACCGGGCTTGCAGCAATAGCTCGCACTAGGCTCTCGTGATCTGCGAAGTCGAGGTACGCGAAGCCTTTGCGTTTGTCGATCTCGACGAACGTGACAGAACCATAAGCCTCCATAGTTTGCTTGAGTACGGCCTCAGTGATACCCTGCGAGGCGTTGGCGTGTTTTATGAAAGCTCGTACCATTCCCGCCGTCACCGGCGTGGCGGTAGAAGCCTTCTTTTGTGACGAAGATCCTTGCTTGCTGGAGGTTGCCTTACTGGAGGTAGCCTTAGGACCTGTCGGGGGAGCCGGGGTCGAACTGGAAGCAGCCGTGGAGACAGGGGCTGTCGATGCTGAGACCGCTTGAGGGACATCATCCTTTCTCTTCAAGATGACAGGAGTGGTAATTTGGGTCTGCTTAGGGGGGTTGCTTGCGCCCTCACTTCCCTTACCTTTCGCAGAATCGTTGGAAGCATTCGGCTTTGCCGACTTTGCACCCCGAGGTCGGCGGGAGCCTTCTGCTGCTGAGGCTTTCGGCGCGGTCGACGCAGGAGGAGGGGGTACGGGAGAAGGCTGGCTTGACGCCGCCGGGGCTGAAGGGGTTGAATCTTTGCTGTCCTTCTCTTTGCTCGTATCGGTCTTGACGGCCTGGTCCGCTTTGGCGGCATCTTGGCGGGCTCTTCTATGGGCGCTTCCGGGACTGAGACCGAGGTCGCGTTGTAAGATCTTGGCGGCGGCGGCAATCCCAGCGCGCCGAATCTTGGAGGGGGCTTCATCGGTTGGTTTGTTGGCAGCGGGTTGGGTAGCGGCGCTAGCACCGGCACCGGCACTTGTACCGGCACCGCTAGCAGGTTTGGCTGCCTCGACTGCTACTTGGGGTGCCGGCTTCTTTATTAGAATTTTCACTGGTTCCTTCACTTTCTCCTTCTCCTTGCCTGCGGCCTTCTCATGTTTATCGGCCTTGGATTCCTTGGACTTCTTCTTAGAATCCTCCTGGTTTCCCTTCGGCTTCACATTTTGAGATTCGTGTCGAGAGTGTTTGCCGCTCTTCGCGCTGGCGACCTCCTTCCCTTTGCTCGCCTTCTTTTCTTTGAGGAACTCGACCAAAGGGGTAGTGTTGACCTTCGCATCGACTTTACCGGCGTCTTCAGAGACCTGGTTGCCTTCGGTTTCCTTGGGAGCTGGGTCTTGCGTAAGACTGTCAAGAAAAGCCATGAAATCGGAATCTTGGTCAATTGTACCCTGTTTAGGGTCCGCCCGTTTCTTTTTCGTTGGTACCTTCTGATAGATAGAAACTTCTACGTACGGTGGCCCGACGAGGGCGCTGTCGTTGAAGGACCGCTTCTCGTCCTCCCATGTCGACCTCTGGACGATGTCGGCCACCAAAGGGGTGTCTTCGGCTCGCTGGACTTGGAGATAACATCGTGCCGGAGTAGATGGGTAGGCGGGGCTGCCGACGCAAGATGAATTAGATCCTCTTTTCCAATGCTCATCCTCTGTGCTGCATCTTCCATAGCCGGGAACGGGACTCACTCTTGCGATATTTGACCATCATGGAATCGTGTCCAATCCACCTTTCCGTTGCGACTTTTCCACTCGTCGCCGAGGATGGCCCAGAACTCGGCTTCGCTCAATCCGGGGGGGAGTCGGCGGATGACAACTTTCCTGCCTTTCAGGGGCTCTCTGGTCTTGGGTGCCTTCGGCGCATCATTAGATGCGTGCGCAGTGCTTGCGGACAGGACGCCCGAGGCGCCGTTTGGCTTTCGTGAGGTCGCTGGGGTCGCCATCCTACACGGGTCGGAAGGCGCGGATGAATTCTAGCATGACACAGAGTCCCTCGTCGCTTGGGTTTGTGATGTTCTTTCGATGTGACATAAAATGGGCGACGAGAAAAAGCGGCCGTGTGGGATGGAGGAGGAGAGAGAGAGGGACTTGGAGAATTGGAATTATCCATTAGAGGGAGAGCTCCCGGCCGGACCTGGCAAATTACCCCACTTACACATGACTTTATGCGTGTCACTTGGGTAATCTATGTACATAGTACCTAGGGGTGGATCCTGGCGATCCTATTGGCCAGAGTGATTAGGTAATCAGAAAAGGAGGCTCCCATAGGAAAATGACCCTAATAGAAGGCTGACTGACCAACCAGGATTGGCCAAGCCTCAGAACTACCTAACTCATAGCAATTTTGTTGACTTTGTTCCGGGTTCGGCGCACGGGTTTCTGAGATCACGTGACTCTAGCGGCACCTGCCCGTTCTTGAATTCATGCGTAGGTGAATAGGATTTATATCGACATTACCACATACCTAGGTAGAGAGGTATTACGACTAATGGACGAGACTCGTAATGGGAAAAGCTTGATGATGATGATGAAGCTATCTCTCTACCTAAAGCTTAAGTTATTCTCCTATTGAAGCTTATAAGGCTTATATAAGCTCCGTAATCGGTATCGGAGGATGCCGTGGATGCCGTGACAAGAGATAAGATCAGGCTACCTTCCCCCATCAATAGATGAAGTACAGGAGACAATCTTGGGGCAAAAGCGACTCCGGCAAAACATCCTCAGATGTCCGATGACGGGGATCCTCGCTACTTCGGCGCTCTGGCGCCCGAGCTCATCGACAATGTTTTGTTCGAGATCGACTCAGTGCGCGCCCTCAGCAACTCAATCATCGCCTCCCGTTACGCCCGTCGGCGCTTTGAGGGGCGAAAACATCCTGTCCTCTGGCGCGTCCTGCAGAACGAGCTCGGCCCCGTTTTAACGGATGCCAAGTTCCTACGCCTGTTTCCTTACGCGGACCCTGGCGGTAGCCCGCAGAAGTGGATGGCGTATCGGGATGGGATCCACAACATGGCTGCAGTTCACAAGGGCATGTTAGGTAGCGACGGCTGCGGTAGGGCAGGAGGCGATGTGGCTGTCCCAAGCTTTGCGGAGCTGACCCAACTCTGTCGCACGCTCCACAAGATGAATTTCCTCGCCAGCACCTACGTCACGGCGCAGCTGCGCTCGTTCAGCGGCGAGGAACTGGCCACTGCGCCGCCGTCGCGCGCGGAGCGGCTGCGAGTGTTGCGGGCGTTCTACCGGCGCCAGATCGTCTGCAACACCTGGGCGCCGACGAGGCGAGAACTCTACTGGACGAACCAGGACACGGCCGCCATCAGTAACACTAGCGAACACCAGGGCGAGCGCCTGGGCCTCTTCGCCGCCTTTGAGCCCTGGGAGCTGCAGCAGGTTGACCACGCCGACTGGTTCGTCACCCGGCTCTGCGCGGCGCTCTGCCTCGCCGGAGAGGAGGTAGCGCAGCCGATCGGCGAGGCCAAGTTCGGCGATATTTTCTCCCATGCAGACCACCTAGTACAGTACATGCGAGAGCATCCGAGCATCACAGACACCGTGCTCCGCACCTCATTGTCACCGCGGCGGCTGAGAAGCCAAGAGGTTCCCGATGCCACGCCTGCGTGCAGCCAATATATAGAGCGGTATTCCCTGCTTTGCCCTCAGTTCGCCTGGCAGATCCAACGGTTGGAGAGTTTCCCGGACCCAGCGAGAGACCAACACGGCGAGCAGCAACAGCAGCAGGAAGATGACAGCGGACTATCGGTCAACTTTGTCGGGGACGCGGTGGACCTACCCCCATTCGGCTGGGTGGACGCGCTGGATGGGCGCTATGTGAATTGCTTTGGAGACGCGCTTGTCGATTTCATTTCCCGGACGGTGGTGCCGGACGACAAGGAGATGTATTTCGCGTGCCATGTTTCTCTAGAGGCGTGGAGAAGCGCCGGGTTTGCGTTGTGGGATCAGAGGAGAGTCAAGGCTATTAAGGAGCTGGACCGGCTGAGGACTCTGCGGACAGGGTGGCTTGTGTACTAGTGGTGTCGCGGGACACGGTGATGTTTTGGCTAGAGAGTAGGTTGATACTGAACAGCAACGAGCCTTATTTTGTCCGACGTGCACAGTAATGTATCCTGGGAAGGCACCTACTTCCTCCATGTTGTCAATGCCTCATACCACATACACCGGGAAAATACATTCGATATCAAAACAAAGGCCGAAGAGAAATATAAAAGCGTAGAAAATCAACCGTTAAAGAGTCTAGCTTCTTAAGGCTTCTAGCCTATTTCGCATCTGGCCCATCATCGCCTCGGTGTCTTCCTCCTCCTTCTCCTGGGTGGTTGCAGCGACGGGTTCTGGAGCGGTCAGGGCGGTATTAGACAGCTTCCCGGTAGTAGCTATACGCTCTTCGAGGATTTCCCTTAGCACCTTGTCAACCTCCTCCTCGGCAGTCTCCTCCTCGAACTCGGCGAGGCTATCGTCAGGCAAATTCTCTCCGACCATCTCCTCGATGATGCCCGCCTTCGTAAGTTCCTTAGAGAGCTCCTGCATCGTGCCTGCTAGCTGGGGTACGCGGATGAGCAAGTTAACGTCGCGCATAACGCCGACGGCGACGCGTATGCTGCCTTCGATTCCTTGGAGCGCGAAAGCCTCGTTAACCTGCATCTGAACGCTGCTGAGCTGCGCCTTGGACGTCACCAGGCGGGTTGACATCTTGCGGCACCGGATCAGCTCCTGCGCGAAGACTCGCACGTCCCGGCGCGCCTGCGCCTGTCGCTGAGGGTCCCGCGCCGCTCGCTTGTCCGCCTCCAGGATCAGGTTCCTCGCCCTGGCTTCCTGTTGCTTCATGTGCACGATATCGCGGTCTAGTTTGCGGGCGTCGGACCGGATGAGTGCGTTACATTTTCGGAGCTGTAGCGTTTGGCATGAGCTGTCAGCGGGTTCGACGGCAGTAGACAAATTGTCGTCAGAGGAACTTGGCTTGACGTTCACAGTCGGCAGCAAAGTAGGATGATGGCATGCGATGCTGCGGAGAGTGACGCTAGAGGGCAGGCCTACCTGTGCCTTAGGGTCAGGCTTTACGAACATCGCTCTGAGATTCTCCATCGCGACGACGGAAGACAGGTAGGTAATGCTGGGATGTTACAGAGTCCTTGAGGCTATCGTTGGCCGATCTCATTTGTCGTAGACACGAGGCGACGTCGACTGTCCGGCAGATCAGACCTCTCGTGAGGATGAGAAAACGGTGTTGGCACTAGGTGGCCAGGCAACTTCGCCGTGGGTTTTACTGGCGCATGTGCCCCCGGCGTGTTTAGCGGTGCCGTTGTTCTTGGGGGCCGCTTGATGGGAGCGGAGGGACTGCCTCCAATAACGGCAGCCTGGATGGATCCCGATCGCGTAGCCTTGACAAAAATCAGGCGTCAGGCCAGAACTGAGATGAATCGGAGCGTCGATGGCCGGCGAAAGTAAAGGGTCAGAAAGAATAAGTATTGCGGGGAAGGAAAGGTGTTGGTTACATTGGTGGTCTCAGGAGTGGAGATGTAGGTAGGTATATTAAAAGCCACTGACCACCAACCAACATGTCAAGAAGCCACGGCCATTGGGTGCAAGACGGCTAAGTCTCATCATATATGGTGAGTTTCTTGGTGTATGGGTTCTTTCCGCAATCTCCAGTGTATTGATGGAAGATGTTTAAAAATTTAGAGGTATTAAAAAAAGCAGAATGGTATGATACCTATGATGGGATAAACTGAGTCTGCTAATCTGCGACCGACCACGCGGAAGGTTCAGAGGTCTTCAAGTATAAGGTTTGATGCTATGCTGGCAAGTATCTCAATTGGAATTCGATTCGTGGCGATGAAGAGTTGAGGACAACAGATTTAGCTTACACCGAGAGTGGAAGAAGCGAGATCAGGTGAAAGAGGAAGACTGGCATTCAATAACCCGGAGACTACATAATACGAATATCGGGAATCAGAAAATCAATCACTATTTTCCTCCTTTAGTTAACGCAAACATGCCATAGAAGGGACAAAGAGAACTTCCTTTACACCCCCGTCTAAGAGCGCTGACTAGCGGCAACGGACCAATGCCACATACTCCTACTGTGACCTAGAGTAGAGCCACCACCTCAGATAAATCCAGTGTTAGGGTCCTAATAGGAGCCGTGTAAGTTAACCGTTCGGCGAAAGCTCAAACCGGAGCCTTACCTGATGGAATACAAAGCCGCCTTGGTAGAGGTAGTCTACTTGGCTCCTGACTTGAGCTACGGAAACGGATAGCTCCGGTTTGCGACGTTCGAGACGTGCCGTGGACTGTTGGAGATCTGGCACGGAAGCCCATAATAGACTCAAACAGAAATCTTGGAGCACAGCCACCGACAATGACAGCTCTGAGGAGCCTTTGATATGTCTAGGCTGAGAGTCCAGCAGTACAGCAAAAGGATCACGTGTGCTCTTCTGTTGCGTTGCGGATCCGACGTTAGTAGAGGCTGATCGACTGAGGTGCTAGCTAGTTTGGGGGGGGGGGGGGGGGCGCTGTCGGTAACTCTTCGACAGATGGGCTTTCCACGAGCAGTACGAGAATTAGTCGAGGTCTGCGTTCGGATGTCCCCTGAGGGGTTGTCCCAGAGAGATCGGTAGCATAGTCGCTTATTTCGGGCTGGCTCGGTGTAGTGGGCTCTGTTTGGAGCAGTGGTAGTTTGGTCGGGTAAAGACAAAGTAAAGTTGAGTTGAGAGATTCTACCTCGAAGATGTTTAAACGTGAATAGGGAGACATATGCTTCTATCCTCGAAATGAAAGCAGGATTGAAAGGGAATGCCTGTATATATCTACTTGGAGTAGCGGTGCAATCCATCGCCTTCTCATGGAGAAAACAGAGCTTGGGAAGGAAAAACTGGTGGTTGCAGAAAGAAAATTCAGGGTTGCAGGAGGAAATTCAAGTGTATGCGCCTCCAGGCCCTGGCTCATATAAATTCGGGAAACAGTGAGCGGTAATCACGTTCCCGAATTCTCGTATTTGCGTCCTTCTCTCATATTATAAATCGACATCACGCTCTACCTGTAGCCGTGGTTTGTGAGCCAAACTCGTCTTTAAATTGACGTCTCGCTTTGCTCGTTGGACACCATCTCGTTCGTGTTACGTGACGTTGATGTGCCTAACCACAATTGTCCGCGGTCACCGCTGGGCAATTGGTGCTAATAGGGAGGGAGGAAATCGATAGAGAGGCGGCTAAACTAATTGAATCGGACAATTATTCGCCGAAATATTATATGACAGTATCTACCAATAGTAGGTGACTGCGAGCAGGATTACAGAGCTGACCGCAGCACCAATTCCGTACTTACATCGCTTGTGCTTCCTTGCTCAACGGTAAATCCTAGGTTGCTGTGTACAGCCGAGGATTGTGGTGTTAAGAACAAGGTAATACGTCGAGACGAGGTCATAAAGAGACTGACATCACTGCAAAAAGCCTCGATGACGTATGGGCAAGTTCTGAATGGTTATCGCGTCACATAGGTACTTGTGGAAGGGCATGAAACTGAGATCGTCAAGGAGGTATCGAGATGAATCCTACCTGAGACGGCTAATTGTGACGCTCCCCCGAGCGTCACAGCTCCGCACAGTTATAGACCAAAATCCGGCTTCTACTCCGCAATCTCCGACCACCTATCTTTTACAAAGCGACCGCTTGGCTTCCGCCTATTCTCTCCAATATTTTCTATACCTGTACCTTCACTTGCTCCTGGACTGGGTTCCTGCCACGACCTTGACTTCTTTCCTTTCCACGTGCATACCCTGTTAAACGCCTTATACCTAGCCGTTCGCGCCGGCCGACGCACGCAATCATGGCCCGTATTTTCATCACCGGTTCGTCTGACGGCCTCGGCCTGCGCTCGGCGCAAGCCCTCGCGAAGCGCGGCCACGACGTCTACCTGCACGCGCGGAACGGGCAGCGCGCCGCCGACGCCCGCGCCGCCTGCCCGGCCGCCAAGGACGTTTTCGTCGCCGACCTGACGTCGATCGAGGAGACCAAGGCGCTCGCCGCCCAGCTGAACCGCGCCGGGCCCTGGGACGCGGTCGTGCACAACGCGGGGATCATCAGCAGCGCCGCCCGGCTGCGCGGAAAGGAGGGCCTGCCCGCTCTCTTCGCCGTCAACACCGTCGCGCCGTACATCGTCGCGTCGCTCGTCACCGAGCCGACGCCCCCGAAGCGCCACATATTCCTCAGCAGCAGCATGCACCGCGGCGGCGACGCCTCTCTGCGCGACCTTCGCGGGAGCTCCTACAGCGACAGCAAGCTGCACAACATCCTGCTGGCCTTCTGGTTCGCCCGCCGCCTCGCGCCCCAGGGCGTCCTGAGCAACGCCCTCGACCCGGGTTGGGTCCCGACCAAGATGGGCGGCCGGAACGCGCCTGACGACATAAATGCCTCCATCGACACGTACGTCCTGCTTGCCGAGGGCTCTGGCGCTGCCGAGAGTCAGACCGGGAAATACTGGTACCATTCTCGTCCGAGAGGCTCCGCCGCCTCCGGGGCGGACAGCGCGTACGCGGACGCGGCCGACGACGAGGCGAAACAAGACCAGCTGATCACAGCTCTGGAGGAGATTTCGGGCGTCAAGCCGCCCCAGTAGTTCCGTTGTCCGCCGACAGTTCGCTTTCTTTGCATCCTACGTTCACTCGTCCATAAAATATGTTAGAAAAGACGAATCTAGTCATTGTGTCCCTTCAGGGACACACGTGATTTCTGATTTCTCATTACTTTTTATAGAGACTGTACCGGCGCTATTATACCCTTATACATGCGCTAAGCACCTGGCATCGGCATCGGCACTAATACCCTGTGCTTTAGCGAGGAGTGAATAACGTTAAGTGTAACTGAGAGAGCCTTTTTATGCCTCCTTTCGCCTTCTAGGGGGTATAAATAACTCTCTGCAATATCGCCCCTGACTCTAGCTGGTTAATTCGACTGAGTCTCTAGTTGTACTTTTATTAGTGTATTAAAAATGTATAGTGCCTTCATTTCTACGGTAGCATGTCCATCGCTTTAAGTTAGGCTACCCCTCCACGAGCTACCCTTCTACGAGCTACCTAAATTAAGCATTACCTAATAATTACTACGTTAATAATTAAAGCTATTTATATTATTAAAATTAATTAAAACCCTTTAATTCCGGCGTTATAATCTCGATATAGTCCTCCGCTTACGATGCCTCGTTTTTAGGCGTTCTTAGCGCCGTTTTAGCCTCTCTAGGTATCTCCTCGTCGCTTACCTCGTCCTTATATACTACCCTACCTTTTAACGACCTTTTTACCCGCCGTATATCCGCTATACGAACGAAGCGCTCCTCTAGCGTTACGCATACCTTCTTACGCGTCTTAATAATAGCTCTATCGTTTTTAACGGTCTTATATTAAAGCTAGGTTATAAAAGTCGCGATCGTATTAGCCTACCGGTCGAAGGTATCGCTAGTTTTCCGAATAAATAACCGTTACGATACGGCCTTAGCCTTAAAATTAATAGAAATAAATCGTTAAGTAACGTTTCGTAATACTTAACCGTTTAAGGGTATATTAACGTATTCTAAAGCTAATAACGTTAGGAAATTAGGTATTTTCGGCCTTTCGATAGCCTCCGATACCTCCGATCGTTTCGGCCGAGATCTAAGAATATCCTTATCCTTTATAACTACGAATCTCGACGATAACGGCTTCTCGCGGTTTCTAGGATAAATCCTAAAGGTCCTTTAAACTCCTTTAATAGTTCGAAAAGTTATTATATCGACCCTAGCTTATCGGTATATCTTTAATATATCGATCTTAATAAGGCATAGGTTTAGATTCGTACTTTAGCTTTTCCTAAAGAAGCTTTTAAGCCGTTTTTTTAATAATCCGAATATCCCGATATCTAAAACCTATACGACGTAACTATAGTAAAGCTAATAAAAGACGAGCTATATTTTATTTTAAAAATAACGCGTAAAAAAGGCGTCGTAGGTATACGATTTATAGCCGTCGTAAATTAAAACGACTTATTTATTACCGAAACGGATCCGAATATAAGGAATAAAGATACCTTCGAGCTAACCTAACGTAATATTATTATTAATTTATCCTTTAAGTAACGCCTAAAACCGTTAATCCTTTTAAAGATCGTAAGAATCGTTAAGAAATTATTAAATTTAAACGTCGATACCTTTAAAAAGTACTAAAAGAAAAAGAGGCTTTCCGCCGAAGCCTATATACTTAAAAGTAATAATTTATTAACCTTTTTCGACGCTTTTTTTAAGTACTATATAAGTATCGGCTTTAGAAATTACCTAATAATTACCGATAACGCTTTATACGATATCCATTTCGTTAGTGTAGTAGTGCGGTGGATCTAGGCTACGTAGCCTTTTCGATGTGTATTTATATGGGTCGCGTACTTATATTTTCATTAGCTAGACTTAGACCTATAGACATTACGACCTATAGCTATTTACTCCTTTTGCTATGCCTTTCTAGTTATCCTCGTCTTTGCCCTTTTCTAGTCCTCCTTTCCTAGCTACCGTTTTTAGCTAGCCGATTAACCGATTATAGCTATTTATAGCTATAATCTTAGTTAATCGGCACTAGGCTAGTTATTAGTAGTTGGGCAGTCCTTATTTCGTGCCTCCGTTAGCGTGCCTACGCTGCTCCTGTTCAGTGGCGACTACCTAGTAGCTCGTCCTCACCTCAGCCTTAGGAGTGACCTTTTGCGACCGTTTTTGCAGTCATTAGGTTCAGGATTCGTCGATCAGGAGATTCCCTGTTTTTCAGTTGATTAGGAGCTGTTTTCGTGGCTCCAGAGCCGTTTTCGTGGCTTTCGGATTGAGCCTTTTTAGGTGGCTGGATTAACAGGAAGGGCAGACAACCATGGCGACCATTAATAACCACGCCCTCCCATTAGCTTTTGATTAGCTTACCTAAAAGCTCGTTCGCCGATTAGTGGATCTATCCTATCCTCGTTTCTTAGTTGTCTCTTTTGAAGGAGCTATGCCCGTTTTTATCTGGTTTTGCCTCTATCGTTTTTCACCAGTGCCTAGATGGCAGTTTTTTCGCCCTTAGTTGATCTGACTAAGTCACCGCTACCACCCCTTTTTATAACACGCGCTTGAAGGCATCCGTTCTTTACCGATCGATCTATTTCAACCGCAAGAGGCTTGCCATCTTGATTGCCCTTGTTTATCCCAGCCAGTTACGGCACCTGGGGAGGTTTCTCTCTAACCGATAGGTGCTACGATGCCCTTATTTACCACACGAAGATACCGACAGACCTTATACCTACGAACCTGATCGGGGAACCTACCGATTAGCGCGATAGACCTATAAACGATACCGCGATATACGAATTGAACAGGATATTAAATAAGAAAGCCTAGAAATAGCCACAGGAAAGAAACGAGTTATAGGTTAATGCCCGGAGACCCCTCTTGTCGCCCTTACCGATATGTGGTTGGTAGGAAGAGCCTAGAGAGCCCCTAGAACTACGTACAGGGGAGGGATCGAGGGTTAAGGGAAGCCCGGTAGATGCTACCGGACGAATAATAGTTAGAACGGTTATACGAGAAATAGTCGGGCATGAATAGGATATATCAGTTAGTTTATAGGATTAGGAATCAGTTGAAAAGGATCGGCAAAAGATAGCCATGGACGAGAAGGACGGAGATTACGTTGCATCGTATGGGATTGTTTCTTTGTTTCTCACGGGAGCTACGCTTGTTTTACCTACCCGTTGCAGTTCCTGTTTTCCTGACGGATCCCTGTTGTTTCTTGATGGCCCTGATGGACCTGGCTCGCTCCCAGTTGATTAGGGTTGATTAGGAATAGGTTGATTAGGTTAGTTTATAGTTATAGCTCCGCCAGCCTAGTTGTTCTTGTTATTAGATCTTTCCTGTTGTTTCCTGTTGATCGTTGATTGAACTGGCTTAGCTCCTAGTTGGCAGCGATTGAATAGGTTCGGGATTGATTAGGTTTAGGTTTAGGATCAGGTACGGTTGCAGTTAGTTACCCACCCTACCACCCACTTGTTGCTGTTGCAATCGTTCCTAGTTGTTAGGATTACCCTGTTTCTTCCTGACTTATCCTGTTGGCCTTTGATTGAACTGGCTAGCTTTCAGTTGATTAGGGTTGATCGGGATCAGGTTGATTAGTGGTTGATTAGGTTCAGTAGGAAACGAGAGCTACCGCACCTGTTGTTGGGAGTTTAATTGCTTCTTGCGGATTAATTGAACTGGGGAGGCTGTAGTGGTGCGGTGGATCTAGGCCACGTAGCCTTTTCGATGTATATTTATATGGGTCGCGTACTTATATTTTCATTAGTTAGACTTAGACCTATAGACATTACGACCTATAGCTATTTACTCCTTTTGCCATGTCTTTCTAGCTATCCTCGTCTTTGCCCTTTTTTAGTCTTTCTTTCCTAGCTGCCGTTTTTAGCTAGCCGATTAACCGATTATAGCTATTTACAGCTGTAATCTTAGTTGATCGGTACTAGGCCAGTTATTGGTAGTTGGGCAGTCCTTATTTCGTGCCTCCGTCAGCGTGCCTACGCTGCTCCTGTTCATTAGCGTTAAAAAAGCGTTCGGAAAGGATAGCTAATAATTCGAAAGCTTTTAATCGGTCGAAAAAGAGGTTAATATTTACCGCCGTAGCGCCCTTAATCCGCTTATAATCGACGATCTTAGCCTTAAAGGCCTTAACTTCTAAGTTTCGATTTAAAAAACGATAATACTAATACTTCCCTAGCTTTTTAAAGCCGTCGTTAGCGTTTAATAAGCGGTCGGCTATAAGCCTAAATTAAATAAAGGCTAACGCGAAGCCTAACCTAACCTACGAAATAACCTAACGAATTAATTTAACTTCTAAGATCGGTAATAAAGCCTACCGATTCTTATTTAGCTCTTATTTCGTTAGTTTACTAGCGAAACGACGCGCTAGGTAAGAACGAGAAACGCTATATCGAAGGGTAGCTTTTCGGATACTAATACCGTATATAACCTCCCGAATAGCGGCTTCCGTACGGATTTACGTTTCCTTTAAAGATATTATCTTAATTAATAAGAAATTAGGAAGAGATTAATAGTAAAAGGAATTACTAAAGATTAAAACTAACCGAGAAATTATAGGTTATTTAAGCAAGGGCGTCGCGTTAAAAGGCGCGTTCGTAGGTCCTAACGCAGTAGTCCGTGAAGGGGTGGCTCGTAGAGGGGTGCCCTAGCTTATACAGCTCTTTCCGATCTTCTGACTACATGTTGAAAACTATTTGAGCGGACAGAAAACTGAGTCAAAGAAATTACTCAGACGAATGATACTGGCTGCGAGGGGCTGAATCTTCTCAAGCATATGGCTGTTGGCCAGCCTCCCTGAGCTAGCATTAAAGGTGTTGAACATAGGTATTGCGTGAAACTACAGATTTGAAAGCCTTCTGGGACGCCTCGGAGAAACTCCCAAGACACCGGCATTTGCAAAACCAGCTGCCAAGTCTGCCTGCGTCTTCCTAGGGAAGGCGATATTTAAAAAAGGTTGAAAAGTAGGAAAATCGCCGAAATTGACAGACTGCAGACGTTGAGGAACGCAGCAAAAAGCCGCCGAGGAACGTAATAACTTGATTGAGAGGTTACCAGTAGGACATAAAAGGCGTGTTTCCAGACTTGTCTAACAGATGACAGGCTTTAAATAGGCCAAACTATTTGCAAGGATGGATATGCCATGATAGGTATGATCGTAGCCCGCATTTGTCCCTAGAGGCCTTCTTCCAAACTACCGAAAAACAAGGTAAAATGATCAAACAAACCCTAGCGATCTCATTGATAGCTCCGCAGCGAAACGGAAAATGGGTGTTGGTTACTTCGATGCTTCGACCGAGCCACATGACGTTCCTTCCCACCAGTCTCGGGTCCTCACGGTAGGAGAACGATGCTTGGACTCCATTGTATGAATGAAGAACAACTCGGGTTCGGCCCTACGACCATGACTGGAGCAAACACCTAACGGTTTATCGAGATTACGCCGAGTGGGTCGCCCGAGCCAGAACACAATATCTTCAATGGTGAGTTAATGCGGCCTCTACGTTCTATCGGTGGCCGAGGAACCACTTGTTGGAAGGCCTACCCCGAGGGACGTCCTGAAGTGCTCCTCGTTGTGGAAGACTCATGGGAATGCGTAAAACGTGACGAGGAAGGGAGTAAGTATGCTGGCTGAAGCGACCGCCCAGGGTGTTCGTTATGTGGCTCGGTGTCATCGCTCTGAAACTGTCCAAGTTTCCGGATCCGACGATGACATCCAGCATAGTGTTCGATGGGGACTGGACGTAATAACAGCTACTAATCACCGTCTAAACCGTCGAATACGGAAGAGGAGCAACATATCTAATGCCCGGAGGGAACGCAGCAGCGCCGCCCGCGCCACCAGCCTCAAGCGATTATCCAGTCCGGCTAGCAGTTCTGATCTCCTTCCTCCCGCCAAACGGCCTTATTCAGCGCCTCCGACGAGAGCTGCTCACGCCCTTACAAACCATGGCACATCGACGTGTTGTCATACGGGACTACAGAATGCCTGTCTATACGGTGAGCTCTTACCTAGCTTTGCTTGGCGCCTTTAAGTACTGTATCGAGGGATACGAATCCTTATACGAGGCAGGCTTCCTCGATAGAGACATCTCGATTCAGAGTCTCATAATTAACGAGGATGAGAACAATCCGTCCTAGCTTGCTTTCTGGATCGACTTTAATCTCGCTGCCAGAGAGTCACGAAATAATATTGCCTCGGGGGCCAAGGGGAAAATATTAGGCACAAGGGCCTTCATGGCGATCGACGCGCTTTTAGGCGAGCGACACTCGTTCACGCATGATCTGGGTCCTATTCTGGGATTACATATATACTGTCGCCAACCCAGATACAGCAGGGGCCGTTCCCGAGTTCGACAAGTAGAATTACGTAAATACGCGCGAGCTTTCCACCCTTAAAACGGGAACCATCAGCGACGAACGTGATTTTCTCAGGGACGCCGAGGCATATTCCACTCCCTACCATCAACCGCTGATTCCGTGCGTCAGCAAGCTGCGGGGAGTTGTGTTCCGGAATGGGAGGTGGGCGAGAGAGGATCAGGGGTTGTACACCCGGATGAGAAAAGACGCCGGAGGAGGCCGAAGAAGATTTGAGGGCATGGTAAGTAGGTAGATAGGCATCGATGCGCGCGGTCCGGGTTCTGTCGAATCGACACGAGCGACGTCAGCCAGGAAGTAGTAATAAAGGCTGGCGGCGTCTTTAAGGTGCTTAACTCCGCGTCTCGGGTTCATGACTTGCTGGCGGGCCTCCGGCGGCGGGTCCGCCACAGCCCACGCGGCTCTGCGCTGCTAACCCCAATGCATACCTTATCATCGCCGGCTTTGGAGAATACCTATCATAGCCGCTATCCGTCTCGCGACATCGCTGGTGGCGCCCGATTTGCTTTCGTCGGCTGGTACACGGGTTTTCTCGCGTCGATATTGTCTCGCCTCGCTCTGCCGAACCTGTGCGGATACTGAAGCAGAAATGGGATCACGAGGTGGCGGCGAGGCGCGCGTGCCGTGAGGCCCGGCAGCGGTGGGAAGAATTGAGGCCGGTGGAGACGACAACGGCAATGCGGTCGGTCCCTGACGCCCGGCATATATAGCATGAGAATGCTAATGCATAACTATACCTTCTTAACCGTTGTTACGGTGTCCTCTCAAGACGTTAAGTAACCAGATTTATTGTACATAAAGGCATCGACTTGACTCCATTGCAACGACGACAGTTCCTGATTATCTTGCCCTACCTTTCCCCCTCGTTGCTGTGGCCTGCTGATAATCCTGTCTTGCCGGCTGCGCCCAGCGGCGCAAGTCATCCGCGCCACGGCGGTCCGGGGAAGGTGGTTGCAGGCTTGCTGTACGATCTCTCGCCCCGGGTCTCTTGTAACCCTCTATATTCCCTTACCCCCTTTTTTTCTTTGCGAAGTTGACCGGTGTTCCAAGTGTCCAGCAGCGACGCCGCTCTCCCACAGAAGCCTAGCCCGCCAGGTCTCGAGGGCGAGGTCCATCGTATGGGGCGGAGTCGCGGGGTCTAGTTTGCATCGTGTGTGTTACGGCATACCTAAACCTATATATATCTACTTACGTCGGTAGCTATCGTGTATAGGTAGGTACGTATTCCCGGAGCGCCTGCGTAGACCAGACCGCCCACGGATGCTTCTCGCTGCGGACTTGACACCACGTGGCCGTAGCAGCCGCTTACGTGTCCGCGGCTGTCGTCGTTGCTTAGGCACTGCGTTCGGGCGCCGGGCGGGTAGCTAATTACACAGCTCGCGACGATCGCCCGGGTTTGGCCCCTGAACGTCTTCTGCGCCTCAACCGCACAGCACATTCGCGGAAGGGGAGGAGGGGGGGGGGGATGCTCAAGTAGCCGCTAGAAGTCTGCCTGTTCCGTCTCTACTACGTCTCTAGTCTCTATCCCGGAATGCCTGCGATCGCGCCCCCCTTTCCCCCCGTAATTTCAGCAAAATAACACTCTTGCTGATCCCATCTATGCAAAATTATCCAGAAGATACTGCATGGTCCCCTAGATATCACCGTTGCCCACGACTCGGGGGCGGTTGTTACACGTCACATCTTAGAGAGTTGACCGCTAGTGGCATGCTCTCCTATCCGCAGCCGCGGTGCATCCCCCCCCCCTTCCCTCCGATAAAAAGAGCTGAGCGTCGTGTGTCGCCGACTGGAGGTGCTCAGCACTAAAATGAGTTCGTGCCTCGGGCACCGGGGCCGCCCTAGTGGACGCCTACTAAGGAGGCCGCTACGAAGGCACGAGGGAATGGCGGGCGCTATATCGACGCCGGCTATCGACGCCGGTGTGTGCGTGGTCGTTGTTGTAGGCATCTAAGCGTGGTTTTAATCCCCCTCCCCTGCCCCCCGGGAAAACGCGGCGCCCCACTAAAAGAGGCTCTTGGCGTGTCGTCAAAATTCGTTTAGGCGCCTGAAGCTGACTCGGTACATGCGGTTTGGGGAGATGCAGAGGCGGGTGTTTTCGCCAGTCTAGTGAGCCACGCGCACACGCGTGGCCATCCCTGACGGCGGCGGCGTTCGATGGTTTTATTAGTACGGCGTCAGGCGATCGCCGGGGAAATCTGCTATGACCGTCCGCTCTCGAGGAGTATCCTGCGTTGATAGTAACCAAAATTGGAAGGCTGATAGTCGAGGTCGACGACCCTTTCGAGCTTGATCTTCTTCGGGAGGCCGGCCAGGGCATCCTTGAACGACATGGCGGTGCGGGCGTACATGACGTGGTCCTTGGCGAGGCCGGTCTCCTTGAGATAGGCGACGTACGGGACGAAGCCGAAGGCGCCCCTGCTCAGGGCGGAGGCGGGGTGGGCGCTGGCGGCAGCGGCGGCGATGTCGGCCTGGGGGATCAGCACGACGAGCAGCTCCTCGAGCTCGGTGGTGCTCTCGAGGATGTCGCGGATGGGATCGGTGGGGCCGAAGGGGATGGCGCGGTCGAATTCGCTCTGGGGGATGAGCACGGCCAGCTTCCGGACGCGGTCGCGCCAGGGGACGAGGCGGAGCGACCAGAAGGCCTGCTCGGCCTGGGCGACGCAGAGGTAGATCATGTCGCGGCTCCAGTCGACGTAGACGGGCTGGGCCCGCGGGACGCTGCGGCGGTCGAAGGCGGAGACCGAGGCGACGAGCATCCTGGGGTCGAGCGGGCGCGGGCGAGAGCGGCCGGAAGCGACGGCTACGCTGAGATCCTTGCCGAAGCCGACGCGGGTCCACTCGCGGTGGCACGAGAGGGCCACGGTGTGGGCCTCGTGATTGACCAAGGGAGACGGCGGACGGCCATCCTGGATGATGAGGTTGGTGGCGGAGTCGAGGACGGTGCACTCGAAGCGCAAAAATTCCTTCTTCGGGTCGCGGTTCTGGCTGTCGAGCGCGGGATGCACGACTATCAGGTGGGCGCACTCGAAGTGGTATTCCCAGATCAGGAGACGGAGCTCCTTCGGCAGCTCGTTGAAGCGCCTGAAGGTGTTGAAGGAGGTCATTTCGCTGCGCACGACTTTTTATGTGCGCCACGCACGAAAGTGGTTGACTTTTCGTAGGCCCTTGCGACGATGATGGTGGCGGTTGAGTGGTGGGGATCCCCAATCTCTTTGCGACGCACGGCAACCTGGCGGGTCTTGGCCTTAGGTATAGCCCGGTAACGGCACTCTCTGCCTCAGCTGTTACCGGGAGGTAACAATCGTAACGCCTCAACAAGGCATGTATACTCATACCTAGGTACGAGAGCCAACCACAACAACCGACAATTGATGGCCTCTTCAAACAACTGCACAAATCAATTGCTATTCCGAAAAACAGACGAAGAATGCAACTGGTAAAGTTGCCATGACAATACGTGGCAACTTGCTATCGGGTATCGATGGTGCTGCTTCATTCTGCGGCCGTGACCACCGGCATACCGTAGGTACCTACCTACATATAGGTACCTACAACAAGAACAACAACAACAACAACAACAATGCCGCATTCAAATATCCAGATGCAGTCCCACGCAGGTAAGATGGCCGTGGCTTGCATAGAAAGGCACCTGCATATCTCCACACAGATTATTTCCCAACAAGCATAGAAACGACAACTACCAACTAAAAGAAAAGAAAAGAGGAGGTGGGATGCTGCGTTATGGCTGCTCGACGTGTGCACAAGACTCCAGCGAGTCGACCTTGGCTTCCTACAACGACGGGGCAATTACCCAATTGCTGCCATAGGGGTCTCTGGGCAACTTGTTCTCCGTCTCGATCGGAGAACCGTCTGCCCGGAACCATCGAGTCTTAGCTGCCGGAAGGGGGCTGTAATACGGTCTGCTATGAGTAGTAGGACAGCATAGGAGAGTTCGAGATCCCTCTTGCCGCTCGATCGAGAAGCACCGTCAGGAGATAGTTGGCAGTTTCCGGGCCTGTGATCTCCCGTCGGCTGGTCCAATGCCAACAACGAAACCGCGCCTGTCTTTTCACCTCCGGCGACAAAGGGCGGCCGCGGGTATTGTTATCGACGCCGATTGCGATATACCTATTACGACGGGGGGCGCGCCTATCCGACGCGCCCTGCCGCGTCCCATCGCGCACGTTGGCACCGGCAGCGGGCCGATCTGCCTCGTCACGCGCCCACGCATGCGCGCATTCTCCGTTATCCGTTTGGAGGGGGAAAACTATTAATATTGTCGATTGCCTCCTGTTTGCCTGCTTTGCCCCAGCAAACCCAACCCCAGACCGCCGGAGCGGCCCGAGGGGGCTATTATCAGGGCGAAGGGGGGGGGGGGGGGGGGGCACGTGTCGGCGCACCGGGACGGAAAAGCTTCCCCAATTCCTTTGGCTATTACCTACCTAGGTACCTACCTACGTCGCCGCATGGCATGCATATCCTCGCGCCTCGCCTCATCTCCCAGGACAAACCCGGCAGCGCGCACGCGAAGAGGGAAAATCGCCCAGCCCGCGGTCCCTGTTTCTCCGGGGGGAGGGGCGTAGATACCTACCTACCTAATACCTACCTAGGTACCTAGTGTGTGTAGCTTAGGCGGCGCGCTCGTCGATCGATGGGCCGCATACCTAGGTATGTCTGGTCGCGGCGCCCCAGCGCGCCGGGCTCGCTCGACCCCGTCGCGAGCGAGCCCGCGCGCACGCCTCGTCCGAGCACGAGAGGCCAGGAGAGCGCAGGTTGCGCGCATATTCCGTGCGTGCGTACAGATGACGCTGACAACTTGGCTGCCCGGCCTATCGCACCCGACCCCCCCAAATCCCCACGATGTCTTGCTCCAACGCGTGCATGCCTGCGTGTACGTGCATATTAGGTATGCCTCGCGCATTATTCTGATGCAGAATCGCAGTCGTTAAGCCAAGGCCCGCCCCTCGCTCTACCGACGAACAGATAACGTCGCTATACTTAGGTACTGCTATTTATACTACGTACCGAAGCTCGAGATCGGGGTTTAATTCCTTGGAGTTGCACTGTTTTTTGCTTTTTCCCCCTACGTGGTCGAATCTTCTCTACTCTAACTGCCTACCGGAATTCCGCGTTACTTTTTTCTTTTCCCTTTCCCCCTAAGCTCGGTCGGTACTCCAGCGGAACTACGGAGCTGCGGATATATTCACCCATATGATATAGCCCCCTGACGTACCCGCATACTACTCCATTGCTCCGTTTATTTCTGCCCGTCCGTTGTCCTGAACGGGTAACTTCCAGTCCCGACTCTCTCCTTTTCTACTCCCTGTTATACATGCGCATGTACTACCGTCCCGATGGAAAAAAGATGCCTTTTGCCTCCTGGACATCACCCGCCGTTTACTTGTACGGATTCGATCGACCAACTACCTGCATAAGCTTTCTAAACTATGAACTATTTGGGTACTTTTTTACCTTGGTATGGCCAACTTATACGTAATTTCCGCTATCCTCGTCCAAACACATAAACAGATATAGACATATAAATTAGAAATGTTATCGAATTCGAGAAGCGTCCAGCTTGCTTAGTTTCCCTCAGGTTTAAGGCCATTAACATGGCGATCCAGATAAGCGTACTTATTCAGTAAGCGAAATATATAAACTAGAACCGTATGTACTCCATATAATAGGTATAGCTCTCGTAATCATTCCATGTTGGTTCCCGGACCCGTAGTCCGCAAACGTCCTAAAATACCAGGTACCCTTTCCCACCGCTTTCCTACCGCGGCCCCAGAGGCAAGAAAAAGAAACCAAAATGGTATCAAAAGCAGCCATAGTAGAAAGTTGCCCAGTCATCCTGTAACCCTCGCGCCTACCGCCCTCCTAGTATAAAGAGGAGAAAGAAAAAGAAGAAAAGAAGAAAAAAATACACGTTCAGATCCCCATATAGAATATAAATAGATGATATACGCCGAATGCCAACCCGAAGTCGAGTAGCATGTCGTCCATGAACAGAGGAATATCTCCCAGTGTTTTTCCGTCAAGAGGCCGAGCTGTCGGGAGCGGGTGATACGCTGCACGAGCGGGAGTGTCGGAGCCCCTGCGTCCGTCGATTATATCTCGGGGTTGAGGCAGGTAGTGTAGTGTACTCTGTCGGTGGTTAGGACGACACCGACAGGGGGCTAGTCGCGCTCCCCAGATCCCGCCCTGTCGTCGGATAGGCCGAACTCCGGGTCGTCAGCCAAGACCACGCTTCCGTGGCAGCGTAGACGCAACAGTCTCGTGCCGACGGCACAACAAATATTATGGATCCCATTGCTAGAGCCTTTCTAGCAGGGAGGGGTACACTTCCGATATTGCTAGACCGTGCATAGGTACAAACGAGTAGAAATGATAGCGCAGGTCGAGGTTGGAGTGATGCTGAAATGGACAAGCCTCGACATGCTTTTAACCTTCCAGACTTATATAGCCTTCCATGTTTCCGTCGCGGTCAAGTAAGGTACTGATATTAGGTATGTGGATGCTGTGAGAGTTCGTCCGAGTATACACGCGATAGATTCCGTAGTTGCGGTTTACAAACTTTGGGTTGAGGGGAAAACAATGTTCATGTCGCCGCTTTAACTCCGTCGACGGCCACCTTGTCTCTCGCGATTGTCGTGGAGGGGGTACCGCACGTAGTCCCCCGTAGGAATCTCGACGACGGGCTGGTATATCGAAGGGCTGTCTGGTTGCGTGGTCCGAGGAATACGAGAGCATGGCGGTGGCTCTAGATGAGACGCCATCCGCGAGTCGGTAGATGAGGCGACGTAGTTGCCGGGAGAGTCTGGCATCTTCTCGATATACGGCTTTTTGCTGGTTGAGCGAACGCCCGAGCCTACGCTAACGCTCGAGCTCCGGCGATGGCGGCCCGACGAATCGGGGTTGTCCTCTCGACTACCCGAGTGTCTTTTTGATCGATCCTTGCGCTCTTTAACGTCCTTGGATGGTTCGCCGGAGCCGCCCCTAATCTCAGCGTTGGCCCGAGATTCTAGTAGTTCGATATACTTTGATCGATAATGCTGGCAATCTCTCTCGAGTCTGTCGCAGGTGGTTTTGAGCTCTTTGATTTGCTCTGCTTGCGTAGCGTTGTCTTCGCTAAGCTCCTTGTTGTGTTGTTCCAGATTTTTACAACGCTCGTATGCCTCGTGATACCGCCGCTCTGCGTCCCGAGTCAGCTTATGGGACTTGCTCAACTCCTTGTCTAGCTCAGTGCGCTCCCTCTGGAGGTGCTCGACCTCAATATTCGCTTGGCCGAGTGCTTCCTGGAGAGACCCGACGCTGTAAAGCTGATCATTGCAGTCCTCCTTCGTAAATCTACGGTCAGTTCTCCCACCCATACTGGTCTGGTCACTGGACGAGGAACCGATCCCCGAATCGTATTCTTGTTCGTGGCTGCGGCGACCTTTTGGGGAGCCCGAAGCTGATATTTGGAATTTGACGCGCTTGCCCGACATTCCACCACAAACGTTGCCCAAGAAAGCAACCGATTACACAACAAGTCTAGGCGTTGCTGTACAGCAAGGTGACCTCGGGGGGGTGTTAGTTACAAATAAGAGGGGAGCGATGATAGTCTCGACCGGATAGGACTAGATAAGGACGTGATCTCGCGCCACCGACCGCAGGTCAAAGCCGAGCCGACAGGTATAGAAATCGACGATGAGTTACTTTAGTGTGTAATAATATAGGACAGATAAGGTAACCCTGGCTGGCAGTATCGTTTATGGGTAAAAGTGTAGAAACTGAATAGGAGGACAAAGAAACTTTATATGGGAAGGAGGCCTTAGGATTCGTGATTCGTAAATGGTATAAAGGGAGCGAAAGGGGGGTGCTGCCTTCGGTATCAACGGGAAATACTTCGTACCAACTTACAACATGCGCGGTGAGATGGGCATTGACCCGGGATATAGCAGATGTAGACTACAGGTATCCTGAGGTGCTGGATGGATGCAACGAAGCCGGCTGCCTCTCACATGGAGTCATAGCTCCAGGCAACGCCCCCTTTCCCCCCTGCCACCCCTCCCCGGCCTGTGGCATCCTCCCCGATGGATGAGCCTCACTTTTTTTCCTTTTTAAAAAAAAGCCCCGACACTTACCTGCTTACCATGAAATGCGGAGGGATGCGACAAAACGAGTGATGTAACCGGCAGGCGGGATTACGCGGTGGCGAGAGATACTTGTTCGTGCATGTGGGCAGCGAGCGAGAAATGCCCCGCTGGGAGCCCGGTGCGAAGCGTAACACGCACAGCTCGGTTGCCATCGACCGCGAATTAACTGATCGAGGAGGTGCATACGGGCAGAAGGGCAGAAGGGGATATAGAGGGAAATAGAAGCGGCTAGAGACGTGAGACGGCATATTGTGCTCCCCTCCCGGCTGTGAGTTGGAAATGCCACCCGCCAGTTCCACACCGAAAAGTCACGGAACGCCTCACAGATCGGTCTCCCCCCACGAGGGATGACGGTATTTCACGACTCGCAGGCGTGGCGTACGCATGCACGGAGGCGCCCAGGTCGAAGAGAGGAGGGGTAGAGAGAGGGAGAGAGAACGCGCAGGTCGACGAGGAGCGACGCGAGGGGATCGGGAAGTGCTGCGCGGGCGAACGCAATCCCCAGCAGCGATCTTGATCCCGGCGGGCAGGTGTGCGCATTTGCGTCGAGCGGGACGCTGTTCGCATCGGCGTGCAGGAGAGCCCATGGGAACGCCTGGCCAGTCAGAGCCGACGACAGCGCCCGCAGGGACTCTGGGGTGGCCGTCCGGGGCCAATCGGGGGACGGCAGGCCAGACGGCGCACAGCAACTGACCGCAAGGTGACTCACAGCAGACAGCATATGTAGCGAGGTTGCAAGGCGCGCCGTCGTCTCGTGCGTTCGATTGTATGACGTTTGCTGGCGTTCTGGTAGCTGGCGTGGTTCGTTCTGCCTGCTCGAGCTGGCATCGATTGTTGGTGGTGAAGGGGTGGGAGAGCGGCGCTGGGATTGAAGGGGAGACGAGCAGGGGGAGGGGGGGGTGGGTGGAATGCCGCCCAACAGGGCTGAAGGAAGTCCCCTGGTGGCCCCACTGATCGATGGCTCTCGCCTTGGCGACCTACCTTTTACCTGCCTAGGTAGATACCTGTACCTGTCTCCTACCTGCCTAGGTACCTAACTAGGTACCTAACTGGGTACCTGGCCAACGTCAGGACTTCAGGCAGTTACCACTGCCCGGCCGGCGTGAGGGTCGCCACCAGGGGCCGGGGAGCACCTGAATATTGGGTACATGAACTGGCCAGGTCACGTACCTAACGAGGTACCTTCTGATCTTCGGCGTTGAAGAGGTAGTACCTTCCACGGACTCGGGAAGCACAAGAAAGAAACAATGGGGGAACCCTGGAGGGTTACCGGAGCCATGATTGGCTGGCATATGATGGTGGCCCCACATTCAATGTGGAAAAACTGGGGTGGTTTATCATAGGTAGGCAAAGACGAGGTAGGCAGGGTCAGTACCTATGTACTTGGGCATCTCCCTCAGACACAGGATACAGGGAGGTTATTACATTTCTCTTATGTGTACCTATGTATACCTAGGTATACCTTAGGCCGGTAGGTACCTCCTCTTCTATGCTACCCTAGGCTCGAACAGGTAGGTAGGTAGTGGGGCCGCTGACGGGAATGGCAGGGACGGGCCTGCGAGGGTACATAGCCTGGTTAGTCATCAGGTCCTAACTTTAGACGCGGACCCTTACCCCCCCCCCCCCCTTATCGAAGAAAGTCAGCTGCGGTTCTGTCACTTTTCAGCGCGTCACGTCACGTCGGATTACGGCCCAGGGAGCATATTCCTTCGGCTGGCATTCCAGGTGTGATGGATGGGTGTCGACTGCCCCGACGGCCTCCAGCAGCGCCCGTCGGGGATCAGGTCGCGCCCCGGCGTTCTGCTCGCGCGCCGCCTGAGACTGGCGGCGAGACAACGGCGACCCATGGCCTCGTCCCTGTTCTCCTGCCCCCCCTCCTCTCCTTCTCCCTTTCTCCCTCTATCTCTCTACGAGCGCGCGCGGGCGAGCCTTGCCTGCCCGCCAAGACCCAAGCCATCATCAGATGCGCTCGATCTCCGACAGCGCGACGTCGGGGAGACCGTGACGTGCCATCAGCCTGTTACGCGTCCAGGACAGCCTTCTCGGTTCTCGAAGCGTCGACCGGCGCCGAACAAGGCCTCGGCACAGCAACGAGGGTGGGAGAAAGTGCATCTTTTCCCAATGGGCTGGGCTGGCCGACGGATGACCAGTCATACGTGATGTGCTGTCAATCATGGTAATCGTCCTACGGCACCATTAATCCGGTTTAACGACCTGCGGCATTGACCTTGGCCGAAAAGTACTTTCTCCAGCAGGTCGTCGTCTACGGACGTGGCCCGAGCCGGAGGAGACTTTGCGCACATACCTACCTCCTATGACATGTCGACATTGTAGATGGTAGATTGGTAGAAACACCTAGCTTACTCTGTTCTATTACAAATGCGTGGCTTGCAGCCGAGGAACTCCTCTAGAGATCATCGCTGTCGACATCTAGGTAACTACCTTCTAGTTTCCCTTACCTTCTTCTCTACTGTTCCTCTATTATCCGTTCCTGAAAGGGAAACCGTTTCTCTACTTCTCCTTTCCTCCGGATCCTTCATGTATATTTGATAAAACCTCGTCAGCCAGGTCTGGTATGAAGATCGCTGCCCAGCACGGTGAGTTGTGGAAGGGAGTTCGTAGTAGCTAGGTACTTAATAAAAAGCGAATGTTATGAATCCTTCGCATCAGAACCGACGTCCTCTTTCTCCCGAGTGCATGCTGCTACGACTGTGACCGTCCCAAGATTCGCTGCTAAGCTTCTGAGGTGAGAGTATGCGTGCATATAGCAGCTTTTGCGCCATCTCTTCTCCCCATGAGACCGTCCCGTTGGGCCGCAGGAATGCCTCTGCACCACATACCTGCGCAGTGAAGACGACCGTAGGCCGTGGGCGAGGCCAGGCATCCGTCCCAGACATGTGCCAGCATGCAGAGTCGTGCTGGGTCTATGGCTGGTGATTGCAAACTACACAGAACGGCCCGAGTACGACATGCGGACGCTCATGCACCGCGCCTGGCGAAACCGGCGTGGACGTGCGTGGCCCCTATGGGATAAGGGGTGCCTACGTGGGGTGATGCCCGCTTCTCCCTCGGATCACAGTTATGCAGTTGGTTCGACATCGCAGTCGATCATCCGGGCCTTAAACCCCATGCGGCGTCATAAGCAGGTAAAACTCTCCACATGACGGGTGGACTCGCACAAAAAAGTCCTACGGGGGGTCAAGGATCACACATCTCTTCGACCTCTCATCATTCACCGACGGGCTTTGAGGACGGCGAGGCCATCAACGTTCCATCTACTCGTAAATTGCAGCTGTCCGTCTGTGTTACTCTTCATAGAAGAGTTCGCCTCTGAAATTACGCGTGAAGAGATTGTGGGAAATTAGGCTAGTAGTCCGCTAAGAAGAAATAACAAAGAGAATAGACACGAGATAGTATAATTTGACTAGAAAACCCAGGAAGATAGCGTTCTCAGCAACTGCCGTACGTCGTGAAGGCATACGTACGCAAACGCGAGGTCGGGGGAACGCTCTCCACTCTGTCCCCCCCCTACCCCTATTCCTCTCCTCCTCCGTCTCCTTTCCCTCCCACCCCCTTCGTACACGGCCCATGACCCCCGCGATGCAATGAAACGTAACGGCATAGAGTGACAGCTGTCTAAGAGAGACAACACGAGTTAGTAAATTTGGAGATGGCTGGAATCTCGGAGTTGGTTCGGCTTACGAGGTGAAAAAGAACCGGCTCGTCGACGACGCCGTGCCGATTAAGCCCCTGAACTGTGTGGTCTCAACGTGTGACACGCCTCGGCTAATGAACTAGAACCGCGGAGGCGGGCGGATGCCCTATCCTCCCCCCTTTGCCCCCCCCTTTCCCCCCTTTCTCTCTCTCCTTTCCTCTTCCCTTTACCTACGCGAAGCTGTACCGGCGGCGGGACGGGATGGCGGTCTCGAGGCGGTGGATGGTGCGGCGCTGCTCCTCGACGAGGATGTCGCGGTCGGCGAGGTCGGAGCTGCGGGCGGCGAGGGAGCGGCGCGCGCGCTCGTAGCGGCCGCGCAGATCGTCGAGGAGGGTCTGCAGGTCGTCGGCGCGCTTGCGCCAGCGGTCGCGGCTCGCCGCCAGGTCCGCCGCCCGTCGCGCCCCGTCCGACACCGTCTCCGTCAGCACCCGCACCCGCGCCGACAGCGTCCCGTTCTCGCGCCCCCGCCGCTCCAGCTCCCGCGCCTGCCCCTCCACGTCCGCTTTCAGAGCCGCCACCCGCCGCCGGTACCGCTCTGAGCTTTCGCTGTCCCGCGACCGCGCCAGCCGCAGCCCCTCGAGCTCGCTCACCAGCGTCTCCGCGCCCGCCTGCAGCCGCTTGTTCTCCTCGGCCGACGTCTCGAGCGCGTCCTTGAGGGCCAGGTTGTCGTCCCTGAGAGTCTTGTTGTCCTCCTTGAGGGCCCTGTTGTTATCCCTGAGCGTCTCGTTCTCATACTTGAGCGTCTCGTTCTCGCGCGTCAGGGCCTCGTGGCTCCCGCTCGTGGTCTTATTCCGCTGGCACACTTCGTTCCACTCCTCCACCGAGACGCCGGCGCAGTTGTCGAAGCATCGGGGCTGATAGTGGTTGTGGCGGTGATGGTCGTGGCGGTGATACTGGGAGCGTGAACGGGCAAAGTTTTGGCGACCTGAAGGCGCCGGCCGAATTCGGTACGCAAACATGTACGATGAGAAGTGGGTAGAGTGCCCCTCTACCCGAGGGCTAATACAATAGTAAAGTGGAGTTGATGGTCGACGAGTGAAGTCGTTGGCTAGATAGTCTCCGCGCAGCTACGAGATGCGTGTGTATAGCTGCAGAAGCGGACAGGGATCGAGGCAAATAGGAAGAGAGACACGAGCCAAGATGGGCGGCAGCAATATGCGGGAAAGTTCATTATAAAGGCGGCAGGCATCGCCCCGGCAGGCCTCCACCATGAGGCTGTAGTGGGTAGCGGGAGGGAGGCGACGCCGGGAAGGATGGCCAAGCCTAGATCATCACGGGGCATGGCGATGAGCCTCATGCGACAGTTGATGATATTATAACGGGGAAGGGGGGGGGGCGTTAGGACAGCGCAGGACGCGTCCATCCAGTCACATAGTCAATATGCGTGTCTCTATCTAAGGTGAACGTAGCCTAGGACTTGAGGATACACCCGTCTAGGCGGGAAAGACGCGTAAGGGCCGCCCGTCTAGGTGCGGTTGAGCTCAGCATCTGCCAGCCTAGTATCATTCGGTGGGCGGTGCGATAACGATGACGGGGGATGAAAACATCACCCGACACGAGCAAGCAAGCGGCCGAGGGATGCAATACCTCATTTGACTTTGGCACTTCTCGCCGTGTCTCAGAAGGGCTCGCTGGTCACTCGGCCAGCGTCGCGGAGGAAGAGCCAAAAATACGTCGAGGTTTTCCCGCTCCCACGCGACTGTGGATTTTCCATATAAGAACGACGTCGGTTGCGGGGTGGACATGGAGCCAGACACGCATCGGATCTTCAGAAGGGAGCGCGAGCGCGAGTTGTCCCTATCCGGAAGTAGATGCGACGGTCGCCGCGAAGGTGGGAAAGCGGTTGAAGGCGACGCTTGATCGCGCAGACGGCGGATCGAGAAGACCCTTGCATGGCGTTCCCGGGGGAGGCTGTGGGCGATGATTGCACCGCTAAGCGTTAAGCGCGCCGATGCACCGCTGCACTGCGGGAGCTTAGGTGCATCGAACCCGCTAGACCGGCCTGTGCTGTGCCTGCATCAGGTCCCTGCCAGGCCGAGCCAAGATGTCGACAGGCGCCAGGAGGCGGCAACAGGTGGCAGAGGCTGGCAGGGGGTTAGCTGGGGTCAGCACGGAATGGTACCCTAGTTCCTGATCCCGTCATGCGCACCGCGCTTCAGCTGACAGCCCTCAACTGGACAAGAGATCGTTCCGCTCAGCCCCGTCACAGGCCCCGTTTCTGGTCAGGGCCGACTGCGTAGTCTGGCTATATCAAGGTCACCAGCCCCCACGATCCTCGAGCATGATACCTATGGCCCGACTCCATGTCAAAAATCCATCCCGGCCCTTCTGAGGGACGACTGCGTCTAGAATGGTGCTAGGATAAAGAATCCCAACATCCACTTCTCCCATTCCAGAGGCCTCACCCGTCGACGCCGACACCCTCGAAACCTGCCTAGTTCTATGGCCGCCTCCCTGCCGCTTACGTCTCTCCCGTCGTCGGACAAACGGATCGCAACAAATTTCACCGTATCGTGGGGTACCCGCGTTGTGAAACCTCGCCACGGACAACACCCCCCCCTCTCCTCCTCCGGCAGAAGAGGGTGGTCAGGGATGCCTCTCTGGTCCTCCTTATCCTAACGCCTCCCAAAGTCTCCCTCCCACCGTTGCGAGGAATTCAGTAGAGGGACCTTTGCAAACCCGTGGCTTCTACGCCTCCAACTGGGCGTTGGTGGCCTAGAATATTAGTAATGACACTATTGCCATCAGCAGCTAAATATAGGCCCATATCCATGGCTAATACAGCCCCCAATATTATTCCCGACACGCGTGTCCCCTCTATCAGGTGTTTGTCCACCAAGTAGTCGTTTGATACCTCGTGTGTCGTCCTTCACTCTCGGGGAGTCATCCAGGAAGGGGAGGAGAGAAGAGGAGTTAGTACACATCTTGCCTAAACTCTCCCAACTAGCAACGCCACATGTTGAACCCTTGATACCCAGTTGATATCACCCGGAGTTCGTATTAATCGCATGGTTGTGGTTCGGCATAGCTAAGCAAATTCCTGGGTAGCTGCATATTCGGTACGGAACAACGGACGTCATCACGGGATCGGGGTATCATCCAGCCTTGAGGCTCTTGGGAAAAAGGGGGGTGTCACTGCCTTCGAGTAGGCCTCCGACCTCCCAAAAGCCCACCAAGATTTGTCCTATTACGCAAGCATCCACAAAAGCCGAGGGGAGTAAGGGAGAATACTTACTAAAACAAGAAGTTGAATCTTAGGTAATTATATTGGATAGCTGTTTATTATAGAAACAGGCGTGAGTCACTAGGCTTGCTAAACTTGCACATCGTGGTCACACAGACTGTAGGCTTATGCGTAACGATATGATGTGCTATTATAACCGCAACGAATGGATTACAAGGCATACAAGCTCCCCGCTCATAGCGTAATACACGATGCACAAGTGAAAACGAGCTCCAGACAGTGACGCTGCTTTTCTCGCTTTCCTACTCGTTTGCTAACAGCCCACTAAGGTGCCCACCGTCGACGGCATCCATCGCTGCCTGGGCCTGTTCCGGTCGAGGCGCAATCAACGGATCAAAAAGTCGTGACGGCAGCTTTCGGTCTGTGCCGACGAATGAGAGGCAACTCTCTCGCTTGTTGCATTACTGCACCTAGTTGGTGAGCGAGCAATGGAAGACGGAAGGGGAGAAGCGGTAAAACTAAAACGAATAGTAGAGACAGATGCCTACATCATAGAATCGGCCAATATTTCCTTCGTTCGCGCAAATTTGGTGGTTCTACATCCTAGGTAGGCCACCCACCGACGTACAGACGTCGACTGGTAACATTTGGTCATCCAACAAGTTATTCAATCCGTTCGATCTTCACTCGGTCGACACGGGAGGCATTCGATGGATCGGCCGAGGACTCGTCGACCATTTAAAGTGGATATGGCCCTTGTCGCCGACTCTCGGTCCGAGTATTCGACGTAGCAGTAGCCCGGGTTCCTGCGCGTAAAGGGATGGAACGATACGTGGATTTGCTCGGGCGCCCCCGGGCCACCCATGCCAACCAACTCCTCGATATCGTCGAATGTGGCTATGTAGTGTAGGTTGCCAATGTAGGCGAGCCGTCCCTCGGCGATGAGCTTGGCGCTAGCCTCATCGTACGGCTGTAACGATACACTCGTCTTCTCGCCGTCATAGGAAAGACTGTGAGATATGTCGGGTTTTTTGGATGGTCGAGGCTCGGGCACCTCGTCATCGAACGTGGACCGCTTCGTCGAGGCGGCGGGGTCTGGAGTCCGCCAGTCGGAGGAGTATCGCCAACTCCCCGGGCGCTGTGTCCTACTCATTGCTCTGTGTCGATCGAGTTGGGTTCGAAAGGTAGTTGTTCCTATTTGCTTCCAAAGAATGCAGTATGTACTGGGGCCACAGCGAGTGCGTAAGGCTAAACACGGACGTCATTAGAATTACAGCTTGGGGGGGGGAGAAAGAAGGAAAGAATTCCATCTAAAGATCCCGTGTCGGTGCCCATTCAAAAATAAGCAGGCTTGCGTGCAGTATTGCCTGGTAGGTGGTGGAGAATTGGAGTGTCCGATGATAATTCACGGCCACCACCCTCAGAGCTGTCTCCCAATGGTCCTTCCTTTCGCCTGTTCGCGTCGCTCCTTCCCAGCACTCTTGTCGGCGCTCGGGACAGGTCGTCGTCTTCACCGTCGTCATCTCTTCGAATCATTACGGGGCCCTTACACGTCGACCTCGATAGCAACGAGAAGTCTCGGACAGCGGGGTGCACCTCGTTTGACTGAAGCTCTGATCCCTCTGACCTATCCGTTGCTTGTGATGCAGGCGCCGATTGCGAAGAATCCATGTTCTCTGTCTCAAGATGTTCCTCTGCTTCCTTATAGGGTTCCGGCCAATTTACCGGTTCTGCTTTCGCTTTTCCTAGCTCTCTTTCGAGTGAGGATCCCTGCAAAGCCTCAGATCAAAGGGCCAAAAGGGAGAAGCTAGCCAGTTGAGCAACTGCGGCCCGGAATACATTGACGTCTCCGTTTTCATCGTCCGCTTCTCCTCCCGGTACGCACGGGTGATAGTGCAATGTCCGTAGACCGTCTTTGCTTGATGCGAAGGAAAATCAAGGACTCGCCAGCAGTAACATAGCCATATACAACTCCACATTGGATCATATAGTCAAATACCTGTGTCAAAGCCATAGCAACTTGTTCATCTACCTTGTCTCATTCCTTCGGCTCAGGATCGGCCTTAATCTTATTGCCGTTGACCGGTTCAATAACCTCTATAAACAGCGCCGCTTTGACAAGGGCAGACCTGAGATCTTCGACCGCAAGCTTATGGGCTGCCTTGTAGTCATAAACAAAGGCCAAGTTGTCGTGTCCTTCTAGGTGCGTACGGATGCCTAGCCCATCAGGGTAAGTCGGCGACGGTTTGACTTTCTGCTCGGACGCGATTCGTTTGCTCGGCCCAGATTGCCGTCGGCGCTTTTGCATTTCTTCGCTTGGGTCCTCTTGTGCGTTTTGGCTAGGCTCGCTTCCTGTGGTCCCACGATACTAGTAAATAATCAACTAGTATGCGAATGTGCCTGATCTATTAAGATGACTAGGAGCTAACTGCTAACTGACGAGCTTATATACAGCTCCCTTCACAGTGAATATTGGCTTATCTCCTAAGGTGCCGTTGGCTGTCGATAGGGCGGTCAATGGGGCGTCGGCTTCGTCGACTGCTGCTTTGCGGTCGACGCCGACGACGAGCAGCTACACCCCGCCGCCCTCCGCGACGCGCCGCTTATCCGCCGCCTTCGAGCAGATGGAGAAAACCTATCGGGCCGCTTTCTATAGGAGTGGTGCTAAGCGGACTCGTACCGTAAGTAATTGTCCCGCCCGCGACGCGCTACCACTGCATACGTGCCCCGCGTACTAATGCCTGAGCAGCGCATTTACGAGTATGAGTCGTAGGTCAACACTGGGCGAGCGGTTGCTCGTATCCCCCAACTCCGTCTTCCCAAACCTAAAGCCCATTGTCATCCTGAGCTCCTAGTGACTTTAGATGATCGACATCGTCACAGGAGTCTCTAGGAAATATGGTGCGGGATAGGACGTCCGCCGCTTTGATGCGGGGACCTGAGATGTAGTCGATCTTAAAATGTGATAGTCGAAGCTTTGAGGCCCATCTGGCGTAGATATCCTCTACTGCTGAAGAGTGTAGGAACCAGGTCAAGGGTTTGTGGTCGGTGAAGGGGGTGGAGGGCTCTTTGGCGTATGTGTTCGTATCGTCAGCAAAACTCAATCATGGCGTACAGCTCCCGTTTGTATGTGCCATAGTTGCGTTGTGGCTGGGCCTTCCTGTCGGCCCGCTATCCCATCCCGGATGTCGACGACGTGAGTACCCCCCGCTGCGATTGCCGTGCGCCATCTAATTGCTATAGGTAGGAGACAATGACGATCAAGCAGAAGGCTGCAGAGGCACTTGTACGGTACATTCTTACGAAATTACTGGAGGTCGAACCTCGTAGGTATATTTCAGGAGTTCAACTTTACCAGACTGCGATTCAGTAACAACCACCGCGAGATTAAGCAAAGAAGGGGTGTTGATCAGGTTGAAGAGGACCCGAGCGAAGAATGGCTGAAGAGTGTGAATCTCCGCCACCCTATTCGCCGCCTTACTCACCAACGACCATCGTTGCCCGCGCGTCGATGATGCCTTGGGATGACTACGCTAACGCGTCAACGGCGCGATAACGCCACGACCGGGGTCAGGGGACTTACCGGAACACGCTCCTTGCGCCGCTTGGTGCACAGCGCGTACTTGGACAACGCCGCATTCTCAAACGCACCGTCGGGTCGGGACGGCAACGAAAAATGCTTTACTCAAAGGTGTCGATGTCTTTTTTCGTTGACTACTTGGTTAGAACAGGCAACTGCAGTCATTTCTTCGGTGACCATCGACTGGTGAAAGAGTTGTCTGCTGCCAAAGACCTTCTCTATGGCATCGAAATGGTCTCGCTGAATGTTGGTAAAGTTGTCCCAAGGACGAAGCCACATTGGGGGGGGGGGGTGCTTGTCGTTGACTCTCGTGGCGCGTTCCGTGGAACACAGGGACTTGTCTGCAGTTTGGAGGGCTTTGAAAGTGTGGAGGTGGCGGTTGCGTAAATACTCTTTCAGCGTACTTCTATATTTGGCGCTCCGCTGCCTCGATACGCTTCTCGGCCTACTCCTCTCGCGGCTTTGCTTGCTCCAGCTCGCGCCGGAGCTGCTCGGTCTCTCCAAGATGCTCAGGCATTGAGCGCGGAGGTACTGGATATGCGAAGTGTCGATCAGCCTCGGGTTGTGTCGATCTCAAGACGAAGAAGAGTTCGAAGTTGCCGGACGATGGTGATATTGCGAAAGGGTTTCAATCAGGCAACCTGTAACGGGGTGCTTTATAAGAATATGGGTGCGACACCCGTATAAACACTCATCAAAAGGCCTAGCGTAGCCTAGTCTTACCACTAGAGGTGCCTAATATACCCTACAGGTACCTATCCACAAATGCGGGGTCGCGAGAAGCGAGAAGTCAGGAGAAGCCAGTTCGGCCACCTACTTTAGTTACCTAAGTAGGTACTTTAGAATCGCCCAATAAATATCCCTCGTTGATGAATTCGTTGGAATTGCCAGTGTAGTCACGATGGCACTAGATTCGGGGGAAAAAACACGGCTAAAAAATACCTACTTGTCCTCTATCTCTCTTCTAATTAGTCAACGCAAGATGAAGGCGGCCGGGGTGTGTGCGCCCCGTGGGAACAGAGCAGGTGGGTGTGGATTCCGAGTCGCATTGCCATCCGGAGATGTGGTTGCGGCATTACGTCGGAGACGAGGCGGTGAACGTATCGTGATACGGAATCCAGCTCGCCTAGGCGAGCCCCGCGGCCGAGCACGGCGTAAGGTGCGGCGTCGGCATCGCTTAGATCTCGGGCGTAAGACGCGCAGATAGGCTCGCTCTGGAACGACACATCCCGCCCGTGGTTAACCGTGCAAAAGGTATCAGGATTGCCGGACTGAGCCGAGCGCACCCATCTCAGTCTAATTACTCGACTTTCGAATACGACGGGCGAGGGGCCGTTTTGGGAACACGGTGATGTCCCGAAGCTCACAACAACTCCTTCGCAACAGAGAGGTAATATACCTACCTACTATATCCGGTTAAATCATAGCAACGCAGTTAATTCCTCGTCCCTCCTGCTCCCTGTCTCGTCTTGGCCTGCAGCGCAATATGCTGTTATTACACGCGGAGAATCTCGGTCGCTGCTACGTTATGGACTGGTTTGGCCACGATAGCGACACAGGTAGGACTTGTCATGCTGCTAAGGCATATACGAACGAGGTTACCTGCCTAACTGGGTTTGTTGACCGTCAACATCGGGCCAGGTAAAAACAGCTCACCGTGGAATCCATGCCAGACTGGCCATACAATGCCTGTCTTTTAATCACCGCTTTCCCTCCGGCCGATGTCACCATAGGCCCAGGGTGCACATATATATTCGCCTCCACCACCCGGACGCTCTCGGGGCTTGTGTTGAGAATGTCTCCAGATCAACGCTCTCAAGACCCGGGCATCCGCACTTGAGTCTTTCGGGGTAGCCGACTTTTATCGTCCGCGAAATTCATCAGTTCCTAGTTGCGGAGAAACTGCCGAAATAACTTGCGAAGCATGAGGTGCTACATCGTACTAAGAGCTCTCCTACTCGAGCTACTGGTCCAGTATGTCTCGGCTGCAGCCGTGGCGGCGACGGAGAACATAAGGGCCATATACCTATTCAAGGATGTCTTGAGGTCGGACACGGTATCCCTGAAGACGTCCGGATTTAATACCGTGCTCATCTTCGGCGTCGGGATCCTGGACAACGGCGACATCATGTACTACTCGAACACGCCGGGGAGCAGCGACGTGCTAGTAGCATCCAACGGGACGTATGTCGGCGGCGACGCGCTCGCCGAGAAGGTCCGCTCGTTCAAGACGGGCGACACGAGCATCAACCGGGTGGAGATCACGACGAACGCGCACCACGTGCGCGAGCTGGTCGCGAACCCGGGCACGGGGCCGGAGACGCGGCTGTTCCGCAACTTCGCGGCGCTCAAGACGGCGTGGGATCTCGACGCGGTCAACAACGACGACGAGGCCATCTACGACGTGGCGAGCACGGTGGCCTTGGCGAAGCTGCTGGGCCAAGTGGGGTACAAGTACACGACGGTGCCGTACATCAACTCGGGCTTCTGGGCCACGATCACGGCGCAGATCAACAGCGGCCTCCAGGAGCCGGACCTCCTGCTCGACCGGGTATACCTGCAGTGCTACGACGGCGGCGCGAGCAACAACCCGATCAGCTGGCAGAACACGCTCGGCATCAAGGTGGTGCCGCTGATCTGGGTCATCAACGACTCGAAGCCGTCGCAGGGGAACACGGCCCAGCAGGCGCGCAACCGGTTCGCCAATTGGAACTCGCAGGGTCCCGTGGCTGGCGGAGGGTACTGGAACGACTACGATATCGAGAAGATGGGCCTGTCGTACACCGAGTACGCCGACGTTCTCACGAGCATCTTCCCTTGAGAGCAACCGCACGGGTAGCGTAGATGGAGCGGCGAGGGGGGGGGAACTCGCAGGGTAGAAGCGCCGCGGCGTTGAGAAGCTCAGAAATCAGTCAAGATATGGTGTGCCTAGCTAGAATCTTCATCGCCGAGGGCCAGAAACGAAAGGGGAATACATCTATCTACTTACCTAACCCACGGGGCCGGACCGAATAAAGGGGTCGAACATTCTCTCCTATCTGAATTGTGTGTCGGTGCCACATTGTACCCCTGTCTTGCCTGTTAAGGCTCTTAGTTGCCTGAGCCTACCACCTGTAGGTACCTCGGCATGTAACACCTGGGCACCGTCGCATACCTAAAGTGCCTTAGGTGAGTACCGCACATGTCAACCTCAACGCCTAGTAGTAGGTAGGTACCTCTACCTACCTGCCTACCTGTAACGAGCTTCAGGCGGGTAAGTGCCTGGCTTGACTTATAAATGACATGGGCGTGCGTCCTTTATAGTGTTCCGTAGTCCGGTAGCTTAGGTACCTGAATGCCCGAACCGCAATAAGCACAGGTACCCATAGGTAGAGTTACCGGCTCTGGAGGAGGGGTAGCAGCTCTGACCGTCTGCTGACATGTGAAGTACCTGCCCACTTCGGCACGGAATCCGATCCTGCTACGTACCTGACATAATCTCTGCCTGTAGGTAAGCCTTGCCCCTCCCTAGGGCTCGACCTTCAACGACACCTGCCATCTTTCCTCATTCAACTCGATCCTTTCCCCCCTGCCGACGACCTCACTACCTGCACACTCATCAACTAGGTAGCCTTTGGTGGTATCCGGCTACCCTCACCATATTCGAGTCGAGCCATCCACACCAACCGCAGCCTTCAGAGGGCCCTTGAAACCCCACTCTCCCCTTCTTAATCCCTGTTCGACTGCTGCCCCGCCTCGGACGCCGCTAGGAAGCACGATGGCGCCTCTCAAGCTCATCAGTGCCTCGGACGAATCCAATGTCATCTGTGTCTACGACAAGGACGGCAAGCCTACCAAGACTAAGAAGGGCGTCCGTACCTACGCCAAGTTCCTGCTGGATGTCTTCTTGCCTGCCGGCTACCCTCACACCGTGACCGAGGATTATACCAAGTACCAGATCTATGTAACATGCCCATTCCACATTTCAAGTAAGGCCTACCTAGGTAGGTATGTACGTTATCAACTAACGCATCTCTTTGTAGGATTCCCTCCAGGCTTTCTCTAGTACCATTGCCAGTCTTCTGTCCTCCCGCGCCGTCCTCCAGGGCCTCGGCCTCGGCGAATCTTCCTCTGCAGCAACTGCTGCTGTGCTATTCACTGTGGCCCAGGACTCGGCTGGCCGTATTGCCACTATAATGTTTGCCCATGTCTGCGGCCGCGCCATCGAACCTGAGTGCAAGTTCTTCCGCTACTTCGCTGATATTGTCAATGATGCTGCCTTGGTCCTTGACCTCATCTCTCCCGCTCTGCCGTTCCAGCCCAAGATCTTCACCATCTGCCTGGCCGGGATTCTTCGTGCCCTCTGCGGCATCTCTGGCGGAGCGGCCAAGGCCTCCCTAAGTGCTCACTTTGCCAAGACCGGAAACCTGGCCGAGCTCAACGCCAAGGATGGCAGCCAGGAGACCGTTATCTCGCTGATGGGTATGCTGGTCGGAAGCATGCTCGTCCATTATGTCCATAGCAAGACGGCGGTCTGGGCCTGGATGATCGTCCTGATCGGAACCCACCTCTGGACGAACTACCAGGCTGTCCGCGCCGTCCAGCTGCGCACCCTTAACGAGCAGCGCCTGTACATCGTCATGAAGGAGCTGCTATCTAAGGACATTATCCTTCGCCCGGACCAGGTCGCTGCCCGAGAGCGTATCCTCGACTGGTGGAGTATGCCCATCCACTTCGCCACCGAACCCCCGGCTCTCGGTGAGATCACGCCCGCCGAGCTCGAGAAGAGTAGGCTCCTCTGGTACGTCATCGCGGGACGCGGCACGCGCAAGACGAAGATCTTCTTAAAGCAGGGGGCCAACGAAAGGGATGCCCTACTAGCCTGGATCGACGCGTTTACCGATCCCCCGCGGGTCGAGGAGATCCAGTTGCTCTGGCCGACGCTCGCGGCCGCCGGCTGGGATCTGCAAACCAACGCTCTCGAGAAGGGCCGTGCTATCCGCATCAAGGTGGACGACGTCGAATCCCAACACCGCGACTAATCACATAGCATTATGCGTTATGGTTTCGGTACGAGAGATGCGGCGATAGCTCCTACTTTTGGGGTGCTCTTGTAGTGGCTTAGTGGCTTCTGTTACCTTTTCGGGCGTGGTAGGAGGTTAGGGGGTACACGGAAACGGACAAATTCGGAAACGGACGGCATGGACTTTTAAAAAAAGATACCCCAGGGACGCGATGCTTTGACTTTTGCATTCTCGCCCCCGAGATATGACGATTTTTCGGGGCAACCAGAGGGTCCTCTTCTCCTCGTTACAGACTATCACACATAGATAGAGAGGGGAATAGAGAAGGGCAATTCATGAACTTTTTTTTTTTTCAAAAAGTAGGATAAAGAGTATGACATGTGACACGTGATTTGAAGATGAGTGTAAGAACGACGTCAACAATGACGGCGAAGACGATCTACCCCGCCCACTCTATATGCGGAGAACTCCAGACTCCAGATACCAATCATGCTACGTAGCGACACCTTGAAGACACTCGCTCACTGCGCTCGCCCCACTCGCCGCCCTCCCACGACGCGCTCGCTCGCGTCAGCGCAGGCGCAGACTAGGTCAGGCCGAGGGCGCGCAGGGCGCGCATCTTGACGCCCTCCCAGCTGTTGAGCTTGGGGCGGACGTCGAGGTAGAAGGAGAGCTTTCCGGGGTCGGCGTCGGGGGTGGCAGCGGCACCGGCGGCGGCGGCGGCGGCGGTCGGGCGGCCGGCGTAGAAGTCGATGACGTACTCGACCTCGGTGCCGCAGCGGTCGACGACCCAGTCGTGGCGGTCGAAGGGGGCGTGGTAGCCGAGGAGGGTGTTGAGGCGGGCGCGGGGGGACATGTGCGCGCTTCGGCCGGCGAAGGAGCGCAGGCGCGGGCCGCGGCAGCTGCGCGGAGGGGGGGAGGAGGAGGAGCGGGTTAATACGCGCGTGTGTGGAGGGGGGGGAGGAGGGGAGGAGGAGGAAGGAAGGAAGAGGAATGAAGCCCACCTCGACCCGCGCAGCCAGGGCTCCTCCCAGGCCTTGATCTCGGCCCAGGCGCGCTCGTTGACGGCGTTGTGGATGGGCACAACGGCGCGCATGTCGGCGGCCCGCGGGTCGTGGCCCTTGCGCTTCATCGCGTCGAAGAACATGCGCTCCGACGGGTAGACCCAGTTGCCGGACGCGGGGTCGGCGCCGGTGTCGCGCTCGCGGTTGGGCGGCGGGGCGGCGGGGGGAGCGGCGGCGGCTGCTTCGGCCCCCAGCCGCGGTATCGTCGAGACCTCGCGCTCGGTGGCGAGCGAGCGCGGGGCCCGCGGCGGAGGCGGCGAGGCGCGAGGCCGGTCGAAGAAGGACAGGCGCGGCAGGTAGGACGTCCACGACGACGAAGGCGGCGGCGGCGCGGAGGAGGAGGAGGAGGAGGGCGAGGGGGAGGCGCGCGCGGCGTGCTGCAGCCACACCTCGCGCGCGCCGTGGTCGACGGGGCAGGCGGCGGCGGACGCGGCTCGCGCCTGGGACAGCCACGCCTCCCTGCCCTTGTGGTCGACGGGGCAGGCGGACTGCGGTGGGTCGGCGTCGGACATGGTGGGGAGGGGGGGAGGGGGGCGCCTGGCGCGCTACGTTCTAAGGGTTTCGGTCTGCGCGGCGGAAGACGAGGGCTGGGGAGAGTGGGAAGCCCAGCGCCGGGACCATTGCGAGGCGACGAGGTTGCTCGGGGGAGGGACTAAATTCCTCGGGCGTCGCGAAGTTGGCTGCGCTAAAGGAAAAAAAAAAAGTAGGTAGGAAATGGCCTGGCCAATGAGCGACGGCGCCACTCCGCAAGCCCCCGTAGATTTAGGCTGGGGCGCTAAGTCCCCTGTCCGTGCAAACCACCGATAAGCGTGTATTTGTCTACGGATAACTTCTCCTGAAGCTACTGTATGCACCTATCGCGACCCCCCGCTGCGAGGTACCCAGCGAGAGCTACAAGAGGGAAGAGGGCAATATAGGTGACGAAAAAAAAGAGAGCCCGTAAACTGTCGGGATGAAGACCCAACGTAATACCGTATCGAGAAAGGGGGTTATAGGTACTCTGTGACGTAGAAGCAGTAGGTAGGTGCCTACCAGACCTGAGGTCCTTACTGCAGCGTTCTGGCCGCCGACGCCTCTAGTGTACCCGCTCGACGGGGCCGGAGTACGGTGCTTACTGGTTCATACAAATGGCCTGCGAAAGTAGCAAGTCCTGCTTCCATCGCCGCAGTTTACCGTGGGTTTAGCAGCTACTGCGCCGAGAGATCGGTAGAGACGTGCCTGGCGCCCAGCAACGCGGTGGTCATGCATGCTGCCAATTGGCTGCCTACCGAGCTGGCGTCAAACGCCCAGCGATGCCCAACTATCTACCTAGGCCCCCAAGTAGGGGGCGCAATACGCGAGCTGCGGAATTCAAGAGGGCAGCATGTTTCGTGTTGGTCTAACACATATATATGTCCGATAGCGTAGGGAGATGTCTAGCCAGCGTCGTGTCATCACAGTCCAGCATGCCTTCGCCCTCGTCGTCGACTTCTATAGGCCGGTACATATCTAAGCGTAATCTATGAGATGCGTGTGAGATCTCAGAAAAGCCACCGCCAGTTCTCCAAGTCCGATCTGCCCCCCTGCCCCCCACTGCTAGTCGTCCGTATTCGTAACTCGTGAAAAGCACACCCCGGGTGCGCTCACACCAGGTGCTGGTCCGTCGGGATGGGCCCCTCGCCGACGGCGGTCTGGATGACGCGGCCGATGCCGGCGCGCAGCAGGCCGGCGGTGGCGTCGTCGAGCGGGACCGCGGCGGCGTCGTGCGCGGCGGCGCTATCCTTCCAGCCCTCGGTGGCGGCGAGCAGGGCGTGGAAGGTGCCGACGACGGGCGCGCTGTTCTCCTCGAGGTAGTAGACGACGGCATTGGGGCCGGCGTCGAAGGTGTAGGCGGCGACGGTGGCGCCGGCGGCGGCGTTGACCGCCTCGACCGCGCGCACCGCGGCGCGCGACACGTCGTTCATGTAGTAGATGGGCGGGTAGGTGTCGGCGCAGACGGCGTGGAAGGAGTTGGAGTCGCGCATGGCGACCTCGGCGAAGCGCGGGAAGTCGCGCGCGCGCACGGCCGCCTCCATGGCGGCCATGTGGGCGGGCACGACGGCGGCGACGCGCTCGCGGAACAGCGCCGACGTCGCCACGGTCTGCTGCATGCCGGCGGTCGAGCTGACGCCCTTCTTCGCCGCCGACGCCACCAGCACCAGCGCCCGCATCTCGGGCCAGTGCGCCGCCGGCGCCACCTCGACCGCCTCGGAGTCGAGCCCGTCCGCGCGCGAGCCCGCCCGCCACGCCACGTAGCCCCCGAACAGGCTGCGGCACGCCGACCCGCTGCCCTGCCGCGCCACCCGCGACAGCTCCGCCGCCGAGCTCGGCAGCGCGTACAGGTCCGCCACGGCGCGCACCAGCGCCGCGAACCCCGCCGCCGACGACGCGAGCCCCGCCGCCGTCGGGAAGTTGTTCTCCGACACGATGCGCAGCGGCAGGGCCGACAGCTTGGGCGCCGCCGGGTCCGCCGCCTCGAGCGCCGCCCGCCGCGCGCGCAGCTCCCGCAGGCACGCCTGGGTCCGCGCGCCCGTGATGTCCGACGGCTCGCCGTTGAGGATCAGGCTGTCGGGCTGCCCCTCGTACGCGGCCGAGCAGGTGGCCGTGGTCAGCGTGCGCAGGTCGGCCTGGGACAGGGTGACGGACAGGGACGAGTTCGTCGGCAGGTTCAGCTTGGCGTCCCGCTTGCCCCAGTACTTGACGACGGCGATGTTCACCGGGGCGGTGGTGCTCGCCTTGTAGATCTTGGTGTCGGCCATCGCTTGTCGGTGGGAATCGCTGTGTAACGTGAATATTGTTGGGAGGAGGAGGAAGAAATGGGGACGGTGGTCAGACTGTTTTTATTCTTATTTTTTGGGCTGCTTTTGAGTCGGTGGAGGGGTAGCCCGATCGTCAGGGGAACCAACGACTACCTGCGCATTATCGGAACGTATATCTAATACCCATGCTACTACATATCTATGTGTATACCTGGTAGAGGCAGTAATCCGGTGGGCCACAGAGCTAGCGGCCTTGGGCGGTCGATTTGGTCTAGGTAGGTATAATAAATGCGCCGGTGAGACGGCGACGTCTATTCCCATCCCCGCTCCGACTTGCTATTAACAACGACCTACCCAGGTAGTAATCCCCGTATAAGACATTAAGCGCGCTCTCAACACCAGCGATATCTCGATACGCCTATTTTGCTATGCACCTAAGCGAGCACATATACATCCCTCACCTCTTGTGGCGTCTCCCCCGTCCTTCGATCGAACCGTACCCTATCACATGGAGCCCGAAGACATAGGTAGGTATGCACTCAACAGCTCGCTCCCGTAAATTTTCCATTCCTTTACCCGTTGAGAGCGGCCGTGGCGGCGTCTTCGCTGATTATTTCCCCCGCAACCGCTTTCCCCGTCTTATGATTTCGTCCGAAGCTCTTTCTTCCCATTTGTCTCAGCTGTTTTTTTATTCCTTTTTATTTCGTCTTACGGTATTGACTGCTCGCCTACTCGCTCTCGATACGTAAAACACCTGTCTCCCTATCTCATAATATTACCCATACAAAATCATTCCCATGACACCAAATTCCCCTCACCTGTCTCTCCAAGTCGCTCTCAGGTATTCCCCTATCCACATCGTCGAGTTTCGCAGTGTCCTAAAAGTCCATTGTATCATGTCCAAGACTGAATTCGCTTTAGGCGTAGTGTTAGCCGATTTCGAAAAGCCATGCGGGTAGCATTGATTTGCGCCTGTTTCCCCGTTTTCCTTTTCCGTTTCTAACGCCTTCCACATGCCCAGTACCGCGACCGGGTATGCAGGATTAGGAGGAATTTCCCGTGTAGCAGCACATGAGGCCTTCTGTATGGCGAGTGCTGCGATGGAATGGATTAAAACAAAAATCGATGTCTCTCCCGAGTTACGTTGATCCTCCGTCTGGCTTTGGTCGCCATTACCGGTGGGCTCGAGAGGTTCCGTCGTCATCCTCGAAAGAAACTTGCAAACCATCGTACTAACTCGTTCACGTTGCCACCCTAAGCGGTAACAACGCACCAGATCATCAACCCCCGGAGAACTCTGGCGAGAGACGTCGTAAAGTGTCTAGGCGTCTGCTGAAGCCCTAAACGTCTCTCAGATGGAGTAGCTGAGGCGACATTGTGGGGCATATCCTATAACCACCTATCGAGCCCCAAAATTGGTTACGGATGTCGGGTGGTTCGATGTCGAGTACGGTGCAGCAGGTGGTTCTGTGAAACCATCTATTTAGCCAACAAGAGCCTGTGGCTTAGTCCTCATTGCCCACAGAATTATCAAATTCGCGTCGTGGCCGTTCTACTTATTCTCGTGATACTAACGATATTATTCCCCAAGTTGCGAAAGTAAGCATTGGCAATTGGATTCCCGTTGAGCGCTGTAGGCGAGATCTAGGTAGTGTGTTTGATGTTTGGGGCTTTCTAAAGGGCGATAGGTTGCCTACGGGGATGTGAATGAATTCAGAGATGGTGGTAGAGGAAGAGGGCGGTCTCCGGGGCCTCCAGTGGGAAGACTTTAAACTGAGATACGCCCTAGGAGTGGAGCGGGGAAGGGAAGAGCAATATTAAACCCTCGCAGATGTAGTTGCAATTGCTATCCCGTATGACTGCCCCAGCCAGAGGCAGCAGAAGAGCCAGGTTAATAGAAGGGGTAGGAGAAGGGGTAGGAGAGACGTGAGAATGATTTCCTTCTGTGGAAAGAGTGGAAGGATGTTGGCCGAAAGTGTTGCTCTCGTAAGGGTCACGTCAAATCACACCAAATCCAAAGCGACCAGGGGATATTACACAAATTTCACATTATTTTATCAGCGTATGCCGTTATTTGTCTACTTGTCTATACTCATGCGTGATGGGAGGGCCGATATCCTTCGGCTCATATCTTTCTTAGCAGATACCGCCCTTCCCCCCTTTCCTACTCCCCCCCTCTCTCCCCATCCGATTCCGACCCAGTGTACGTAAACCATCTTCCGGTTTCCGTGTCGTGAGTCAAGTTGGAATGGGTGGGCTTACCGCCTTTGACGCTCCCGCTCTCTACGCTCCCAACGCTTGGTAAGCCGTTCGTCCGATGCAATCTGTTCTCGCCGGCGAGCACCGTAAAGTTCGCCAGCGGGATCTCGTAGCCGTTGTGGAGGGTGGTCGTCGGCACGCCGAAGAACGCGGCGTCTACCCTCTCGTGGCTGATGTAGAGTTCGTAGTAGCCGCGGTAGTATAAGTCTTGCCACTGGAGCTCCGCGTTCGCCGCCGTCAGCCAATCGGAAGCGGCATTGGCGGCTGCGATCGTTATATTCTGCCCGGCCGGTGAGGGCGAGCTCACCGCCGAACCGGCGAACTCGACACCCACGGATCCGGACCCTGTCTCCGGGTCGTACGGGTGTTCCCCGAGCCAGACGAGGTCGGACACCCAGGACGCGTGCGAGTCGCCGGCGAGGAATACGTTGTTGTTCACCTTGTTCTCGTAGAGGGTGTGGAAGGTGCGGTTACGGTTCGCCAGGTACCCGTCCCATTGGTCGAAATTAAAGGGGAGGTCCTCGCCAGTGGCCGCGCTCGTGTTGATCCGGCTGAAGACGATCTGGTTACCGATCACACGCCACGTCGCGCCTCGGGCTGAGCTGTCACGCAGAGTATTGTAAAACCAGGCTTCCTGGCGCGGGCCCATGAGCGTCCGGCTGGCCTCATTCTGGATCTCGCTAATGTACCGGGTGTTCCAGTACACGTCGGTGATGGCCCGATCGTACACACGAGTGTCAAGCATGACGAGGTCGAATAGGTTACCAAACTTGAAGTTGCGCCAAATTCGCAGATTGTCGTCCATGTCAACTTGTCGGATAGGCACTGGTGAGAACTTAGCAATTTAGCTCACGTAGGAGGGTTCGTTGCTGGTCCTCAACTTACTCCACTCGAAGTACGCGCGGACAGCATTCATCTTCCGTTGGTCAACGGATACACCCCCATCTGCAATAAAGGATTCCTCCGTGTTGTTCATCTCGGAAGAACCGCTTTTCCATATGTTATCAGCAACCTCTAATTATGATGAGATTAGCACCAAGCACCGTTTTCGTTAGGCAGCAGATGACTCTATATACCATGGTCATCCCAGACAGGTATCCATGGGAAATACTGGTGGCTCGCAAGCAGGTCTATGTCAGTCCTGTATGTCGCAAGACGCTTGCGGTAATCGTAGAGGCTATATAATCTCGTTAGATGTGTATCCGCATCTCTATCCTTCGAGGTGAGATTTACGTGATTATCTGTCGGTCTGGGAGAGGTATTCGATCGTAGGCGTTGCCCCAGCCGTATTCTCCGTTTGCATACTCGTATATGTAGTCGCCCAAGTGAATTACATAGTCTACAGAATCCTTGCGGACAGGATTTCCGTAGGCGTTGAAGAAGCCAAATGCTGCGCATCCGGTGTTAAGTCGCTACAAGAAGCACCAGATCAGGATCGGAGGGGCTCACGATAATTGCTACAAGAGTACACGGCAAATCTTATGGGATCCGTCACCTCGTCATCGGGTGAAGGAATTGTCTTGGTACGGCCAATGGGAGACCTATTGTTCGAGTTGCATATGGCGAATTGATAGTCTGCCCAGGATCTTAGTAGTGAGTCTTTGGTTAGACGCCCATCCGCACTGAGGTCGGACTAAAGAAACCTGGCGCGGCTCACAGTACGTCGTGGAGGGCTTTAATCTCTTGGCTTCGACCTTTAGCCGCCGTTAGCACTGACAGCCCGCGATGGAGGGATGCGCGGAGCACGCGCCCGCGGATGGTACCTTGATCGTGAAATCGATATCGGAGCTAGTGTACACGGTGCCAAAGTCGGCGAGCTTCTCGAACGTCTTGGACGTGCTGATCTTCCAATCAACACAGACGGGCGAGTCGCTCTTCGCAACGTACGGCTCGGTCGAATGGTCGTAGAGGGGCACGTAGCCCGACACGGTTACGTTGCTCTGGTTGTTCTCGCTGCTTGGCGCCGCCCGGGTCCAGAGGATGACGCTATCGTCATACGGGTCGCCGGAGGCAATGCCGTGAGTGAAGTTCAATTTGCTCGGGTCCCAGGGGGGATTGGCGTAGGTCCGCTTGGCGACCTTGCTAATTGATACGCCTAGGGACGCATGGTGCCTCGAAGGAGAGAAGTAGTTGATGTTGCCAGAGAAAGTAGCCGAGGCAGCACCAGCGAGAGCTAGGAACGAGAAACATAAGCCGCGGGCCATGGTGAAAATGACAAGACCGCCGGTCCGCAGCTTCGTTCACATTAAGGCCGAGAGGGTATGAAACAACGTGTTGGAGAAGAGACAATCCACCGTCCGATTTGAGAGGAAGCTTCCTGTGGCCTTTAAATACTAGCATATTGGGGGGTCTGTCTTCTCGAATGCCGATGTCACCGAGCAAGGCGAGCTCGTGGACCCCGGATTCGGGAGGGGAAAGCTGAGGGTAATCACCAGGGCGCTGATTGGACACAGCTCCCGCGTTACTTCGTGAAATGTGATGGATTTCCTGGGATTTCCTGCATGGCCGGGGCACTGTCGCCGTACCATGACAAGGCGGCCTGGAGAGAGGAGACGGGATATTCCATCTAATATCCTGTAGAATACATCCTGCGCCATGCAAGTGTCTCGCTACTCGGCGAATCCCACGCCTAGCCTCGGAAACGCCACCCGACCAGGCGCAGGAATTGAGCAGTTCACCGTCCGCCGTCTCCGGATTGGCGTCCAGGCGCGTACAACAAATACCCAGCTACATACATATACCTAGGGATCGTCCCCGGATGGGCGTGAGGCTTATAAGCGCGGTGTTTCGCGACCGTGGCTATTAGGCCCGCCATCGTCGGGTTTGCAGGATCTCGTCGGCTAAAACGGCGTTTGCTAGAGCGATAACCGCCTTACGGTATTACATGGCCATTGCCGGCTCCTAGATTGCCAAGGGAGAGTGTTGAGAATATTTCCTATTCCTTTGGAATTCGTGTTCAATTATTGTTTGGTACTGATTTTTGTTATTTATTTGGGAACCGATTGCATGCTCGAGGTTACATCGAGCGCAACCGTCCCGGGAGACCCTATTCGGATACACTGGACTCGCCCGGCTTCCTGAGGGCAGTGTCTGGGTGAAACAGAAATAGACGCGTTTTCGCTAGATAGCAAATTGGTGTTTTGGTTACCGCTCTATCACGGACTTAGATATCTCTGGCCGAGCACTGTGCGTTTAGGCGCTTGGAGGGAGAACACCACGTTCGGGCGGTGAGGAACTAAATGGGTGAAGGGGTAGAGCCTCAAAACATGGGGAAGTTCGTTGCGCCGATTGGGTTGTCGAGAGCTGGCTGTTTAGGCCTAGGTCGGCCTAGGGGGGATGGCGAGAGGGTCGGGTTTCCACTCGACGACTGGAGCAGCGTAGATAAGGTCGGTACGCCACCTGGCTCCCTCTATCTAAGTACCTAGTATCTGCCAGATGTGCCGGACCCGACCAGACGTCAAGTGCGACACGTGCTGGCAAATTGCCACGCAACCACCAACTAACTGCCCGGGTCGAACTTTGGGTACTTAGGTACGAAATTCCTCTTCTTCTGTGCTTATCTCCGTTTTTATTTGGCCCGTTTCCCTACCCATTCCGGGCAGAACCGTCTACATGTACGTCATTGCAACCTTACCTAAAGTACCTCCTAGGTTAGTCGCACTCACGGCGTCATACGCTATCGTAAGTTGCCAAGATTACTACACGTATACCCGGGTACCCAGCATGCACTACGTTACGCGTGCTACAGTACATAATAGCGTGTTGGCTGGCCCTAATGAGTAAGGGTTCGCTGTGACAGTTACTTAATCTAGTCCTGCTAGGTACTAGCCGCACATTGTGCGAAGGTAAGGGTAGGTGCCTGTATGAGTACCTACCTAAGTAGACTACCATGTGCTACATACGGGTGTGTACTACAGGTTATGCGGTACCTTAGGTAGTTACGTACCTCCACTAGGTACCTCTCTTTCAGTTAAGAGGTAGATGCCTGTCACGTAGGTAGTACATTAGGAAGGTGAGTAGGCACCTAGGCACCTAGGTAGGTTGGGTAGTTGCCAGCTGCATCAGCTCGGTGCATACGGACGGGACCTAGATGTTGTATCGGGAGGTATCACCTAATGTACCTATGACGCACATGGAAGAGGTTGGCAAAGCAGTTTCCGCCTCCATGTAGCCTACCAACACACAGACCGCCGAAGAATTCTAACCAGACCTCACCCATCCTCTTCCGTCTACCCTAAATTGCGATGGCGAGGCTGCCACCCACGTCTAGCTTCCAAATCTAATCGTGCCGCCAATTCTACACGCATAGGTCCATCGAGGAAAAATCCGGATTTGGCTGCCTCTTTTTCGGACAGTCCTTCAATGGAGACAATGCGCAGAGGTTACCTGCCTCCATACACACACAATCGAGTGCGCTTGCGATCCGCAAAGTTCCATGGGTATCCTGCCCTCCGAGCACGGAACGAGCACACAGCATACCATCCGCGCCGAAAGCACCGCTTACAGAAGTACATGGTGCGGATTGGGCTTGTTGTGCTCATGTACGGTTCCATCTCGGCAGATAGGGAGCAAAACCTCCAGGATTGAATATGATTACGCAGAGTATGTGCCATATACGATACGAGACGATACATGGCAACTACGCGTGCACTCCCATGTTATGCGTAGCATCCATGGGCCGTTCGTTGTGTGAGGTTCGCCAGCAGGACGCCAACCTGAACGAGCTGCGAGAGGCTACCAGCCCCGTCCGGGGCACCGAATGACCCCTGACATCAATCGATTAGCAGCCCTCATATCACCCGCCGCGCTTCTTGCATCCGTTTTCTGAAGACTCGGCGCTTTTAGCGTGGGGTTCGGGTGAGACCTAGCCTATCAGCGTGAGCTAGGGGCACCACGAGGATACTCTAACCCATTATCCGACAACAAAGCACAGCGAGCGGGAAGAACGAACTAGATGCGTGGCTATATGGTAGACGAAGTTGAGAGCTCTCTCTCTCTCTCTCTCGCTGGTCTGAGCCTGCGCTTGTTGTGCGGACCCTGAGGTTTCTAACCGTAAATGTCTCTCCCCTACGAGCAAATCTCGACAGAGCTGCCTGCCTACCTACCTACCTAGTCCGGAATCCCTGACCCTATCACAGACAGGCCCTCGTGAACTGGAAGCGGGATGGCTTCTGATGTGGGTCAGAATCAACCCTCTTTTACCAAGGAAGGCGAGGCGAAAAGATAATGGTGCCTATCTGCTATCTACCTATCCTTGAGCTGAAATCTCTTGATCTCTGCCCCCCTTCCTTTTTCTTCCTCTCCTCTCTCGCTGCATGCTACGCGGTGTTATTCTGTTATCTACTCGCCCTCTCCTTCGCGGGGTCTACTTTTATTCTTCGTGCGCGATATTTAATAGATCGCCGTATTCGCTTTTCGACGTCTGTCGCCCCTCATCCATTGTTCGGTCCCTCGTCAGCGCTGTCGACCTGTCACGCGCGCCTTCTCCGTGGGCACGAGACCACCCGCACCCGTTTCTCTGATCGTATCTATAGGCACCGGCCAGCCGACCGAGCTACCTCGACATAGGTTTACGTGGGGCACCGCAACCCCCAGGCTTCATCATGGCGACAGAGGAAAAGGTGAAGGGCGACCAGCAGCCGGACTTGGGCGCCTTCGAGAATGATGTCGGTGTCCTCGACGATGCTCGGTCAAACCGATCCACTGTGCTATCAGGCGAAGATATTCTAGCACGTCAAGACCTAGACCCTGCTCTCAATGCGAAGATGCACCTTGTCAACAATGTAAGATGAATAATCCCCCCAATGGACGCCTACTTGTACATTGACAACCGAGCACCAGGCAATTGACGAGATCGGTTGGACCAATTACCACTGGAAACTCTTCGTACTGAACGGGTTTGGGTAAGAGCTCCGTGTAATCGCAACCCCGCGTCACTCACACAAACTTACACCACCCCATCGATGTAGCTATGCCGTCGACTCTCTAGTGCTGCTGTTGCAAAGCAACATAGCTGGGCCCGCTTTCAGGGAGTTTGGTCAGGTCGGGTACGACAATGGCTTGACTATATCCGTCTATGTCGGCATGCTCTTGGGTGCTATCTTCTGGGGCCTAGGGGCTGACATAGTGGGACGACGCTGGGCGTTCAATATCTCTCTCTTCATCTGCTCGGTAGCAACCATCGTCGCGGGCGCCGCTCCGAATTGGCCGTCTCTGGGGTTCTTCATCGCCATGATTGGGTTTGGCGCTGGCGGCAACCTGATTCTAGATACCACCGTGTTCCTGGAGTATCTTCCGAGCAATAAGCAGTGGGCTCTGACATTTTTAGCCTGCTGGTGGGGCGTAGGGCAAGCAGTCACCGGCTTCATCTGCTGGGGTTTCCTAGGTGAGTTCAACTTTGCGTGCCGAACTGATCGGCCTGAATGTATTCTCACAATGCCACAGTTCGACCGGATTGGAATTGCGAGTCTGCCGATAACTGTCCGAGGGAATCTAATGGCGGATGGCGATATGTCATGTTCACTGCTGGCGCCCTCGTGTTTGTCATGTCCATTGCGCGTATTACGGTGGTCCGCCTGCAAGAAACGCCAAAGTACCGCCTCTGCACCGGTGAAGACGCCGAGTTGGTCGAAACATTGCATTCGATCGCTAAGAAGTACAACCGGCCCTGCACGCTCACCTTGGAAAAGCTTGAGGCGTGCGGAGTAGTGAGAAACTTGCATAGCGAGAGCCGTTTCTCTTTGCAGGAAACCTTTATCCATTTCTCGGGGCTGTTTGCGACTAGAACGATCTCCATTTCAACCATACTTATCTGGGTGTCGTGGACATTGATCGGACTCGCGTAAGTTGAGGAGGAGGCAACAATTACCTGAAGTAGACAAGCTAACTATTGGGTGCTAGTTATCCGCTCTTTTACGTCTTCCTAAAGTAATTCAACCCAACTTCACCCTCTCCACACCTCTATCTAACCCGTTCCTAGCACTTATCTTGCGAGCCGTGGAGCGCTCAGTGGTGTGGGTGTCTTCGAGACGTGGCGGAACTATACGCTCACGAACATTTCTGGCATTTTTGGGCCGATTCTAGCCGCGTGGATGTGCAACTTGAAGTTACTTGGCCGACGATATACCATGGCAATCGGTGCACTCATAACCATGGCTTTCTTCTTCGCCTACACGTCCGTTTCGACACCGGCGCAGAATGTCGGTTTTAGCTGCGCCATTGCGTTCTGCATTAACATCTACTACGGGACTCTCTACGCGGTGAGTGCCCTCTTTTTCCCGTTCCAATTCGAGCCGACGACGGCACCAAAAGCAAGCATCGGCCCGTGAGGCCTAACAGAGACGATTGCTAACATTCCGGGCCTATAGTACACGCCTGAGGTGTTGCCTAGCGCCCACCGCGCAACCGGAAACGGTATCGCTGTCGGCTGCAACCGAATCATGGGTATCATATCCGCCGTTGTGGCCAGCTTTGCCGACACGGGTAGCGTTGTTCCCATTTACATATGTGCCGCGCTGTTCCTTGCCATGGCAGGTATCAGCTCCATCTTCCCCTTCGAGCCGTATGGGCGGCGAAGCTCATGATCTTACATCGGACGTTGCGGCTCTAATGTACAGCATAACTGTGTTGGTATCCCTCCGCCGTTCCCCATCTCTCAGAATTCTGTAGGATTTGGGAAGAGCCGGATCTTTCGTCAAGCTCCCATCTTGGATTTGAGGCATACAGCGTTCATAGCTACCCAGCTCGCGGGATCTTATATTGCCTAGGTTAGCTCGATCTGTTTCGGGACCGGGCAGCTATCGAGAATCGTGTGGAATATCGGTTCTAGCTGTGGAGCCACTTTGTTGCAGGCTTGGCTAGGTGGTTTGGACCCTCCCGGAGATGTATCATGGGCCAGTTTGATGGCCCTGTGTCGTGAGGCGGGGGTGGTGAAGGGCGGAAACGGGGGACGCTTCTTTTATCTCGAGGACTTTATGCCTTGATACCCACACCCACCTACGGCGATAGGGCCCGAGGTTCTCTTATCAACCAAAGAATCAGTGAGTTGATGCGACCCGGGATCTAAACGCCCGTTACCTTCCATGGGTAACATCGATCGATGAATGAATAAGGCTCTCTCATCCGACACCGCTATGACAATCACCAACCAGTCATTTCTTAGCCTTACCACCCCCCAGATCGCATACACCCACATACCCTACGCGTTGGGTATTCTCCATGGTGTCAACCTGGGAGGCTAATCACCGGACTCACAGTTCCCCCAACCTTGTGTAAGCAGGTGCCTTCCCGGTCACACGCGGCAGGCGATTACACAAGTATCTACGCTCTCGAGGGGTCCTCGCATCATACCGCGCTTCTGAACCTCGGGTACCGATCCAGGGTCCCCATCCGTACACAGTCCGTAACATGTGATACCTTCCCTCTCATCTTCGCATCGAAAGCGGAGCTAGGCCAGCTGCGTGAGTGAGTAAGGGTAGTCCTTCCTACTCGCTAACTAAACAGGTGAGTACCAAACTTACCAAGTTAGCGACGTGCTTGCGAAGGGGGAGGAGGAGGGGCGCAGGGTAAAAGAGAGGTGAGAAGAGCGGGTGAATGAGAATGTGACGAAATGCAATACACGATAAGGACCAACGGGACAGAGGACAGGATGGGGCCACCTGTCCCCCTCGTCGTCTACGCCACGCGGTAGGCATACCTCTACCGCCGTTGTTCGTTCGTTTCTTGAGTGCATACGCCGCGTGTGCAGCGCAATGCTGTCTATCTCGCCGAAGCCCGAAACCCGAGGTTCCCAGGGTCGACCAACGCTGGCTCCCGAGGATTATTCGCACGGGTTGCCCACCTTATCATATCGCGTGCTTTTCCTGGCCTGAGTACACTATGCTACAACTAGGCCGCGCCTATATACATAGATAGGTCCGTACGCGTATATGGACGTTTGCCCCCCGTCCGGGGTCCTCGAATGTGGGCAAGCAGATGGGTCATTCTGGCCGCTAGCTACTTGGCTCGTTTCGTGTTGCAGGTTGATGTTTTCTTCCAAGAATGGGGGATGGGGGCAAAGGGACCGGGACCCTAGTATCTGGGAGACGATGACTACGCAATGGGCATCAGGGAGATAAGTGAACGGGTAAAGAAGCAGGGGGGCTAGGCAGGGACCTAGGACGGGTACGGTAAGTCCGATTGTTAGCTGGAGATGTGAATAGATAGAAAATAGGCGGATAGATAGAAACCCAGACAGGGAGGCAAGGGGGGAGGTAGATTTTACGTCCGTGGGACGATAGAAGGATGGATAGGCAAACAAACTAGAATAGCTATTCATTATCGGCCGGGACCTGGGTGCTGGAACGAGCCCGCCGCCTGGGCGGTGCTGCGGGGGGCAGCACGGGGAGGAGTACGGAGTCGCATAGCTACAACTGGGAAAAAACTCCACTTTTCGGTCGAACGCCCCAGTTTTATCGTCTACACATACGCCCCCAATGGGAGGAGGTATGTATGTTTGATGCAAGTCCCCGATAGCTTAATATTATATTCGTAGTAGCTTATATATATACGAATAGAGTTATAGGCTACCGCTTTACGAGCTACCCCTTTGCGAGATAAACGATTTATCCCCGTAAAAAACCGGGAAAAAATCGGAAAAATCGGAAATTTACTTACGTAATTAATTAAATTCATTAAATTAACATATAAACTTTTCAGATTTTTCGCTAGGTAATATAGAAAGTTATATATAATTTAAAGTTTTTTAAAATTATACTAATAGTTTCTTATATAATATATTAATAACCTTATTAACTATACTTATATCGATATATATACCTATTTTTTTACGGTAATAAAGTAGGTTTATTACTTAATACTTTATTTCATAAATAGAAAAATAATTAATATTAAGTAATCTTATTTTTATTCTTTATTTTCGTTTTTATTTAATTTATTATTTTAAGAAAATTACGTTTTTAAATAAGTTAAAACTTTTTAAAATTATACCTATTTTTATAGTAAGAATTCCATCTTTTCGACTGTCCTATTTTTTTATATAAAGAGGTTCTAAAAAAGAATACTAAAAATTTACGTTTTTAATACTTAATTAATTCAATAAAAATCAGAAAAATAAAAATAAATAAGTTTACATAATCTTAACTATTATTTTATTTATAGTATAAAGGATTAGGTAATAAACTTACTTTATTACCGTAAAAGAAATAAGTTAAGAAGCTAATATAAAGCATAATTAATAGATTTATTAATAAATTATATAGTAAATTATTAATATAATTTTAAAAAACCTTTAATCGTAAATAATTTCTTATATTAATAAGCGAAAAATCCGAAAAATTTTATATGTTAAATTAATGAAGCTAATTAATTACGTAAGTAAATTTCCGATTTTTCCGATTTTTTCCGGGTTTTTTACGGGGATAAATCGTTTACCTCGCAAAGGGGTAGCTCGTAAAGCAGTAGCCTAGCTTACCTATTAGCCGACCTAACCAGAGGGTAGCTCCTTCCCTACGTGTAATTAAATATTCAACCTGCACCTTCCTACCTACCACACCCCTAGGGTATACGTACCGAAAAGTGGAGTTTTTTCCCAGTTGTAGCTATGCGACTCCGTAGAGGAGGAAATCAGAAAGAAGATGGCTAGGGCTCGAGTGCTCGACCAGGGTCTCCCAAGCCTCGCAATCAGTTCCTGGACACAGCACCCAACGCACGCCCATCTGGCACCGACGCCGACGCCCGAAGGAGTGACCGCGCGTAGCCAAGGAAAAGCAAGCTCGTGCAGCCCTCTGGCCCCGGTTCATGTTTAGAAAGGGCAAGCGGGGGAGACGGCGCCGGTCCTGTCGCGTACGCCAGAGTCAGACTCGTCGGACTCTGCGGCCGTGGGCGGCTGGCGCTCCGCGGACTGCCCTCGACCTGTCCCGCCCCGCGCCCTCCGACCCCACGTCACCTCCCGCTCGTGTGCTCGGCCCACGCGATGCCCTTTCTGCGATGTCGCGGGTACGAGGGCGTTCTCACGCCTCCCGGGGAGGACATGCGCCGTCTACGGCTGATTCGCACCAGCCGAGTTCGCGGGTGCTCGCGCTCCCGGCCTTTTCTGCCCCTGGCCCTGGACTGTCTCCGCACGTAGCCCTCGACGCTGCCGCTTCGGGCTCTGCCCTGGGTCAGCTTCCGCTGGGGAGCTTGGAAGAAGACGCTGATGTTTATTCCATCCCCCTTTCTGGGCTGGTGTCTTAACGCTACGGAGTGCGGCGACTCGTTTTATCTTCCTCTTGTGGGGTGGGAGAGGTGTGAGGCGGGCTGTGGTCTAGGAATTCTAAGCCGATGGAGATCTGGCGTGGGGAACTTCCGCGAAAGACAACTGAGCTCTTTGCGGCTTGGCTGGAGGCAGCCTTGCTGGGGACTTGCTCCTTGCGGGATGGCGCAGTCGGCAAGGGATAACTGCGGCGAGGATGTGCTACCGACCTGCCCTCAGAGGCTAATACCTACCTCTAGCATTTCAGGTACCCGTAGGCGTGGGAAAACGTGCTGCACGAGATAGCTGTCTACCTGTTGCCCGAGGTGGTTGTCAGGGAGGTATTCGAAGAGAACACCCGTCTTGAGTTACTAAGGTAGGTGGTATCTTGAGAACTCGAATAATCATGCCGCCTCTTATATCCAGGCGTGTAGTCGATCGTCTCTAGCTTCTGGGTCTCCTTCCATCTTCTTTCTCAGCGCCGGCTATTTGGTAACCCGTACTCACCATCCCGCACCCTACGAACCCGGAGCCTCTCCAGGCACCATCTTCTCTACATTTTGTAAACATTCCCGCTACCAGCCTCCGTCATGTTCTAGATCATAGGGGCTGAGTGAGGTGCTGTCTCGAAAATCAAGCTTTTTGTCTGTCGCAAGTCGATGCATTCCCTTTCTTTCTTTCTTTCTTTCCTTCCTCCTATCAGCAATAGAAATATCTTCCACCGCTCCCCCTTTTCCGGTCCTATCTCTATTGCATCCTTACTCGTAATTACCTCCAGAAGAGCGGCGTACTTACTGCCAATATATCTCTCCATCTTGAATTTTGTCTATTTTTTCCCGCTAAGCCGCTGCTTTTATCCCGTCGGATGCAGAATGCAGTAATGTTAGTCCGCTCTGGTCTTTCACTACGCTCACATGGCTGGCCCGTCCCAGGTTTCCCTCCTCAACCGGCAGACCCAGGCGCGTTTGTGCGCGAACGACACTTCCCTCTCCTTAGAGAAACCCGCGGCCTGGAGGTGTCTAATGAATCTGTCATACACGTCAGCATTGGATCGCCCACCTATTTGGCGGCGGGTTGTTAGCGAACTGACCTTGCGTTGTCGACCCTCGGTTCGAGGTATATGTTGGTAGTGCGGTAGTCGGCTTGCCAGCACCAGTGGACGACGCTGGAGAGCCACTGCTGGACCTTGCCTCGGGCCCACTCCTCGCCGACGAGCACGTGGAGGCCGCGGTCGAAATCCTGCGTGTCGCTGCCGCCCATGTGGCAGCCGAGTATGTCTTCTTTCACCCAGTAGATCTCGAGGTAGCCGAACGGCACACCGTCCCACATCGCAATCACCGGGAACGAGTGGCGCTGCCGCAGCGCGTCCGGCAGGAATCCCGGGTGGTATGAGCCCCAGAAAGCCGAAACCCGCGGGTTCGACAGCCACGCCTGTAGTAGCGACGTGTCCGACAGCAGGCACAGGTGCGAGTGTTCCTTTTCACTGCCGCCGTTGGGGCCGATAGGGCCCAGGTAGGGGACCGGCTTTGGTGACATTGACGCTACGCGGAACGAGAGGTACCTTCCGACGCTCGGCACAAAACGCGCGTAAAATACCTCACCCATGTGTGGGGGCTTCTGGCGCAGCGGGTGCCGCACGTTGTTCGTCATCACGTACTGTAGCGGTGCCGGAGGGTAGTACGTCGGCAGGTGGGAGGACGAGAAGTACGGTCCGGTAGGATAGCTGATACCGGACGACTCCGGGGAGGCAGAGTTGGTGACGAGGGCTAAGTGGTTGGACAGGGCGGTGGGTAGACCCGTATCACTCCTAGACGGCGACGTCGGGCGGCTACTGGTAGGTGACCCAGGGTAGGAGGAACCCTGGTTGACCGGCTGCAGCGTGAACAGAAAGAGGCCGCTGTGGATCTGCCAGAACATGCGTCGCGTCGCGAACATGCTATCCCAACCGTGGTTACTGTCGTCGAGGCTCGTGCCGACGGCCGAGTCTAGGGTTGATATGAGACCCATTCGCTCGAGTTTCGGCATCATGTTGCGAGTGCGCAGAACTCCCTCCTGCTTGACCTTGATGCGCCACTCGCCCTTGGGTTTCGCGTCCGGCGGCGCGTGCCTCGACTGCTCCGTCTCAAGGTACGGATACGGCTCGGGCTGCTGGAAGTACCAGTAGAGCGTCACCCAGAGCATCAGGGCAATCTGGCGAGAGGGGCTCGAGTGCGGCTTGAACTCGCTGCTCGACGGGTTCGAGATAGATGAGATGAAAATGGTGTCATTCTGCAGGGTCGGCTGCCTGTATCGGTGAGTATGGACCCTGTTAGACCGGGGCTCATCGGCGCCGCCATTCTGTGAAGCGGGGCCGGACGGGTTGTCCTCGGGATCGTCCTCGCTATGGAGGACTACGGTCCAACCGACCGGGAAGGGCCCGTGATGCGAATTAAGCTCGTTGGACTTGAAGAATAGGCCGGAGAAGACGGGTTGGACGATGAAGCTCTGGCCGTCCGGCAGGTAGACGTGGGATAGCTCCATCTGGTTGGTTGGTAGATATCGGTACGTGAGTAGACAGGGAGGTAGAGAGCTGTGGGGGGTGGGCAGCGGACGGCAGAGCGGACGGTATACAGAAGGTAGTGTCGACCATCGCAAGGCGATATATCCCAGTGGCTAGTAGCTACTCACCCACCTTAGCTGTCTATATGCCAGGTAGACGGGGATGTGCGGAATACCAAGATAATACCAAGCAAGCACTTGGGCAGTTTTAGTCTACCGACAGGGCGTCATGCGATGGGGATAGGCGGAGGAAGAAGAAAAAAGACGGCTCGGTGATAGCTAGCGAGAATTAAAGAGCCGACGACGACGAGAAGAATAATGGGGGGACGTCTGCTTGTCTGGTCAATAGACTTATATCTCGGTCTAGGGACGGAAAATCGGTAGGCATGTTCATCCGAAGTCTCAAATGATCATGATAATAGGAATAAGAATACTGGGCAGGCGGCGAAAGCAGACGGCGACTCCGCTTCGCTGGCGAAACTGTTCTAAGCGGCGATCAAGTAATGGCCGGTCTATTTTAGTAGCCGACATGCCATCCTACCGCCTACGTGGGGCGGGGAGCACGCGGGAGGGCAGGGTAGAGACGGAGAGGCGAGGGAGAAGGCGGATAGAAGAGAAGAGAAGCAGGCCAAGAAGGGAATGGTGGTGGTTGGCGGTGGTGGTGGTGGTGTAAGTAGTTGGTGGTGGGGTTCGACGCTACGGAGCTCTCCACGAATTACCCTATCGTGCTCGCCAAGCGAGGGCCGGAGAGGAATCAGGGGATTGTGGTGTTAACAGGTGGTAGCGCATGCGGCCGCCTTGTGTGTCTGCGCACATGTCTGGCCGGCGTTGTCGGCCAGGGGTGCGTCCCACGAGGAATGTGGGATGGTCCAGAGGCTGACTGGCTGACTGCTACCTACGTAAAAGGCGAAGAAGAAGAAGAGATGGAAGAGGTAGTAGACGTGGGAACAGATTGATTCTATACAACGACTGAGGCGCCCAAGGCACCCGAGAACGTCGCTAGCTCCCACTCTCTCCGCCCAACAGCCGCACTGGCGACCCCGGCAGGCACTTGCACGCCTCCATTCCCGCCCAGGCTCCCCCAGTCCGTAACCGGCTACCCTAGCAGGTCCCAAGAGATAGCCATACCCAGCACATTAGGTACTTTACCTGCAGATAAGGTATCCATTAGGTACGTGTGGGCAGGACAAGACGCCTTACGGTCTAGGTGCCTAAGGTTACCCAGGTGCTGAATACTGTACGCGTTCAAGGTAGATGCTAGTTGGTAGACGTCTTCCAGTCCCGAGAATGTGCCCTGCCCTTACACACCTGCACCAATATCGCGAGACCTGCGGTTGAAAGCAACAGACCCCGGTGGCGTCGCCCTGACATCGGAACCGGCCGTGGGTTATCCAATGAGCACGCCTGCATCTGTAAGCCGTGGATTCCGCCGTCGCACCGAGCGAAGCTACCTACACAACTGTGGCATTGGTAAGTCGACATACATGCAGGTCGACGTCTCTTTTCCGTTTTTCGGCAGAAGCACGGTCCGGAGTGGGCGAGGACGGCTTGACTTCACGAGTATCTCTCGCAGCGCGATCGAGTTTTACCTACGACTGGTAACGCGACTTGCTATTGCCTTCTGGCATCTGCCTAGGTAGGTCAATAAACCTGTAAGTAGGTACTCAGATGCCTCTTCGGATATCTCCCATACCTACTTTATTTTCTTTCTCCAGGCATCGTTAATACCAGACAGGTACCTAAGTCGAGATAGCGGCAAGAAAAGAAGAGAGCAACGTAGGTGCTATTACGCATAGCACGTACCTATTTAACGGATATCAATGTCGGGTTAAATACTTATCAGTACTGGATAATCCTATCTAGCCCTATTAAATGCATATATTGACTCTAGATAAGCACCAATTGGGGGTACCTGGTATTTCTTCATATTTCCCACTTCCGTCCCTGTCAATAAGCTGCTCGTCCTCTCCTGTGTACTCGGCTTTGGCTCGGTGCCCAATGAGTCAATGAGTCAGTCACCCGGCAACGACGGCAGCCTCTCGAGACAACGCTGACGACTTGAACAAGCCACTATTATCAAAAAAGAAAGCCCCCACCTTCTGTCTCTGGTTTTATTCTGACGAATATTCATGAGCCATGGCGTCGGGTAGCAAGCCTGGAGAGAACATGGTATAGGGAGGCCGCTTCACTGGTAAGCGTTTCGATTCTTGCGTTCTATTTCTGGCTTGAGAAAGACTCGTGTGTATCCGTCAACGTACGAGTATGGGCGGTGTTCTTGCTGACATGCCGGCGGGCCCCGCCGTTTCCATCGAGAACTAACCTCGTATTAGGCGGCCTTGACCCCCTTATGGTCGCCTACAACGAGAGCATCTGCTTCGACAAGGCACTGTACAAGCAGGACATCCTAGGCAGCATCGCCTTCGCCCGCGTCAACAAGAAGGGGGGCATCTTGACCGAAGAAGAGTTCGAAAAGATAGAAAATGGCCTACACGCCGTCCTGGAGGAATGGGACGCCGGCACCTTTACCATTGTGCCCAGCGTGGATGAGGTAAATGAATGCTCCCGCTGCGAGGATACTTCATGAGAGGCAGAGCAAGAAACTAATCGGTCGTGCGCGTGCGCCCACGCGCGCGCAAACATGAAAATAAAAAGGACATCCACACAGCCAACGAGCGCCGGCTCGGCGAGATCATCGGCAAGGACGTCGCCGGCAAGCTCCACACTGGCCGCAGCCGCAACGAGCAGGTCGCCTGCGACATGCGTATGTGGCTGCGCAGCCAGCGCGCCCAACCGATCCAGTGGAGCCACTGGATCCTGTCCTACGGCGTCTCCTTCGCCGACGACCTAGAGCGGCTGCGCGAGGTGACCCGCCGCGTCAACCGTTGCCCGCTCGACCGCGGCGCCCTCGCCGGCAATCCCTTCGGTATCGACCGCGCGATGATGGCCAAGGAGCTCGGCTTCGAAGGGCTGCTGTGGAACTCGATGGGCGGCGTCGCGGACCGCGACTTCGTCGCCGAGGCGCTGCAGTGGGCCGCGACGCTCATGCAACACGTCCCGCGCTGGGCCGAGGACCTCATCCTCTACTCGACGGCCGAGTTCGGGTTCGTCCGCCTCGTCGACACCTACTCGACGGCGGTAGGTAGGGAGTAAGTGACCAAATCTATGGCTTAACCCTCCCATGCTACGTTCTCTATCGAGGTGCTTCCCACACGCTATGTACTCCTCGTGCCCTAGCCCCCTTTGGGTTTTCTTCTCCCTACTTGCCAGTCGCGCTCGCCAGCGGTCTCTCCGGCCTTGCGATGCGGAGGAGTTTCGCGTGCCGGTGCGAGGCCGCACGGCGACGGTGGATTGGGCGGGTACAGCTCAGACTCTAGTCGGCGTCGGTCTACGATGTCGGGAGGCGCGCGGTGTCGCGGCGGGCCGCTGATTTGCGTCTTCTCACGGACGAGGGCTCCCAATCAGCTGTTTAGTAGCATGGACGATACCGCACGGTATCTGCTCCTCGTGCCCGTCCCCACCCTGGTATACCTACCCCGTTGTCGTGTGATGGGGGGCGTGCTTCTTCACGCGTGGTGCGGCTGCGAGTTGCGATCCGTCACGGTAACAACGTGTGCTCTGCCCTCCTGTGGCTCCTATATTGTCTGGGAAACGAGGCCCGGACGAGAAGATAGGCGTAGACTTGACGCGACTAGCTGCGGCCACGCCCTCGACACATCGTTCATCGCTGCACTTGACACTGCTCTGCCTCCTACGAGAAGCACCGGCTAGGTACCTACCTCCTGATGTATTCGGTGCTTTTCCGACCAGGGACCTAATCTCTAATTTGTCTACCATTACCGCCCACGACCTGTGCCACGGTCCGTCCCGAAGCATCGCTCCCTGCCACCCCCTTCCACCTCCTTCAGAATATTTTCGTCCTTCAGGGCCTCGTCTATCCGGAGATGGATGGTATCCGTCGACGGCGTCGGAAACGCCGGCAGAACAGGTAGGATACGAATCTGCAGGAATGGAACGATGCTTAGAACGCAGGCTCTCTTAACAGGTAGGTACCTCCTGCGTCATAAAAGTTCTGCGATGCAGTGACGTCACGCCATACCGAGGGGGAAGTGGTGGGCGCCTTGTCGCGTAAAAGTACGGGTGACATTTGTTCAAGTACCTTCTAGCGCAGCGGGGAGTGTGATGGTACTGTAAGTAAGTCACTCACTTACTTCCACCACTCCGTAATACAGGTACCTAAGGTACCCAGTAGGTGTGTAGGTACTTTTATCACTAGGCGTAAGCGCCTACAGGTAGTAAGACGATCGTCCTTCTCCAGGAAGACCGGCCACAGCCGAGTTGAGCACGAAACAAAACATCTCACCATAAGCATCGTCAGCGAGGCACGCACAGCCGCTCTATCTATACCCATGGGTTGACTACAGAATACGTCGGCGTTAGGCACCAGGACCTACCACCAATCCACCCCATCTCGTACCGCCGTTATGCCTAAATTCGATACTTGACCTGGGTCAACCTAAGGAGACCCGTGCAGTACAGCCGCCGCCAATCGCCCACACCTGGCACGCTCGCGCAACAACCTACCTAGATACCTCCTACCAACACCTTGGCCACGCCTAGGACGGAGATATTTACATCACATATTCCACAATCGCGGCACCCACCAAGATAGGGCTTTTCTAGAACCGCTACCTGCTATTTATCGTCTCCGTCTTCTAACTCCCTCGTCGCAGCGGTAACTCGATTCACCAACGTCTTATTATATATATCTCGAAACCTTCCATTTGCGTTCCCCTCCCCAGCGCCGCATTCGTTATATCTTCCCTGTTCCCTATTTTCTGTAACTAATCCGGCCACTCGAGGCCCCGGTTCGACGGCTTCCGAGTTCTAACCTGGGGTGCTGCATCGGTTGTGACCAATCGCTGCCTCTGAGATGGCAGGTATGCGGGCCTGCTGCCGATGCGCGAGCGAGTCCTATCCCTAGTCCGTCTCGTTGTTGGTATCACGTTTTCATGCCAAAGCTCTCCGTCCAATCCGCGCGGTTTCATCTTCTTCTACCGTCAGAAATGCATACAAATTGGCCCGGGATGAGTTCATCTACCGTTTCATAAGTCCATTCAGAACAGTGCGAAGAGATGTTGACTGCTGTGGGTGGAAGGATTCCAGCACGAGTTCGTCTCCACCACAACCACAGACTCGACAGCAGTTCACCACGGTGTGCGCAGGATATACTATAGGTAGGTAGGTAGGTGTGACTACATACGTATGCCTTCACATTTCTCATCTTATCGCTGTTCTCCGTCCTTTTCTCAAAAAGGTGTGCTGAATCGGGATAGCCTAGCACGCAGCTATCCGCCCGACGTCTCGCCCGCGGTGCCGTCGGATGCGCTCCTATCGATTGGCGAGGGATGCGCGGGCCTGACGCTGGCCTGACGCTGGACGATTCGCAGTACTGACGAGAGGCCATCCGTCGATGGCCTGCTGAACATGTTGTGGATTTCCATTCAAGCTGCCCCGTTGCGGGGTGAGTTGTATGCTGCATCTGGTAAACCAAGCGTAGCCGCCTTCGCTAAGTGGCTGTTTATTTATAGGCCAAGCTAATCCCTCGCCTCACAGTCTGTCCCAGGGGCCGCGAATCTCAGGCTGTGTCGAGAGCGCAGGCGCAGGCAGCGCCATTCCCTGCCAATCGGAGCATGTCGTCTACACTACACCCATCTGATCGACGTCTCTGTTTAACGCCGTCTAGCCGACGTAACTGCTACGTAGCGCAGCCCTGCCCAACCCATGTCGCGGCATGGCCTCGGGAGCTGCCTTGCGGCGGGTTGCGTTCCGGCCCCCAGCATCCTTGGCTGCGTATAGGACTCGGTCGATTCGATGACGAGGCGCGAGTTGACGTGGCTGAAGAGCGAGTCCGCGGCTTTTCGCCGATATATTATGAAATGTCGCCCACGGCCATATCATTGCGAGATCTAGCTGTTCAGTCTGTTAAAAACCGTCCTCGTGTTCATCCATTTCGACCTTTCTCCACAGCTACCCTGTAGCACTCCGCAGGCACCTCTCACCTTGTCGTCGTATATATCATCACAAAAAACCAGAAAGGATCGCCGTCTCTCATTTCAGATACATACCTAGTTACGAGGAGATTCAAGGCACATTTCAAAACCCACAGCGCATCCCTACGTGGCTCTTCTCCCGTTTATAGCAAGACCGAATTCACAAACGGAATCCCGCGATACGGCAGCGCCCTTTTCATCACCACCCCTTAGACGTCACTGTGATCCCACCTTCCCGACCAGAATCCAATTCTCAACCAATAGGGCAAGATGGCCACCGTAGTGAGCGGAAATTTTCAACAGGACTTCATCATCGCTATCACAGTCGGGATCATAGTGACCGTGGTCGTCCTGACACTGTTGTGCGTCCTCGCACAGTGCGGCCCACGCATGTGTGGCCGTATCGACAGCAAGGAGCGCTGGTTTTCGCCGTCCGTTGAGGAGGGTCATCAGCACGAGTTGCCGTTAATACAGACGGACGTCTACGTAACCGAGAAATTACGATGAGAGAGGGAATGCGGACACTAAGGAGTGGCTGCTAAGATGATCATCACGAAAAGAAGCTGCGCCGAATCGTCTCCGAGAAGGACGATTTACAGAGCGACGATACGTGAAATACATAACCGGGATGCGATGACGAAACTCACATCCGCGCCCGAATACCTATGGCCGGGTCCATAAGACTCGCGGGGATCGACTACAGCCCCCCCCCCCCCCCCCCCCCAACGCTATAATGCATATCCAGCATATATATATACTACCACTACACGACATATAAGCCGGTTTTCAGACGGAATATACCCGCCTTTATTGGCAGGGCGGCAGGGCTCGGGCTCGTAATAGATCGGGTATACTATATCATTCGGGGGTCCCCAGGGTTGAGCACCGCGGTAGCCCGCCTTTGCTCCTCGGAAGGAAATCAACCCCACGAATGTGGCTCAGAAGGCGTTTATGGCATTGCGCAAGATGCATATGGAGTTCAAGGTTAGCCAGCTTAGGCTAGGTACTTATAATGAATAACTAATGCTACATCACGAATTCCCGGTTTCGCCAGGCTTTAACTTCGAAATCGTCTCCTCGTGTTAGCAAGCCCTGAAGACCCCGGTAAACGTAGTGTATATACGCGAAGACGAACGTATACCTATAGCTCAGCTCAGCTACCAAACCTCTAGTACAGCGATCTCCTCCTTGTTTCATTCCCAAGACGTCTCCCTCGCCTAGCGCATCGTAGTCTGTCAGTCCGAGGTAGATGAACAGGAGCCTCGTAGGAAGCTCGTTGGTAGTTCGCCAGGAGGAGTCTGCTCACGGAAGGATGACACAAGACCGAAACGAAGCAGAGGAAGAGGTCAGTCGCTAGTGTCATCGTCGCCCTTGGCTATTATGCTGTCCATGTCTATCCCGCTGCCGCAGTAGCTATCCGCTCCCACCGCTCACAACCCCATTTTCCCGGTCCGGCGCTCCGGCGCAGAGGAAGAAGAAGATCCGCACCAGACACGGGACCGGCAGCTCTCTGCCCGAGGGTGCGATGCGACGGGTGCCGCCGCGTCGGGACTCCTCCCCCCCCTCGCCTCCCGCCGCCCCCCTGGACCTGCGACGGCAAGTGGCCCATCAGCGCGCGCGGGCGGCGCAGCAGAGGCTCCATCTCCCGACAGATCGAGCACCGGGGGGGGGGGGGGGATGTCTATTTCGCAGTTCTCCAAGGGCACTTGCGTCTCGCGGGCTCCCCCCCACGGTAAATAGGGGAGGGCGCGGCGTCCGTGAAAAGGGGGGTTTCCGGAGGGAGATAAAACATCTACCTCGAAACCCAACAACTAGGTCTCAATTTACAGCAGTAGCCAACTATCTTATCTAGTCCAAACAGTAATATACCTATTCTAAATGTTAGCCCCTACCGTATCTCGGCCAGACACAGAGGCGGAACGTGGGGATCTCAAAGGTCTGAGTTATCTATCCGCCTTCTGCTTGGTGTGATGAGCTTGCATTAGGCCTATGGTTGGTGCCGTGTGGAAGACACATACGAAAGAAGAAGAGAACGGAGATAAATTGATTTACTCAGAGGACTGGAACGCACTGTCTCTCAGGCTGGGATCCGGGGAAATGGTAAAAGTAACGGGCGTAGACTGACTACATCATACCGCGCGGAAACTGACCCTCCCCCCTCAGGGGAGACCTCGGGGAGACATCGCACTCTGGCGTGTCCGACGGCTAGTGCTATGAGCTGCACCGTGTAGCAAAGGCTTTTAATAGGTATCGGCCACCACTTGTTGGCCTCGTTGCTAGGGCTCCATCGTGTCATAGACGCCTCGCGCCTCTCAATGGGGAGTTGTTGCTCGGCTATTGGGTATCGCAACGCGTGGCCTCGGGCAGTCCTTCCTTGGCTGGTACTGCTTGTTGTGGCATGGGGCAGTAAAGGGGTTGTATGTCTTAATAGGAGGCGGTGCATACTCGACGATCGAAGACAGACTGGGCATTCACCGGGGCCGCGGATTGAGACCCGCGACAGGCAGAGAGTTTCGGTGGTGTGTGCGTGCGTGTATTGCCCTATACTTACGAAGCTGGTAAAAGAGCGTTGGTTCTAGGTCTAGGTCCTTGCCGGTCGAATAGACAAATGAGGTTCTCCCATAGTCCGCATATCCTCCCGCCGTATGTCCACTTCCCCTCCCCCCCCTTCCATCTTCCTTCAGCACTCTATCGTCGCCCCTTTTCCCCCCTTACATCTCAGCACACCCGGGGTTCTGCTCTCCTCCCGATTCCAGGTTCTGCCTTGGCATTTAGAGGTGAAGGCAGCTGAGGAGGTCGATGTTGACGAGGGTGCCCTGTACGCGCGAGGGGGGTAAGTATGTCGACGTCATCACAGAGAGTCACGGTAAGGGAGAGGGGGGGGGAGAAAAGGGGGAGAGGGAAAAGAGGGGTTCGGCTTACGGCACCCCCGCTCGTGTCGCAGCAGTAGGCCTCCCCGGCGCAGGAAGAGCCGAGGATCTGGATGAGGCAGCCGAGGCCGAGCAGGCCGCCGGAGCAGCACACCTGAGACTGCTGATTGTTGCTGCAGGTGGTGGATCCGGATCCGGAGCCGGAGCCGGAGCCGGAGCCAGAGCCAGAGTTGGAGCCAGAGCCAGAGTTAGAGCCGGAGCCAGAGTTGGAGCCAGAGCCGGGATCGGAGCCGGAGCCGGAGCCAGAGCCGGACCCAAGGCCGGACCCAAGGCCGGACCCAAGGTCGGACCCAGAGCCGGACCCAAGGCCGGACCCAAGGCCGGACCCAGAGCCGATGGTGCGGATTTGGATCTCGGTGGGGGCGGCGGCAGCAGCAGTGGCGATGGCCAGGAGGGTGGCGAGCTTGCTGAACTGCATGTTGGGCGAGGTTGTGGAAGAGGTATGGAACCTGAGAAGCGAGGAGGGTAAGTTGGTGAGTCGGGAGAGAAGTATGTGGGTGTGTGTGTGGACGAGAGGACAACGACTGGGTTAGCCTGGAGAACTGAGTCTGAGGTGGGAGCGTCCTGGGGGATCTTATATAGACGTCCACGACGCGTGCCCCCCTCCCCCTCTCTCTTCTACCTCTTACGCTCGCTGGCCTTCGTGCCCAAAGCCGATCGCGCGCCTCTCCCCGAATCAAGGCGCCCAGGCCCTTCCCTCCCGAAGGGGGTGCACGTTAGACAAAGTTTCTCCTTTTCCTTGACATGCCGTGCGAGGTGTGACCCGCCCCTCTTGCCCGTCCGATCTAGATGAATGTTGATTATGAGAAACCTGCCCTCCCCGCAGGAGAGGGGCGTCGACACGGCAAGCCACGACGAGTTCTCAGACGTGGCCATCTCATATTGTGCTGTGACTCGACCTGCATCGTTAAATTAGTCATGTAAATCGTCCTGCTCTCGATCGGTACAGGTCACCACCGTCCTGTCTCAGTATTGTTTTTGTAAGGCTTGGACGAGGCGCCGATCCAGGCTCGGCACGCCCAATCACGAGCGCCTCCTCTTCAGCTCTCCCCCAGAGTCTAGCTCTCTCGGCCGGAGCTTACCTCCCGCCGCTTACGCCGCCGGTACTGAAGAATTGGGTCATCACCTTAACCGTGCCCCTGGTTTTCGGCTGATCTCAACCGGGATTGTCCGCGGCGAGCCTCGTACGTGTCGGGTTCTAGTCACGGGAGGCTCGGCACGCAGTAGCTCCTACCATAATATCTTATAGAGCCAGTTCTTATTTTCTGATACGGCCAGGAAATATGACCCTGGCGGCCTGCGAACCCCCTCGAAGCATGGAGAGTACATGTGCAGAAAGCCACCGGCTACCTGCTCGGCCCCTAATGCAGGAGGGATGCTCGATAACGAATGGCAACTGTTGTACGAGAAGAGGTGTGCCTGCAAGGAATAGGAGGGAATGGGGAACTTCGTTGCCCAGAGTCGTCTGGCTGGCACCATACGGTTGTACCATGTATATTATCGGCGTCATGACGTCTCCTAGCCCAGCCTATGCGTAGTGCGAGCTGCCGAGTCCAGCTCCAAGCCCTGCTGATTACGAGCTGCTATTGGTGGCGAACGTGTGACGAGAAGGAGAGCGATCCTGACAAGTATTGTGGGGTGAAGCCACCTTCACCGAAACCCACGATGATCTCGGGACTACGGCGGAGTCTGGATTCCTCACACCGTCGATGTGCAGACGCCTGGCGCCCCGCCGGAGACGCTCAGCTTTACGGAGAGGTGCTCGACGGCTCCCTCGGAATGAGACACTTGGCCCACGGCTCTTCACGATAAGAAGAGAGCACTAAGAACCTGGGGAAGACCGATTCAACCTTACGGCATCAAGAGAGTATATAGCACATTAGCAACTATAGACCACTCAACGCGTGCGGTCCCCTATTGGATCACGACTCTCGATCATCTGTGGAGCGCATTGTCTAGATCGCAACCGAAATCGCTTAGAGCATTAGATCTAAGACACTGGACAGGAAGGGAAAAAGGAAAGCCTCGGGTAAGACTGCTAGCTCAGGAAGTTTCACCCGAATGTAATCCGTATCCGGAAAACCCATCTCTACCCTAGCCGCCACCTCACAAGGTGTATAACCCTCTCTCCCCGGCTACAGTTGTCTAGGAAGGTGAGGCTGGCTGACCGTAAGCAGCAGTGCTGGAGAATACAAGGAGCACTTGACTCAGTCACGCGGCCTCAGAGCCAGTCGATGTTGCCATCTCAGCTATTTCACTCCTCACCACCGTCAGCTTCCCCATCCTTTCGACTTCCAGTAGCTTCGATCGAAGAGTCGGGTGGCTTCACACTGTCTACCATATCCCGTTATTCTCCTCCTCCCACTACCCCGAACCCTGATGTCTCGCCACGTATAAACGAGATAAACTCATCTCTATCTCGAGCATAGCGCGGTGGCGATCCGCGGGACACCTCTTGGATGCACCGAACTTTTGCGCGCGCGCCGCCGCCGCCGACTCCTCGGGAGGCCATCATGGCGCAACCTGCCTACGTACATACGCAGCGTACCCGGCGCAGAACGCAAGCCGGTGCTACATAAAAGCGGCGAGCGAAGAGGTCTCACCGGCTCTGCCGTGTAACTAGGTCTGAGCCAGATAAAGAAACAGAGAAGAGAAGTCTTTCGACCGTGACGTCCAAGGATACACCTCCCATTATCCCGGCAGGTCGGTCGTGGAGGAGTCGAGCGAGGGCCAGGAAGTTGCCGCGCGCGGACGGAGTCCCGGCCCAAGGGAATCCGGTCTATCAGGTTCTAGGCCCTGCGCGACGAAACACCATAGTTCCCTCGTGGTGACGAGAGGGCTCGGGGGAGGCGGGGCGACAGCAACGAGTATGGATGTAGGCGGATCTGCGGGAAACCCAGGCGAAAACAACCCCCCCCCCCCCGACACCGGTTACTCTGTGGGTTCGGCCAGGTCCTGGCTGCCATCGCATGCGTCGTGGCATGCCGGAACCGAACCACGCTGGCAGCGCTCTCTCTCTCTAGCTACGCGTATGTAGGCGTCCGTTGCCACCGACAACGAGGATGGAAATCCCCGGCGCTGGGCGATGATTCGCGGAGGGGGGAGGAGACGCGGTGGTGAGCGCTGCCGGCAGCGTGGCATGGGAGCTCGCGCTCGTAGCGTGGCAGCCGCTTGATTGGAAGAGCAGCGCGCGCGACATGCACCTAGCCGCCGCCGCCCGAGCAGGAGGCATGTCTGGACGAGCCGCTGTGCGAGTGCAGAGAGGCGTCCCGCCGTTCGCCGCGTTGGTCGAGGCGGCCGCCCATGCCATGCCGGTTCGCGTCTAATTGCCCTGGCCCAAACTTGGTGTTTATAAGGGAGCCCAGGAAGCCTGGCCAAGGCCCGTCCCGAACTGACAGTTCTTCCTGCGATATTAAGTATCGTCCATGGTAAACAGTCTGGTGTGTGTTATTTCTAAGAGCCGCGGCAGGCAGATATTACCTACCTGTAATAATACTGGCAGCATATTCGTTCCTCACGACACCGCGATTAATAGCCATCCGCTCTCTGGAGGTTGCTGCGGACCATTACTTTGAGAGCCCACGTATTCACATACCCAGTAATATGGTAACGTTTTCCCCCAACTGACAGATGCTTGCGGATAAATTACTGGTGAAGGTGGCTGATAAAAGCACAAGGGCGATCACCTTATTCGGAATTCGAAATGCAACCCCAACATGCAGTACATATAGGTAGGTATACTAGGAAGTATTCACAGGAGAGTATTAATAATACCACATACATATTGTCATGATATTGTGGCGAAGAAATACCTATCTCTAGGCAAGGAGTTGATGTAGATGACCAGGAGCTGTAACGGAAAGGATACGGCATTTTGCTCTTCTCTCGCTTCCAGGCCACTAAGTTTCTTTGTCTAGCTAAAGGGGAAAAAAGCTGGGAAGTAGGAAGAGCGACGACGTGGCTAACGGCGCAAATGCTCGATGCACGTTGAAGAATAATACTCTATTCGTAAGTAAGGTAGAGACAGGCCATAGTAATACAGACAATGGGCGTTATTATGTTATAGAGTGTAGTATATTATTACGTGACTATGGCAACACGCAAGACGATGAACACATCACCACAAATGGCATCCACTCCTATACTGTCGTCATTTCGGCCTCCAATTGCAACGTGCTCATCCGTGCCCGCGCAACAAACGAAAATATACACGAAGCTACGATAACTATCTATGAAGCCATTGCATCGTGTTCCCTACCGCCGAGATCCCACGACGAACAGCCAGGCTTTCTCTCTCCTCTGTCAACCATATGTATCTGACGTCCCGCGAGGTAAAAGGAAGGAGATGGCCCCAATGGGAGAGGACGAGAGCGTGGACGCCCAAGAAAAGCAAGAGGAGGAGAGAAGGGCGCGACAAGATGCAACTGAAGCCCCCTGGCCGGTGAATATGCAGGCTGGAGCTTAGCATTCTGGTTTTGGACATCAAAGCCAGCCGCTCTATGTATGTGAGCTACGAAACGCATGTAATCTAACGAGGTGGCTTGAGAGTGTTGGCGAGGGCCACTGCCCGGCGCTGCTCACATCGTCTGGGTGAACATGTTCCTACAGGCCAACCGGCGGCGTCCAGGGGCACCAAGGTCAGTAGTCCCAAGCAGGAATCATCTTGGCAGCCCAATAACATGTACTCCAATCTCCTGCGTGAATGCATTCCTACAATACCTATTAATCCGTCAATCCATGACCCATGTTGAGGCGTTGTACGACTTGTACATATTCACACATATCAATGTGAGGGTTGACTGGTGCAGGAGGCACTAGCCATCACCTCTATATTCCGATTTATCATTTTCTTGCAGAAAACTATTGCTTCGTACCAAGCCGACGGGGCCCATGGGAGCGCCAGCAAGGTGCGAAAGGGGTAGGGACCTGTCATTATTTCACTACGGCCTACGCGTCCTCTCTAATATCGCCGGCATGCCCACACGCCGTCTCCCCCCTCCGCCAGTACGTAGGCATATACGTAGGCTATCACCAACGTATATTCGCCGATCTTCTACGCGGCCGCCTCTCTGCCCGGGATACTCGCCAACCCTAATCACACTGTCAGCATGCCACATCGGTCGCTAGAGCGCTTGGGGGGCCAGGGCGCCACTTACATCCGTCGACGTCCTCGACCGCGGTCTGCGGCTTCGTGCACCGCATCGCCTCCTCGGAGGACTGGGTCCGGAGCTGGCTGCACACGGCGTTGTTGCAGCGCGCGTCCAGGGCGCGCTGCAGCGCGTCGCCCTTCCAGCCGAAGATGTAGTCGCCGTGCTGCGAGTACCCGCTCCTGCAAACCCGGGTTGTCAGCTCCTAATATCCCGCGAACGGTCTATAAGGAAAGCGCAGAGGGAGAAGTGGGAAAGCTCACTCGTCGCCGGTGCTCCAGACGAACGGCTGCGAGCCGTCCTCGGGCCACAGCTCCGGGTCGTTGAAGGGCGTCGTCTGCGATTCGTGTTATCAGCACATAGAGTCCCACCAAGTGATCTGCAACAGAAAACGGAAAAGCAGAGAGCGAGAAGAGAAACAAACGATAACTTACATCCCACATAACCTCGTACATCAACTGGGGCAACCTCACGGGATGGGTATCCGGACAGGCGCCTACAGACTCGAAAGTCCCCTCTCGAGGGTAGGCTACGTGGCTCTTGTGGTCGGGGCTGTCGAGGTTCTTGCCGTCCCAGCAGGTCGGGAAGGTGATGGTAGTACGGATGCCGCCGGGGCAGGGCTGAGGGGGCAGGCTCTGGGTGTCGTCGCCGGTGCAGGGGGCGCCGCCGGAGACGCCGGCCACGCCCTTGTTGTCGGCGGTGGTGTAGCAGCGGTGGCACAGCTGGCGCTGCATGCCCTCGGAGCGGCGCAGCTCGGCGTCGCCTACGAGCATGCGGAACCCGGGCCGGAACGCGGTCACCGTCGTCCGGCCGTCGTACGGCGGGATGTAGTACACCGTGATGCCGCCCACCGCGCGCAGCCCGACGTTGGGGAACTGCGGCACCCGCCGGTACGTCCCGTTGCGCGCCCGGAAGTACATCACCGCCGTCCAGTAGTTCGAGAAGTCCTCCGAGAACGTGCAGCTCGTGCACGTCGAGTCCGCTACCGGGTCGACGTCCGCCGGGTCCATGCTCGCGTTGAACGAGTTGCCCCCCACGATCTGGTGGACGTGCGGCGACGGGCTCAGGCCGGGGTTCACCAGAGGATCGAGACGCTCGATGACGAGCTGAGAGCAGCCGAAACGGATCATCTGCTGAGCAGCGGCGCCTTGCGCCAGCAGCGTCAGGGCCAGGGTCGTCCAGTACATCTTAAATAAAGCCCTATCCGGTCGATTCACGAAATAGCTGGCGCTGGTGGGAGAGATGTCTGCTTTCGGTGAGAAAAAATCTGGACTTTGGGCCTCTTTGCTGGCATGGTTTCCCAGACCCCAACTCCTATATAGGTAAACTAGTCGTCCCTCCTGAAGAGAATGCCGTCCAACTATCCCCATCGTTCACAATTCGCTTGTAAGTTCAAGCCAAGGATAGTCAATATACCGGGTAAATGTCCTTCCCAATCAACCGGTCTCTTGGTTATCACACCATGGTTATTATTCTCGAGAGATTTGGAATGATAATAAGCCGGGCAATTCGCTGCCCCCCTGATTAATCCATCCTTCCCCTCGTGTCTTGCTCCTGAACAACAGAGCGCGCGAGTCATCAAGTGCAACTGAAGAGGGCCTTATCAACCCAGAAGTTGTATTAACTTCTCGGCCATGATGGAACACGCTCGGCTAGCAGCGTACATGTAAACACATTTCGTCTAATACGATCCCCCCTCCACCTAGAGGATATAGACGACTAGCCTTGGCTGGCACAAAAAGAAGCGAAAAGAAAATGAAAGCACCCTCATCGTCGTACTCTAATCAAGCGGCAAAATAGAATTAATTTTCAGCTCACTCATGTAGATTGCGATGCAACGATGAGGAACTTCCGGCATTTCACCATGCTCGGTATAACTACCTAGATACTGGACGAATCGCTCGTGGACAGCCGATCGACACACTTTTATCGTCGCTCAACGGCGTAAGTAGCGGGATTTCGCCATAACCTATATCTCACAATAAGCTTCGAAGCAGCTGCGGCACTCGTTACGATGAAAAACGGCCTCATCGCTTTCGCGGCGGCGCTGTCGCTAACCTCTGGGGCGAATGCTTCGAGAGTTTGCAGCACGCCGACCTACCAGTGGCGCGTAGGCGCCGCGAGGTTTGACGGCGCCGATCCGAGCAAGAACAACGGGCTTGCCACGGTGGCAGTCAGCATAGTGCCAGGAACTCGCGCTCAGGGCACATTTTTCGAGTGCGTCGCAGAATGGCCAGAATCGTGGGAAGGGCGGTACGAGGACGGGAATATCATCTGGAGCGATTGCATCTGGGCCGGCAACGGAGCGACCTACGACACAGCAGTTGCTTTTGCCCTAGATTGGAAGAATCGCACCATGCATGTATCTCACACGTTTGACTGCTCGGATGCAAGCGGGTGAGGATTTTTCATGGTCTTAGTCAAATTCTCTCTGGCAGAAAAGAGAATGACGTCGGAAAGCTGACATCACTGGCATAGGTCGAGTGCCTTGGCGACGGGGTCGCTCGTTCTGGGTATGGGCTGCACGACAACCGAGGAGAGCGGCACGAGTTGTGCGTTGAACGAAACCAGCCCTGCGATTACCACGAAAGGCAGCCGGGCTCACCTAGGAGCGGGATCCTCCTGCGCGGATAACTCGAAGACATACCAATCGTGGCAACTCGAGGAATGGCACCGCCAATATATACTCGCTCCCGGATCGACCGCCTCGCCGTCGTCGGATACGGGGCCATCGTTCACATTGAGGAATATGGCGAACGCCGACGTATTTGATTGCTCGCCTTCAACGAACCAAAACGACACATTCGAAGGAACGTGCAAGTCCAGGGCGGAGGGCAGCTCGACGACCGCAGCAGCATTCCGATTTGAGCGCAGCCTAGGCATCCTCACCATCACACAGAGCTGGGACTGCGGCGATTCGTGAGTAGCACCGGCGCTTTCTTGTTGCCGAGTCGCGTGAAGAGACGCCGACTAACTGCGAGATATACATAGGTCTTCATTCGATGCCGTCGGCGTCGCATATGTCCAAGGATCATGTAGCCGTGAAGGAGACCTGCTCACTTGCACGTCGCTGCCACTTTGGATTGGTACCCAGACGCCATGATGGATGATGGGCTACGTGAGCTGAGGTATAGCGCGTCGCTTCCCAAGATTGTTGCAGTTAGAAAATATTTTTATTTTATTGTGACGTACTAGGATGTGTCGGACGGAAATATGTGAGAGAGATGAAGATATACCGGCATATTCAACCTGTGTGTTGTTTTTACATGTGAGGTCGTGAGTTGATAGAGTTGTAGACGTCGGCATGTATTCTTCGAATTTGGGTACAGGTAGTGATTGGCACCTGTCCAGTTTCGAACATGGCGTATTGCCAGCTGGTCTACACTATCCCGGTAATTGAACACCCCCGCCATATACCCCACTATTATTCCTGTCACCTGGCCGGTTGTGTCCATCCCACTCCGTGCCGCCACTTAGGCAGCCTGCCTCCTCATAACCCACCCTACCCACCACTTGGCCGACCTCAGTGGGAGGCCTACTATTTGCCTGCCTACGCCCACCGCATACAGTCTACACCCTGAGGTCTTCTACCTACTCCAACAACGACAGCAACCGCTCCGATTAAAGACTGACACCTATCCTTCTACCTACCGTGCCAAAAGCACACACGTAAACTCAACCCGCCTGCGGCTCCTCCTCCTCCCTCCCCTCCACACCCGACAAACCGACCGACCGACCGTCTGACTGACCACACCTCACCACCATGAACCGGCTCTTCGGCAGCGCGCCCAAGGCGCCCAAGCCGACGCTCAACTCGGCCATCTCGACGCTCGACGGGCGCATCTCGTCGGTCGACGTGAAGATCGCGTCGCTCAACGCGGAGCTGGGCGGGTACCAGGCGAAGCTGGGCAAGATGCGCGAGGGCCCGGGCAAGGCGGCGCTGAAGGCCAAGGCGCTGCGCGTGCTGCAGCGGCGCAAGCAGTACGAGGCCCAGCGCGACCAGCTGCAGGGCCAGGTCTGGAACATGGAGCAGGCCCAGGCCCTCCAAGACAACCTCGCCGGCGTCATGACCACCGTCGACGCCATGCAGACCACCCAGAAGGAGCTCCGCCGCCAGTACGGCAAGGTCGACCTCGACCGCATCGACCGCCTCCAGGACGACATGGCCGACCTCCTCGACGTCGGCAACGAGATCCAGGAGTCCCTCAGCCGCGGCTACGAGCTCCCCGACGACGTCGACGAGGCCGAGCTCGACGCCGAGCTCGAGCTCCTCGGCGCCGACCTCGAGCACGAGGCCGGCCTCGACGCCGGCGCCGTCCCCGACTTCATGCGCGAGGAGGTCCCCGAATTCATCGACGAGCCCCCTCAGTCCGCCGCCGCCAAGGTCCAGGAGGCCGCCCGGTGATGGGCTACCGCCCGCGGCGGCAACGAATACTATGGGCAGAACGTGGAGTGGACTGAGACTACGCGGCGAACCCTCTGGGTACGGGAGTTACGGGAGTTTGGTACAATACTCAAGGGGTCCAGGGAACGGGTGGAGGTTATGCATTACGCTGTACTGTATTTTAGGCAAAACATGTTGTATTACGCTACGTCGTTGCTATCGATTGCAATACCCAAGCACGGTGACTTTTCCTTATTGGCGTATTCCCGAAGACCGCGCGTGAGAAAGACGCGAGCGTGGCCTGAGACGTGCTCACCGACCTCTACTCTATGGTCGCGAAAAACGCCGAGACCTCTTCGACATCCGGATCCCCGTTACAAAAGTCCCAGCCTATGATAGTACTTGTCTGGCTACAGCAGATAATCCGCCGCGCATCGAACTGCAATTTAAAGATCCTGGCAGGGCTAGTGTCGGCCTGTGCGATATGAGGGTGCTGGTATTGATGCCCATGAACCTGGAGTTGGGAATGCAACTGGCCAGGTTGCTGTTGGCCATGTAGGCTCGGCGGTGGGCCGCCGCCGTTGCCAGTCGAGCCGTGTTCCATGGCCGAAGAAGGATTGGGTGTGCCCGCTATTGCGGTGCTTACTTGCGCCGGCATTCCGAGAGATAGGTCACCGGGATTTGGCGTCACAGCAAGAGCTTGCTGTACGGACTCCCTGATGCGATTTTGAGCAATATGTGCCCTCACCACGGCCATGTTGACGACCTGTCGAAGATCAGAGCGGACCATTGCGTTTGGCTCGCGATCAATGGCGTCTGCGATGTGGGTCTGGTAAGTCAGCATCGTTGGGTAGGCGGCTAAGGCTTGCTGAAGAGCGGTCGGCCCTAGGGGCACGTAGGTGTCAATCATTTGAGTGTAAGAAGCTGTAGTTTGAGGGGTGATAGTAGCGATAATAGGGTGCTCGACATGGGTGAAGGTTGACGTTGTTTGCGGGAGGGCCGGCGGTGGGCTCATAGAGGAGGCGTTTCTAGGTTCGGGGGTTAGAGACGACGTCGGTTGCGCAGCCGAAGTAGAGGCGGATGTTTTCTGCCTGAGAGCGGCTGCCGCACCCTCTTCTTGTCTGAGGGTATGTGCACTTCTCCAGACACCCTCGCGATCCCGTCGCCATATTATAATGGACTGATCGTACGAACCGGAGACGATGCGACCATACGGCCCGCCGCCGCCGCCAGGAGGTAACTTGGCCCCATAAGCCGTAATATCCTCTGGTCGCCGGCTTCCGGCATTATAGGGTCGATGCCTTAGCGACGGCGCCTCCGTCAGATCACCCGCGCGCAAAGCCTTGAAGTACGCCTGATCGACAGCTCTCGCCTCTAGCTGGTCTTGTTCGACGCTGTAAGGGAGGTCACCAAACCCGGCCTGTACCGTCCGAACGAGGTTACTGTGCGCCCGCAAGCTCGCCACCTCGACGCCTGTTTCGCGGTCGAATACCTTGACCTCATTGTCACTGCTCCCACTAACAATGCGTCTGCCATCGTACTGGACACAGGCAATCCCTTTGTTATGCCCTAGAAAAGTCCGTTGGCATTTCTGGTTCGGCCAGTCCCACACCTTGATGTGTCTGTCACCGCTCGCCGAGACAATCTCGTGACCACAGATCTGCACCGCATTTACGGCGGCACCGTGGCCTTCGAGGCATGCGATCATCGTATACGGCGGCTTAATGGCGAGCTGATTTAGTGGCGAATCATCGTAACCGTAATTCCTCAGATTCACCGGGACGGGATTGACGCCATCGCCATATCCCATATCACCAGAGCGCAGCGGCACCCGATTGAAGATTTTGATGGTCTTGTCCTTCGAGCAGGTTACGAGGATGCGTTTGTCGAACTTGACATTCAGCACAGATTCCTTGTGGGCGTTTCGAAGTCGCTGCTGAATTTCGCCTGTGGAGAACCTCCACAGAATCACGTCGGAATCGCTGCTCCCGGAAACAATGAGATCCTCGTCAGGGTCCGAGTCGAACTGTAAGCAGAGAACTGATCCTAGATGGCCTCGTAAGGGCGGTCGTATGAGGCGTCGGGTGCGCAAATTCCAGATCCGTAGGGTGCGATCGCGGCTACCACTGACGAGATAGTCGGCGTTGTACTGAAGACTGTAGATGCACTCGTTATGGCCCTCTTCTAAATGTTCCGGATGGGGCAATTGGAAATTTGTATATCGGCCACGATCCCAATTCTGCTCCAGCCTTCGTCTCATCGTATATAAGTATTTCCAGCTAATCTTGAATCTGCCGTCTCTCGCGTCGTAAATCCAGAGCATGGACTTAGACCGGCCAGGAAAACCGGGGGTGGTTGGGAGCATAGAACGCAAAGGCTCCGAGAAATCAGGTGTCGCTTTACCTTTACCCTTGCCGTTGTATCCCCGAGAGGCGGGCAGCCCCCTGAAATCTGGCACCGGACTAGGTGATTTCATCATTAGGTTACCCATATGTTGAACGATACTGGTATTACTCTGCGCGGACAAGCTGCTTCCGCCGGGCTGAGGACCGCCGAAGAGGCTCATCCCGGTAAACTGAGCATGCGGGTATTCCTGTGCTGCGGGTGCATCGGCATCGACCATTTCGGAATCCTCATCGTCTGGTGCCGTTGATTCCGACACGGCTCGCTTCTTGCTGACGTGGCCGTCTCCGAGAAGACGGGCTCTCTGAGGCGAGATGAGAGAAGAAGCGATGCTTTCGTTCATCCGCTGCTCCGCGGCCATGATCTCGGACGGTATAGCCTTCCACCCTTCCAGGTAGAACAGCCTTTCCCACAGCTTGCGATCAACAGCTAGTTCGTACCAGCCCCTGCAACACATCGCAACGTGTATCAGGGACACCGGGTCCAGGTAGCCAAGGATCTTGAGGCATATTTCCGGGGGTAGCCGCTGAACGAAGTCGATATAGAGACGGGGATTCAGCTCGTTCGAGACGATGTCTGCGATGACAGTGGTAGGCAATTCGTTGAGGATGAGCATGGCGAGACCTGTCAAATCCAAATGGCTGCGTCAGAGAGGAAGAACGGCGGAAGCGAGAATTAGGAGTAAAGCGATATCAGACCGGCTTCTCCCCGCGATAACAACACGAAGCTATGGGGAAAGCAGAAAGAGATGAGGGTGATCATACGAGTCTTTTGGTGCACCGATAGGGTGGGTAATTGGGCGGACAGCCATGCCGGTATGTCGGCGGGCGACTGCTTGACCGGCAGAGGTGCATTACTCGCGAGGCTGCCCGGGTCTGAGGGATTCAGGGGATGCTCGGAATAACCTTCGTCGGGTTCCTGGGTGGGAGCGAAGGGATCCATCGGGATATTGCAGCGTCGTCTGGCGCGGCTACGAGACGAAAGCTTCGGCCGCGGCTTGCGGACAGAAACAGTGGCTTCGGCGGAGTTATGAGATATGAGGCTAGGGCAGACGGGTAACACGAAGGAGGCAGAGGGTTTAGTAAGGCAGTACCGAACTCGGTCCAATAGTGGTTGCTGCTGGCGTGTCGTGAAGTATCGCAGAGCGGCGGAAGAGGCGACCAAACAGCTGCGTACCGCACCCCAATACGGCCGTGTGCGTCCACCATGTGGCAGAAAGGAAACCTAGGAAATGAAGGTCGGTAGTGGACCAGTATGCATGTGTTAATATGGGCTGTATTAAGGTACGTCGCAGGAATATGTCGACGGTGAGGGTACCGCAGACGCAGGCAAAAGGGAGGGTGGGTTGGGAAGACGAGTCGGGGTTGCACCGCGATGTTGATGTGATCGAGATGGAAACAGAAGATATCGGGGGATAAGCTAGGAGGTAGGTACCTACCACCTAGGTACTTCCATACCTTGACCTAGGTACCTGAAGTTAGGAAGGGGTAAAGCTTGACCCCGGCCCTGTCGTGGTTCTCGCTCGCCAGTGCACGGTGTGGAAAATGCCTAAAATACCTGCGAGGGGTACCCACATAGGCAGGTAGGTTAGGTACCGAAGGGCAGTGCCTTGGAGAGGGCAGGTTAGGCAAGTTAGGTATCTAACTACCAAGTGCTTAGGTACCTAATGCAGATAATCTCCTAGACCTGGTCGCGGGGACTGGCGGCCATTTCGTCTGCCGACTGGCCAGGCCAACCTTATTTACGTTCACCTCTCGACGCCTTGCAAATATCCGTATCCAGCCGGTCACCTCCTCAGTACCTCCGGCCGGGGCGCCCAAGGCATTAGTAGTCCAAAGTTACCTAGAGTCCTCCTATGCTATTATACCCTTAGGTGCCTACCTAACCTCTATACATCCCTCCCGCCTGCTGAAGCCTCGCAGCGCAACTATGAGGTGCCTTATATAGATGTATGTGCCTACATCTCAAGGCACCCCGAAGAACCTTGGAACCTCTGCCCTGCCTGCCTGCCTGCCTACATCGCCGCCTTAGGTGCCTAGCGTACCGACATAGCAGGGCCACATGGTTGTCCCGGAGAAATCTCCTGCTTAGAAGCCTCTCTGTACCCAATGCCTTCGTGCCGTATGCAGACGACGTGGGGATTCCCCGGTTTCATCGAGTCTCACACAACCAGTTGGGTCGAGGCAGTATACCTGTTATACGGCGAAACAAGTCTGGATGCCGGGCGGTGCTTTTATTTTTGTTGTTTTGTTCCTAGACCGAGACACTGGACGACAGCGCGGCACCAGCCAGCCAGCCACATCAGCCACGCCCACCAGTCTGTCTATTCCCACAACCCGCTACGTAACATAGAGACACAACAAGGGGAGGACGGAGGTAGGCTACCTACATCCCTGGCGAACATCCATCCCATATGGGCACATGTTCGGTTGATTCTAAGCAAGTGTTGGTCGGGAAACTTAAACAGGGGGCAGTATAAGTCGTGCCCGGGTTTCACTATGCATGGCCTACGTACAGGCGCCTGGTGGAGGCAATGTAGGCGCCTTGTCTCTTATCTCGTCATCCCGCCAGGAAGTGCCTAACCAATAGGTACGTTGAGGTGTAGCTACGCCTGCCTACACCGTCCCTTTCGCAAATCTAGTATTCGACCTACTTCTCGGGGGCTGCGGAGGAGGCGGTACGCGCACATGAACTGATGCCTGTATTATCAGAATCGATGGATGCACATGTGACGTGCTGTCGGTGGCAGATCCGTCATCCCTCAAGGGACTATCAAAACGCCCGACAAGATCCAGCCCCCTCCTGTCTACGCCGTTCCCCGACTAAGTACCTACCCACTCTCATCCCAGCCGCCAGTAACGAAAATCATGAGGAGAAATCGCGATTCGATCTTGTGCTTTTGCTAGGTAAATCGAACGGTAGCGACCAAGGATGGAGGCCACTATAACTAATTACCCTAGCGTCGCGCAACTTCGGCTAATAGCGAGCGGAAAGCGAGAGTCGGTCGGCCTGGGTTGTAGACGAGAGCATATTGCAGGTGAGATGCATGCTGCTTTGGGAATGGATGCGTGTGATCTCTCGGCGCTTCAAGATCGCCCCGGAGCGTTTGATCGCTACAGATCCATTCAGCAGGTTGCCGACTACGAGCTCGACTACGCTGGGCCGCTAATATTGTCTCATTCGAGTTTACGCGCTTGTATAGACAGCAACCCCTCCATGTGGTCTCCAGTCAAAGCGGGAAGATCGCTATCCTGGATCGAATGTGCCTGCCTACCACTACTTATCCGCCATGTCATGCCTGATCGCAAGTAAAGTCGCAAGTTGCAGACGCTTCGTAACAGAGCCTTCACCCCTCCCCTCCCGATGGCAGGGCTCATGCAATAGGGTCAGCCCAATGGTATTGGCGACGTTGGCATCAGACCGAATCCCGCCGGCTGTAGAGGAACAAATCGCATGAATTGGGAGCGTTTCCACGAGGATGTTTGCCGGCTATGCTAACGAGTGTCAGGGCTATTCCCGGTACCCTACATCGTAGAAGGGAGAATCCAGCCTACATGTCTGTACACGAGAGCGATACGCAGGCTGGGAGGTGCCACACATCCCGGTGGACATGTGACACGCCTCCAAGGCAATCGGAAAGGCCAGGGGGGTATCGAGAAGAAGCATGCATGGAAGTCCTCAAGAAGGCCGATATCAATCTGTATCACTCGTGGTCAAATTACGGTGCCCTCCACTCGTGACTTGCGACGCAGAGTAAATGGCATCATAGGGTTAGCTGTAGGCCTCGAGCGGATGTAGGCATGTACGTACACACACAGGCTCCCCTGTGCTGCAGGATCCGAGATCCCCGCCTGATGAAATGCCACCCCTCCGCCCCCTTTGTCATGCCGACAAGACAAGTTGTGCCTTTTGGCGTCGGCACCTTGGTTCCAGCGATAGGACTCTTGTCGAGATATCCCGCCCGCCCGCCAGCCTCCGCAACAAGTGCACGGGTTAGGAATGCCGACAAGGTCCCCCGCAGGGACTTAAGAGGACGAAGCTGCTAGGTACCTATGTAGGTATGTATTGTACATAACCTACGCGGCGCCTCGCTGGGAGGCCGTGTAGCTGGAGGAGCATGTGCCTACGGAACCCCACCACTAGTATGGAAAAGGTAGGTATCCTTCCTGGTTCCGAGACCACCCAAGGTAAACTGATGTTCCTCGTGAGATTGCGGTCCGCGCACCTCTGGCGGCAACGTTAAACCTTCTCCGTGGAGACGGGCATCCTCCCAATTAAGTTGAGGACCGACGTGCTGTGTTAGGTAGACAGCGACAAGTGATTGTGCGAAAGGAACAAGCCCAAGAAGAAGCGCTGGATGCTCCCGGCATCAAGAGACCTTACTCATATACGCGCAGGCGGGGGTATCGTGTAGTTGTATCTGCCGTACGCAAGTTGATGTAATAGAGGATATTTTTAAGGATGACCTGCAGCGAGACCTCACAAACGTCAGGGTGCTGCCTCACACACACACACACACACACGTACACACTCATACCTATAACCTACATGTACACTACTGCATGGAAAGAGTGAGTTTCCAGCCCGTTGGTCCTTCGTTTCGAAGGTTCACGACTTCTCCCCAGCTAGCTTTCTGCCTGCCACCCCCCGGGAGACAGGAAGAGAGAGAGAGGGGAGAAGAGGAAGGGGAGAGTTCATGCATAATCGTATCCGTGTTTAGTGGAACAAGACGCAAATTGGACGTCAACAAGCGTGCTCGGGGAAACCCATCTGCCCAGAAGATTAGGAGAGCGAGCATAGAGGGGTCTTGGCTTGCCGGTGATATCGTGATGCTCCTCACAGCATCGTGCTAAGGACGGGGAAATGCCTGTCGATCATGGTCAGTTCGGGACGTCAATTTTCTCGTCCAGTGCAACGGGATTTAGCTTCTTTAGGTATAGCCTTCAGGATTCGCTAATTTGAAACAGCCAGAGACCCCATCGCGATTCATGCCCAATTGCGGGAGTCTGCCAGTTTAAACGGTGAGAGGGAGAGGGGTGTGAGGCGTGTAAGTGAGCGTGTAAGTGAGTGAGGGAGAGTGAGCGAGGGAGTGTGAGTGTATACAGGTAGGCGATCAAGCTTTCCCTGTACGCGTAGGTAGTTCTGTAGGTACCTACACATGTGTAGGAAGCCATAGCAATGCCCGTTCCCTCGACAGGCACAGATCTGCATATGTACGACGGCAACTATACGGCATATAGATCAGCAAGTTGAGGTCATCCATCGTGTTTCTCTCCTCTAGGACATCGCCGATGTGTAAGATCTATTCATATATACATATCCACACATGGTAAGCTTACAACCTCGAGACTCCCAGCCACGGCCCACAACGAAGGGCGACGACGGATCGAGTTCTACGAGGGGCATTGTCCGGAACAATGTAACTACTAGGACAGTGCATTGACAATAGGGCACCAAGCCAAGCAGGAGGGGAAACGTGGGCGATGACATCTATATACGTACCTGCGTACACAGTTGTTGATATCTCCTGTAATTACCTAGGTAGGTACTTTAGTGTGGAAGCAGGTCCTAGGTGTCCAGTAAATACCAGTAGGTATAGGGAGGTATAGATTCCCAAAAATACAACCAGCCCAGTACGGTTCTTCTCTCTCGAGATTATGTGGGATTGATTACAGGTACCTGTATTGCTCCGCAAATACCTGCTCATGTCACGGCAGGTAGACGGACTTACCCGTGTTGGTCTACCCTGTGTAATAGGTACCAACTGCCCATCTACCTACCTAGGTACCTACCTTAGGTACCTACGTAGTACCTACCTGCCCACCTGCCGAGAGGTAGGTAGGTACCTAATACCTATATGAACCGATGTCCTTGGTTTTCTACGGCCGACCTTAGGAGGGTAGGCCGCTGATCGACCTCGTCCCTCCGTATAGAACTTATAATAGGCTGGCAACCTCATACATACATGCATTTATATACTTAGGTAGGTAAGTATACACCCATTTCATGCATAGCGCAGTGGTGGCGGCAGTGGCGTATAAGTCTCTACTTTCTAAGACACCCGCCTCTCCTCTTCAGTATGAAGGTGTGAGCCCTGTGTCGAAATATGCGATAGAGTGACCTTCTGATGTGTACCTATATATGTATTGATGACACAGCGTGCCCTCCTATTGAATGGGGGATAACCTGACATGATGGGTAGACCAACTGATACACACATGGATGGATATAGGGAATAGGGAACACGGATATACGGGCGAGGTGGTAAAGGTACCTAATGGGATTGCCTGGTGCCGGCGGGACATGCGGTTGAGATAGGTATGAGTAGGTATCGAGAAGAACGCGGGAGACCAAAGAGTGCCCCATAGGGGGGTTACAGTGGTGGAAGTGAGGTGGGAAATGCCCCAATCAACCATGTAACGATGACTAGCCCGTCCGGGCATGTTAGGACGCATTAGTCACTTCACGTCGACCGAGATAGACGACCCCGAGACCTGACATCCTCTCCATTTCCTATTCTCAATATCTGCTTGGGCCGCCGCCGTTCACATAGTCCACACACACACACACACACACACACCTACCTGTCCCGGCTACCTCCCCCCCCAAAATCCCATCTGCAATCCAGACACAGGTTAATGGTCCAACCCAGCCATAAATACACCAGGACACAAATCCACTCGCACAGCAGAGGGGGCCGCCCACAGCCAACTACAACCACCTACCGCCTACATAAATTTATGTAGGTACGCCGCTGCATCAGCCGACTTTACCCACTCCATTCGCTCTTCCGCTGCTGCTTCTCATGTAGCCGCCGAGTACGGCCGCCTTGACTCCCCAGGTTTCAAACCCCCTATCGCCCCAACGCCGCATCTGCCACTCGAGGCAGCCTGTCGAGCCCCGCGGATACCCAACGAACTCGTTCATTTGCCGCCGGCCCGCAAAGAGGCAAAGAGGGGAGCCGGAAGAAGAAAGAACAGCAGCACTTAGGATAGCTTGTGTGTGCTTGCGCGTGTGAGACTGGGCTTGATTCAAGAGAGCGCGTATCACAAAAGAAGCCGAGAATCAGAAAAAGAAAGGCGGCGACGGAGGGGAGACAGACTCAGACCCCATCTGCTTCGCTGTCGCCCTAGATCCGGGCCTAGGATTCGACACGGCCATTGGCGTCGATTGATCCTCAGCATTGATCGGGCATACCACCGTAGCCTAACCAGCGTGGGACGAGCGCTGCGATTGCGACTGGGTCTTGTCTCGAAAAGAAGGAGAGAAAAAAAGAGTCAACCTTACGCAGGGCCTCGACGACTTCGACGCGCCGCCGAGCCCATCACGGCAATCTCGCCGAACCAACTGCTCTCCCCTTTCCCTTCCCCCCAAGGGCTTGCCCTGCTTTCCGTTTCGATTGATCGGTCAGCTTAAATACCGACAATCTGCCCAATACATTTCCGGATCCGAGACGTCCCAGTTGACGGCACCCGCTTTATTTCGGATCTCCACTCCCAAATAAAGCACGATCCATCGCGGCGAGACTCGTATGGGTTGAAGAGCATGGCCCATGCTCCGGCCTTCCTACGGACGAACACGGCCCCCGTATTCCCAGCCGACAACAAGTACGGATCCATGTCAGTAGCATCCACCATGAGCAGCCTCCGGACAAGTCAATTGTCCGGGTCTACTGCCCTCAACTCCTCGAACACTTCCCTCACCTCTATGTCGGCATCTACAATCGTCCAGCCGGCGCCCGCCGGCAACGTGGTGGCCACCTCGAATATCATCAACCAGAAGGCCGACGCCTCGAGGTCGCTATACCAGATCTGCATCACCTTGAAGCAGCGACTATGTCGCGTTCCTAACTTCGAGGCTCAGTTCGAGAGCCAAGCCGCCTCTGCCACCGAGGATGGCCCTGTCGAGTCGCTATGGAACCTGCTGCGTACGGGTCTTCCGCTCTTGGCTATATATAATTGTCTGCAGCCCGATAGCCCGCTAGAGATCGATCCGGCCGCCACCGAGACGAGGCGATCCAAGATAGCCATCTTCAAGTTCGTCGAAGCCTGCATGAAACAGCTCAACATCCCCGCGTCCGAGTGCTTCGTGATTAGCGATCTGATGGGAAACGATACTACCGGGTTTGTTAAGGTATATCCGGCCCCGAGCAATCCCGAGCGTTGCCCTCGACGCGTGCGATCCTGCTTGCTCGCCGCCCGTTCTCGGTCCTCGTGCTAACTTTCCCCGACTAGGTGACCCAAGTTGTAAACCACGTCCTCGACCTCGCCGAACAACGAAACTTCCTACTCCAGATTCAGCCTTACCCCGAGGATAACGGCCCAATATTAGCACCAGCGTCTCAGATGACATACCGCGATCACATCATCCAGGAACTCGTCGACACCGAGCGCAAATATGTCCAAGATCTCGAGAATCTCCACGATTTCAAGAAGACATTAGAGCAGAAGGGCGTGATTCCCGGTGATATCATCCACCAGATATTCTTGAACATCAATGCCATCTTGGATTTCCAGAGACGATTCCTGATTCGTGTCGAGACTACCAACTCGATGCCACGAGACGGTCAACGATGGGGTGCCCCCTTCGTCACCTACGAGAGCGGGTTTGAAATCTACCAGCCCTTCATTGCGAACCAGCGGAAGGCGGGTCAGATAGCTAGCCAGGTCTTCGACAAGATCCAGGGCACCGACCACCCTGTGTCCTTCGATTTTAATACGCTCGATAGCTTCCTCCTAAAGCCCATGCAGAGACTAGTCAAGTATCCTCTATTACTCAAGGTTCGATACTCTCGCCCTTCAAATTCGTATAGGGCGAAGCTAACGCGCATCAGGGCCTAGTAAAAAAGTGCGAAGACGAAGAGACCAAGTCCGATCTGATAGCGGGTATCGACGCAGCGGAGCGAGTCCTTACAAAGGCTAACGAAGCAGTCAACCACGACCTTCTAGAGGAGGCACTGGAAGACCTTAAAAAAAGGGTGGATGACTGGAAGAATCATCGCGTAGAGCAGTTTGGAAGGCTAATATTGCATGGCATATACACCGTCATTACCGGCCGCAGTGACCAGGAGAAGGACGTAAGTCCCAGGATCGCGACTCTCCCCTTATGGTCTTGGGTGGAGAGAAGAGGGCTGACAGCATTCTAGTACGAGATATACCTATTCGAGAACATTCTCCTCTGTTGCAAGGAGGTGCAGCCGAATAAGACGAAGGATAAGAAGGACAAGAACAAGATTGCCCCCAAGATTCCGAACAAGAACAATAAACTTCAGCTTAAGGGGCGGATATTTATGACTAATGTGACGGAAATCTTGTCGTTCGCGAAACCAGGTAAGCAGATGACCAGCCTGCCGGCGACATCCAACCTAACCAATGCGTTCAGGCTCGTATACCGTACAGATTTGGTGGAAGGGCGATCCCGGGGTGGAAAACTTTATTATTAAGTTCTCGAACGAGGAGACGATGAAGAAATGGGAAACGGGGCTGGTCACCCAGAAGAGGGAAAATGCGCCGGCTTCGACCACCAGTCCTGACCAACCCACTCCAGACTTCGCCTGGATGCGAGGCCAGAACAATATCGAGAATCCCTACGCCCAGAACGATGAAGATGACGACGACGACGACGAGCAACCGCAGGGGCAACCTCCGTCGAGCCTCGGCTTCGGGGGCTCTGCGACTGGCGGGGTGATGAATCGAAATCCGTCCAGCACGAGTCTCAGGACACGATCTGCGACTACAGAGAGCCTCGCCAGCATCGCTCGAGCGCCACCGCCGCGGTTCCCCCTTCCGGCGCCGTCCGGGCCGTTGAGCCTCCAGACCCAAGGGGGTGCCCAGTCGCCTAATCTTCGTCCTGGCGAGTCTTATTTCTCTCCGACGACAGAATCCCCCGCGTCCTCGCGCACAAGCACAGCAAGCACCTTGTTTGCGCCACCCGGTCAGTATCCCTTCCCAAGGACTGGAACACCCCAAGCAGGTCGGGAAGACAACAACCGTTATACTGCACCTGCTATGCCGCGCGCTCCCTCGAGAGATGGCCCATCCCCCTTGAACGGAAGGAATCCTAGAGGACCTTCGTTACCCGTTATGGCTTCACAATCGCAAACCCTGGCTCAACAGCAACGTAGTCGCTCCTATAGCACCCCAGACATCAATGGGCAGGCGAACGGGCGTAGAACCAATAATAGCACGCCAGTCCCCGCCGTCCCCGGAATCCCACCTCACCTTCACCCTGCACACGATGCAAACATTCCACGGTCTCAAACCGGCTCCCCCAGACAGGACCTCCCGATCCGTACTAATACCCAGAGTCCAGGTGTTCAACGTGAAAGGTCAGACCGGCAAACCGGTCAATACGGTGGAACTATGGCCCAGTTCCCCACGCAGCCTGTCTACCCCCGGCAGTCACATCCCGTCCCGCCCGGGGCAGCCCCGGGAGGAACGGCACCCCAGCCACCGAGCCTTGAGAACCGCGGCCCTGGGTCGCCTCCCCTGGGCACTGCCACGCAAGGCAATCCTCTCACAAATCCAGACTTAGCGATTCCCGCGCAGCTAAAGGTCAAGGTGAATTGCGATAACGGGACCTACTTCACACTAGTCGTTCCGTTCAACATCGCGTACCAGTCGCTGATCGACCGCATCGATGCCAAGCTTGCACGATTCACGAACAGCTCGATTGGTAAGGGCAATTTGAAGCTGCGGTACCGTGACGAGGACGGAGATTCCGTAACGATCGAGAGCGACGACGATATTCAGATCGCGTTCCTAGAGTGGCGCGAGAGCGCACGCAACATGTACTCCAGCGGCGTCGGTGAGATCGAACTCTTCTGCGTCGGAGAAACAGCGTGAGCGCGTCAAGCACCCGGGGAACTCGAGACAGGAAGGCTTTACGGATACGCCAATGTGGGACATCTTTAATGGGACGGCCGAGGCACGGTACTAATCTAGCCTGCATTCTATATCGATGTAGTTGCTCACACCAATAGTGCTTCGGCCGCGTGGGTATGCCAGATTTCATCCTCCGGATCTCGGACGACGTTCGTTTCACGACTTATACTATTCTTGGACATACTTAAGATACCAGACCTCTCTTGGTCACATGTGTTCTTCCGGCGAAGGGCTCCTCCCAAACTTTAAGGGACTCTCAGAGACCCTCTCCCGGCAACGCGGCAACCCGGTGCTGCAGCAGGAGACCACCCTCGACCGCCGAAGATATCGCCACCGCTACAGCAGGACTGATTCTCTCGAAGCCCCGACGAGCTCTAAAATTCTAGATCGGGTTCGATTCCTGGTTTTCCCATACCCCAAATCACACCATTCGTACTAACAAGCACGACCGATAACCAAGAGTCGACGAACTTTGATTAAGATTGGCTAGTCGCGGCCACTACTCTAAAGGGGGCCATCAGTAGAAGGGAGGACAGTGAGGTGTTTCGAACTTTAACAATGTTCGATAACCTTGGACGGGCCGGCGCTAGTTATAACGGATGGCGGTTCTACTATCTGACGCATCTGACTTAATAAGCATCGAAGATGAAGTTAGGAACGGATTACTGTCGCGATATTGGAAAGGGGAGGGGGAGGAAGCAAAGCCGAGCGGGATTCTCGCACGGCGAGTAGAGTGGAGGGGCCTCGTAGCTCTGGAATGTTGGGACATAGCAAGTATAATGGCAGGTTCTATCCAAGAGTCTGGAGAGATATCAAAGTTTGAGAGCTCGCTGCTTTTCTATAGAAGGGAGGTCTATGAAGTAAAGATTTCAAGATGTTGTTGCGTTTAGACCTCGTAGATTTATCGAACTAGGGTTCACCCCTGATATATCTCTAGCATCTTCGTGTGTGGTGATTGATTACCTACCCGCCACCGTTGCTAATAACAGACGTGTGAAGGGTACTGTCTGGCCCAAGTTATCCGTCACCGGTCGAGGGGGGAAGGAGGGTGGTGTCGACGGACGTGTTCCTCCGTGTTTTTCCTATTACGCCCAACTCGTTCCGGAACGTTGCTCTGGTTAATCTCATCCAAATTAGCAGAAATAAGCGACCTGCCGCCGACATGGATCCAAGACAGGACTGTTTCTCACCCACCTATACCTAGTATTCTCGGCCCGCTGAAGCACGGATGCGCAGAACAGCTTGGAGGGGGCCGGGCGTACTTGTAGCAGACCGACCTGCTGTCTGCGCTACCTACCGCCCTGCCCCCAACCTAATACCTCCTTGTATACTCGCAACACCTCGACGACCACTCACGACCTCCGCCGCGACGTCGACGTCAAAGAAAGCACCCGCCCGTCTGTCTGCCCTCTCCGTTCGCCCCCGGCTGGCATCCAGCGCCTCGTGCGAACCCCGACAACATGCGCGCGTCCGTGCCTACGGGCCTCGTCCTCGCCCTCGCCGGCGCCGCGCTGGCGAAGCCGGAGCAGATCCGCGCCGTGCAGGCGCCCGTCTTCCACTACTACCTGCAGGCGTACCCGGAGGACCGTGAGTCTACCTCTCTCTCTCTCTCTCTCTCTCTCTCTCTCTCTCTCTCTTCTTCTTCTTCTTTCGGCCGCCTCCTAGGCGCGCGCTCCATTGCGTCTCTCGCTAAGCGGCGGCGGCGGCGGCGGCACGCGCGCAGCGACGATCCCGGTGCTGGGGCCGGAGGCGAGCAGCGAGTTCTTCGCGATCGGGGGCACGATCCAGAGCGCGAACACGTCGGCGTACCTGAACGTCGAGGGTGCGGGCGCGGGCGGGCCATCGTACAAGACGCTGACGTTCGCGGCGGGCGCGAGCGCCGGCGCCGGCGCAACGGACGCCTGGGCGCTCGAGGGCGACACCATCATCACCCGCCACGCCAGCCCCTGGGGCCGCCAGCTCAACTTCCTCGCCTGCCAACTCGCCCCCGACTACTGGCAGGTCTACCTCCAGACCGGCAGCGACGTGCCCGCCGGCCGCACTTGTAGCAATTACCAGAGCCTGCACTTGCCGTGCCTGTGCTAGGGGGGTACCGGTAGGGCGGGAGGATAGGGCGGGAGGATAGGGGAAGGGGAAGAGGGGGAGAAAGGAGGGATTAGGGATGTCGAGAGAGGAGAGGGGGGGAGGCAAGGTAAAGGGGTGTATGATTATACGTGGGTATATAATCGAAAACGCGATATAGCGGTCCTGTCCCCTAGCTCGGCTTGCGGCGGGAACCGATGCGAGTTTGAAGCACCTACGTAATCGACGCCCGAGAGCATGTGTACTCGTAGGACACATAGACACGTAGACACCTAGATATCCTTACGTGTGTAAATGCATACTGGTACATACACCCGACTAAGAGATACACAACAAAGAAGGCCTCGAGTTTTCCGGAGCTCAAGCTGCTTGCTCATGTCTAGCCGGTATTTATTACCGTATATGTGCCCGTCCTCCTAAGCGGGAGTAAGGTAGGTAGGTATCTCTTTTTTCTTCTTCATGCTAAGCCGATATATCCATCTGGTAAACAACAACCAGGATACGGCCACTGGGGGCCCGATTCGGTCTGGGCAACCTCAGGCTCAAGCCGTAACGCCAGGTCGTTCGTTCGCGAAAGGAGTTTTTTCCTGCTGTCCCCGATGCAGTCTCCCTCCCTCTCTATATCACATCGTACAAGGCGGGCGTAGCGCAGGCGTAGCGCAGGCGCATCGACGCTCTCGAGCATCGGCCGAGGGGAACGAACCGACGCACGACAGCTCCGTACTTCTTGCCGTATCGCATGCCACCTCTCTCTCTCTCCCAGCCCTGGCTGTCTCACTTTTTCTTCCTCGCCGGGTACGTAAGCCGGTCTTTGAAGCGGGCGAGGTGGAAGTTGATCTCGTTGCCCTTCGGACGCGACGGCTGGGGGCCGTCCATGCACTCCCGCAGCGCGTTCTCGATCTGGGCGCATCCCGCCGTGCTGTGACCGGCGGACGCCCAGCAGGCTAGGAAGCAGGCGAGGCGGGATGGTTAGCGGGCGGGCGAGAGGAGGGGGGTAGGTAAGGGCCGGGATATATGTAGGTAGGTATATAGGTGTACGCACCGAGCACAGAGGACATGATGGCCATGCACGGGCGCTCGCGCTGGCCGTTCGGGTTGCGGACTCGGAGAGTCTTCAAGGGGGGAAGGCGGATCGGCTTCTGCGACGCCGACATCTTGGATGAGGGACGATCGTAGCCGTACGGTTTGTCGGCCGAGTCTGGGGCGCTTTTTTTTTTCTTTCTTCTTTTCTCTTTTCCCGCTCTCTTCTCTCCCCTCCTCCCTTTCTGATCCCGACCGGTGCGTAGTCAGTCGCCCTTACGAGGGGGGTGGAGTTCGTATAGCACCGAATGAAAAGAATTTCGCCGACGGATAATCTTCGCGGGTCTTCTTCTGCGCGCTCAGTGCCGGCGGCGAGCGAGTGGGAAGATTGTCGGCGGCACCGTGGAGCTACTCAAAGGCTGGGCAACGGATGGTGGGGGGAACAGCAGGAGAGGAGAGCAAATGGAGAGCCAAAGGGTAGCCAGGTCACGTGGGTGGCTTAATCGGACGTAAGCCGCCACGAAGAGGCGTCCAATGACAGCTGATGACAGCGGCCGGGGAAGCACATCTCGGTTCACACATGTAATACCTCTAAACGTACATTCTGCAAACGTCCGTATGACACGGTACGTAGTATGGCTATTGGCTGTCTACCGACCTTCTCCATATGGCCCGATGCTGTCTGAGTATCGTGCGCCGCCGCCGCCGGTCGGTCGAGAACCTGCTTGCGCTACCCTCCAGGTAGGTACCTGACCTCATAGGATACCCAACCTTACGGGTATGTTAGGTACATGAGGCGGGCTAAGAGGCGCTGCAGGTACCTGATCGCATAGGGAGCTCAGGCACTCCACCTGTCCCCCGCGCAACCTCTGACAAGCTCCCCGCGCGTCAAGGTACCGTACCTATATGGCTCATAGCAATGCGACGGCACAGTCCAACAACCCTCCTGCAAGCCATTCTAAGAAGGCCCGCCGCGTAGGAGCGCCTGTGCAAACGCTGCTTGGCCTTTTTCATACCGGCCGAAGAAAACACTCGCCGCTACATCACCAGCATCACATGTCTGTCCATCGGAGCCTCGCGGTGTCGTCGTATTCGCCTCGTTCCCCTCCCATGCCCCCGTATCGCTGCTGCATCGCTCCCAACGCAACGTGGATGCATGGAATTTTCATCCAATTGCTTAGTCTCACTTCCCCCCCGGTCCTCGTCCGAGTGCTCGCCCCTCTCCAGCTGCCTGGGAGCAAACTGCCTACCAAGCCTACCAACCACCCTGCCCTCTTCCTCTGCGCAATTTATTCCATGCGCTAGCCGGCCCAGGTTCATATAAATATTCTGTCTCGTTTCCTTCCTGAGACGCCTTAGTTCGGCCGTCCTCGCCTTGGGGAATTCTGCATGGACATGCATACCCGTCGCTTGGCTTACCACATCACCACACTCTGGATGTTGACATGCGATACCGCACCACCTATCTCTCATGCCCTCCCTCGCGCCCGTACTACGTAGTACCGTGGGTGCTGCTGGTAGCACACCTAGTGGTGCCATCCGAAGCCGGGCGAGCGGTCGGATCGACCCTGGCTAACCCTCTCGACCTACGTCGCCCAGCTTGTCTTAGTCGACAGTGGGACGCGTGTACTACCTACACGACGATGTCGAGGTGCGGCAGCGTCTTCCGCTCTCTGGGCTCCTCCCTCTGGCAACTAACTTGCCCTTCTCTCCTCCCCGGGAATAAGAGCGAGCTGTCGAGCTATCGAGATGCAACGTAGTCACTATCGAAGCGAAGCCAGCTTAGGGCATCCTACTTATGCGCCACTTACAGATCAATTTACGATGACGTACCTATAGATCTTAGCCAACCTTCTTTTTTCCCCTCGCGTCTCCACGAAGCCTCGTATAGGACACCTAATCGGCTGTGTTCACGCCGGGCCCAGCTGCAAATACCTATAGCGCAACTGTGACGGGTCGCCGCAGACTGGGTTAACGTCGTGATAGTCGATGGTCAAGTAGGTATCACTACACATCTCAGCCTCCACTGGTGTCACAAGTGAATCCCTTCCCGAATCTCGCATTGGCCATCGGGCTTAAACTGCTTGTACGCTGTGTCTCTTTCGAGCACAGGATTGACCCCATCTAGTATGTAGGTATTCGCCAGGCTATCTTGGCTTGTTCCTAACGCACGTAAAGTTAACCTGACGGTGCGAGGTAGGCCGCACACGTACGACGGGTGGTTGCCAGCATGGCCGAGATCGCGAAGGCCCAGCTCGTTGGTCCTCCTCGGGCCAGTCGCCTAGCTCTCCTCGGCTGCGATGGATCACTACGCTACCTGTTAGGTGGTAGCGTCCCCACCCCGAGTTCCTTTCCATCCTCAAGTCGATGGGATCAGATAAAATAAGACAGACGAATTTATCTTATCAATCTGATCACAATTTTCGTTCGTAGCGCCCGGGACTGAGTCGACTTAACCAGCCCAATCCGGCCTGGTCGAGACCGGGATTTCTTGAGCTATGGGTCCCTAGGAATTCCTTACAACCTCTAGTCTACTGGCATCACCGAAGACCTTCCTCCTTGGGAACGCCATGTTGCAACCCAGCTACGAACGCTGCGCAACCACACCTTTATTTAGGGATTGCCCTTTCAGCTCGGAGACATGTCCTGGCGCGGTTTTACGTAACCACCCTTCCTCGCGGTAGAAGCTATGAAAGGATCTCGAGACTTGCGTAGTAAAGGTAGGTACCTGTCTAAGGGTTAGAGACCGCGGGCAGGTAGTGTGAAGCGGCGAGTATCGCGATGCCGATGCTTGATGCTAGTAGCTCTCTTGGTTTCCGATCCGTCCGCCGGCCGACTGCTTTCCGTCCATCCTCTCTGCCGTATCCGGGCTTCATCTCATTGATTTTTCGCAGGTACCTAATCGCCTATGTTTTCTAAGCTCTGGATATCGAATCACGAATCATGGTGGGCGATTACTTCGCCTCTCTTTGAGCCTGGGTCGCTCGATGTGTGACTTGGAAAAAAGGAGGAAAAGAAAAAAAACCCACTCGATCCCTCCATCCAGGTCGCGATCTCGCCCCACCCCCAGCCAGTGTCCTTCTCGTTGGTTGGATTCCGATGCCCGGGGTTCGAGCAAGGTCGTTCTCGCTATGCATTCGCGTACGGCTCCCTCCATCCTTCTACCTTACTTCGATGCATACTAGGTACGTGCAATTTACTGTGTTATCCATAGGGCTATTTAAATAGCTGTCAGTCCCCTCCCCCTCTCTTCGATGCTGCTCTCTCGCTTCCCTCTCCCCCGCGACCGGGTCAAGTTTGGCTATAGGTACTTACCACCGGCGAAAGGCTTCGCACTTCATTCCATTCCCCACCATTGGAGCTTGCCTAACCCTCCCTCACGATGATGAGAGGACCGCTCGCCCGGTTCGGCCGGCCCCTTGTGGTGCCGGTGGTCGAATCGGAACAGAAGGAGCACGACAAGGAGCACGACAAGGAAGCCGGCGCCATCGACGTACCGCCGCACGCCAGCGAGTCCGACTCGGATGCGATCGACACCACTGCCCAGGCCGGTGTCCAGAAGATCGAGGCCACTACTAAGGTCTGGTCGCAACGGGATCTCATCCTAGCTTATATCTTGTAAGCGACAACGGGCTCCTACACGTTTCTTTGCGTTATTCCTTGTCGCCTAATACCTACATGCTTCTAGTATCTGGATCATCTACTTCGTCGACTCCATGCAACAGGGCATGGGCAATCTGTTTGGTCCGTACGTCACGAGCACATTCTACCAGCATTCCTTGACTGCCACCACCGGTGTCATGTCTGGCATCATCGGCGGTGTTTCGAAGCTCCCTCTGGCCAAAATCCTCGATATCTGGGGTCGTCCCCAGGGCTTCCTCGTCGTCGTCCTCATCATGACACTCGGTCTTGTTATGATGGCGGCGTGCGAAAATGTCGAAACATACGCCGCTGCGCAAGTGTTCTACTGGGTTGGGTATGAGTTCACCTCTCTCTGTCTCCGTCCCCCCCGAGCAACGAGCACTTCATCTCGAGCCACAAGGGTGCTAATTTCTTCTACGAGTATAGGTATAACGGAATTAGCTACTCTCTCTCCGTCTTCATCGCCGATACGTCCTCGCTGAAGAACCGAGGTCTGATGTTGGCCTTTATCAGCTCCCCTTACATCATCACCGTATGGATTACAGGTCCCATGGCCGATCATGCCCTAACCGGTATTGGCTGGCGATGGGGATTCGGTATCTTCTCCATCATCACTCCGGTCATGTGCCTGCCCCTGTTCTTCCTTTTTACTTGGAATTACGCGAAAGCCCGGAAGGCTGGCCTGCTTGCCTTGACTTCTAGCGGCCGAACAACTTGGCAGTCCATCAAGCACTACTTCTGGGAATTCGATATCGTCTGCCTGATCCTGCTCTGCGGTGGCTTCGCGCTGTTCTTGCTTCCGTTCAACATCTATTCTTACCAGTACTACGGCTGGAGAGACCCCCTGACCATCTGCATGATCGTCTTTGGCGCTCTGCTCCTCGTCGCCGCCGTTCTCTGGGAGAGGTTCCTGGCGCCCGTCAGGTTCATGCCCTGGGAACTCCTCAAGGACAGGACTGTGCTCGGAGCCTGCATCCTGTCCGCGGTCCTGTTTGTCGAATTCTATGTCTGGACCGCCTATTTCACGTCTTTCCTGCAGGTCGTTATGAACTTGTCCGTAACGCAGACCGGCTATATCGGCAACATCTATAGTGTAGGGTCGTGCTTCTTCTCGTTTATCGTCGGATGGATAATCCACCGCACCGGCCACTTCAAGCAGATTACCCTGTACTTTGGCGTGCCGATGACGATTCTCAGCATCGGTCTCCTCATCCACTTCCGGCAGCCCGACACCCACATCGGATTCATCATCATGTGCGAGATCTTCTACGCCTTTGCCGGCGGCGCCTGCGTCATCGGCGAGCAGATCGCCGTCATGGCCGCGGCAGCCCACCAACACGTGGCCGTCGTGCTCGCCATGGAAGGCATGTTCAGCAGCGTGGGGGGTGCTATCGGTGGCTCGATCTCGGCGGCCATCTGGACGGGCCTGTTCCCCGTCAGGCTGGCCGAGAACCTGCCGCCCGAGTCGCAGGCAAACCTCACCGACATCTACGCCAAGCTCCCGACGCAGCTCTCGTATCCGATAGGCTCGCCGACTCGAGACGCCATCATACTCTCGTACGGGGAGGCCCAGAAGTGGATGTTTGTCGCCGCCACGGCGATCACCGGGTTGGGCCTCGTGTGCGTGATGATGTGGCGCGACATCAAGGTCAAGGATCTCAAGCAGGTCAAGGGTCGGGTGGTTTAAATGTCGTTTCCCGGCACTCTGCCGACAGACAGCGTGGCGCCTTTCGAATTGTTTAGTTATAGGATTCGTTGTCACCCTCGCGCCAGTTAGGTCCTATGTAGTCTTCTATCTAGCCCGTAATTACTCGCGGTTAACCAGCACTAATGGGCCCATAGCTTCGCCTTTTTCGGTCTTGTTAGTCGTGTTGATGTTGTTGTGATCAAGGGGGGTTTCGCTTTCAAGAGGCGATATTACAGTGAACGAACGGACGGCAGTCACGCGATGATGAGTTGATACCTAGGTAGTTTATGAGGAGAGGTACGATAGCTAATGGATTCCCCGAGTCGGGCTCGCGTGACGGCGACTATTCTGCGTTGGGTTATGCAAGAGGCATCCGAGTTGGATACAAATCCTTCCCATAACCACGAGTGGCTGCAGGCCAGACCCCAAGGTTGAGCTGAGATGACGATGGGAGACGATAAAAGCAGTTGATCTGTTGCATTCTAAATGTTGTTGTTTTATAGGTATAGAAAGCCCCATGCCATTCATATACCCTCTTCAAAGTAGGTGTCGTGGATTACGTCCCCGGCCTCAACCCAGTTGTATTAATATACACGACCACCATATACCTGTGTCTGCCTCTTCTTTGGCCTCCCTATATGAATATTCTTCCTAGTTAAATATTCCAGGTACTACCTCGGTACTAGGAAATTAAGTGGGGTCCGAGAGCGTGGAACATTTAATTAACAGATACTTGTCTCAAGCTTTCACGTCGATGCTAACCTTTCCAACGCCTATACACTAGGTAATCTATACAGACCGATCCACTCATCCCGTCCCTCTGCCAAGCCTCCTCGACTTGTATACGCGATATTGTGTCGTTGTATGCGTCCTCATCGCTTGCGGCATTGCTCGGCTGCCTAGAGGAGATACCTACGTGCCCAAGCATATCCATTCCCTTTTCGTGTCTCCTTCTCGCACGCTCTCTGCCTTCTTCTCCGGCACGCAAAGCCGGACAGCCATACCTCTCGCACTCGTCGCAGCGCAGCGGGTCCGCCCCCGGGAACGAAGAGCGTGCGCGCGACGAGGCGCGCGAGCGGAGGCAGGATGCGGGAGCTGTTCCTGACGGCGTCGGTTCGGGACTCGGACTTCGGGATGGCGCGGGCGGTGCTGGAGGGGCTGTCGTGGATGCGGGCGCGGCGGACGACGCACCGGATCCTGTTCCTGCACGGCCAGCCGCAGCCGCGGCAGCTCAAGAACCTGCCGCTGTTCCAGCAGTCGCGGTACCTGCCCTTCTGGAAGGAGCTCAGCAGCCACCTGGCGCGCTCGTCGTACGTCGTCCAGACCGCGTACGAGGCCGTGCCCGAGCGCGACTTCGGCACCGGCGCCGCCATGGAGTTCAACCTCCTGCCCGCCACCCTCCGCTGGACCGACCTGCCCGACCCCCTCCGCGACCTCCCCGTCACCTCCCGCAAGAAGATCGAGATCCCCGACCAGACCAGCCTCCTGCCGGCCATGGCCGAGAACGGCTTCCGGTGAGTTCGCGTCGACCTTGCCCGATGATGATGATAATGGTTGATGCATTGCTGACGGGTCCCGCCTGCAGGTACCAGAGCGAGGTGATACAGGAGAGCTACTCGCTGGTGCGGGACAACGTCGAGTTCGTGTTCAGCCGGTACTACCACGTGCCGACGGACGCGGGGGCGGCGGCGGGGGCGGGCCCGCGGCCGGCGGCGTCGCTCCCCGCCTGGGCGGACCTGCGGCCCGTCGACCCGGCGCAGAAGTGGGTGCTCAACGTCAAGCTCAACGTCTTCGACGACACCCAGCCCGACAAGGTCAAGAAGGCGCTCGAGGAGCTGCTGGCCATCCGCGCCGAGCTCGCCGGCGTCTTCGACTTCCGCCCCATCGACCGCCGCGTCTTCGACACCAGGATAGCCCCGCCGCCCGCCATCCCAGGCCGCGGGTAGGCAGTCGGCTGAGTAGACGGACAGATGGATGGTAGAGGTATCCGGGGGCGTTTAGGGCTTTTTCTTTGCTCACATGTGTCGGTATTGGGTGGGTGGGTGTGAGGAGTTGGCCCAGCATCATCGGTCTCGGTGCGGCCTTCGTATGGTTATTCCGCCACGTCGATACGCTGTCTTACTGTTACAGCGACGAAGTGTGACGTAATTCCAGCGTAGTTCCCAAATTGTCGGGGCCAGTTTAAAGCGCGTATTTTATTACGCTTCCGGACTTAACTACGAAGGTATCCAGGATATACACGAATCCCTTGCTTGCACGAGGGGCCCCCTCTGTTTGCTTTCCATAGTCGGTGAATAAGTAGGGACTCGGTCGACAACCGGTAGCATTAATAGCGGCCCGCAACGTCTAAGGAGATACTTCGGCCGGGTCGTCCCGATGCCGGGAGGTTCCTCTTACTAGCTGGCTGACCTCCCTACGCGGCTAGGCTAGACGGCCAAATCCTCACATCGCTATCGCCACTCTATACCTAACTCAAATACTCCAGAGACCGCCCACTGCCCACGGTCATCGGAATATCTATCATGTATACATCCCGTCTCTTTCGGCCGCCAGCACAACCTCGCAGGGGCGGGTACCGTGTCCGGGATCGGACGCAGGAACATACGGGACTGTCCCAGTGGCATGGACCTCTCAGGTCCGCCGCTCCTATAGGGGAATCCGACCGAGGGAGGGCGGCCTCGATCCGCTTAGTGTGCCTCCACCGAGAAGCCGCTTGAGGCTGAATCCCTTGCGTGACATTCATTATGTTAAAGGGGGAAAGGGGAGCGGGGGTGGATGAAGAACTACGTGATTCACTTTGTACCTCTTGGGTGAATGGAGTAAAAGACAGTCCTTCATACATTGTCTGTAGTAACAACTAGAGATTGCAATGGGGACGTTTATCCTTTCTCAAACCAACCAGTAGGATCAACGCTGCCAGTGTGTCTTGTGATAGTATATTTCAACCCCATGTATGTATAACGACGTATTTCTATGCGCTAATAATATGTGCATAGCCGTGGTCGAGGCTAACCGCTAAGAAGCCGGCGGCATGAAACACTTCCCCCCCACAAACGCCCCCCGCGAGCCGAAGCCACGGCACCGGCGCGGGAACCAAGAACTCGAGCTCGCCGCCGACGGCCGGCTCCACGGCGGAACCCGCCGCGCGCCTCACGCTCTACACGAAGTAATAGCCGAAGCAGCAGGCCCCGTGTGGGGCCCGGTTCTTACCAAAGTCGAACTCCTCGACGCCGTCGGACTGGGAATAGTACGCGCGCCGCAGCACTTACAGGCAGTGCCGCGGCGGGTATGGACGGCACAGGGTTTAGGTCGTCGTCTTCGATATTACACTTGAGCTCGTTTGTCTGCGGGCGGGGATCAGTCAGCCGGATGTCGGGCCGGGCGGCGACGGCCACTTACTCGGTACCAGCGCGTCCGAGATCGGCTCGGACACGGCCCCGGGCCCCTCGCCCCGAGCAGGCCCTCGGGAGGACGGAGAGGAGTAGACGAATTCCAGCGCGACGGCGGGAAGGGGTATACGAGGGGCGGTCCCCGTAGTCACATCTGATTCTTGCCGCGGGAGCTGGGTCGTGCTCCTCGCGCATCTAAGGCCCGCGGGGAGGTGAAGGCGAAGAGCTGAGAGAGGGCTCCTCCGAATCACCCTCCTCGGTGCTGCTTACCGGGAGATTGTATCTATACATTGTGTCTGCCATCAAGAGGCGCTCGCCCGAGAAGGGGTTCACCGCCTACTCCTTGTCGGCTGTACCCGAGGCTACCGAGAGTAAAGATAGAGAGATTGTTTAAAGTGTGCACTCGTTCTCGCAGGGGAGCAATAAGATAGTATGGCGGGCCGTCTCTGCTCCAGAGTCATAGGTCAGGGTTGGCGGATATGACAACGACAACTACACAGGCACAGGGGCCCATCCGAGCCCGTCAGTGGCCGGCTTGACGTTATACAGAGGTTAGGTATATGTCGTAGTGCCCCCTCGATTCCATCTTGTTGTCACCATTCCGCACTAGCAAGCCGCCCCCCCTATTATAGATCCCCGCTTGCTATAAGTATTCGGCCGTAGGTAGCGGAAGTAGGACAAGCATGTTGATGAGTCTCTCCACGCTCCGCACATTCCTAGCTCGGACGGCGCGAGGCTGGCGTGGTGTTGGCCTCTTTCTCGAGACGCCCTCGCGCCTACCTTCCCGCCAGCCCTTTGCTAGCTACCTACCAGGTACGACTCACAAGCCAGGTGTGGTAGGTCTGGGACAAGTTTGGAGATGATGCCTGACAAGACAACCTACGCGTATGTAGTTGTGCTACAAAGGTACCTAGCTTTAGGCAGACCAAGGATAGGTAGGTTTCTCATATTCCGTATCGATTCCCCTAAACTTGGCTCCCTCCGCATGCCCCCGACTTGAGATCGCGATGGCACTACGCCTACGTAGTTGAGGTCTACCCTCCGACCTCTCTCGGGAGCATCCATATTCCAACACATCTCTCAGCTCCCTATTCCTAGCTGCCCGGTTGGCGCTTCTCAACTCGGTTATTCCTCCTTGGGTTTCACCTCCAGTAGGCTACGGTGAGCCAAGCTTTCTCGTGGTCCTTTGGGCTCGGTGCCTTGTTTATAGGCGTAGTCGCTGCTTATCTCGAGCTTTCACAACACACCCTGCACGCCTCGAGACACGAATACGGCATCGGACTTCCGTTATGGTCTGAAGCTCCATCGGTGACGGTCGACGTCGCCAAGAATATCAAGTATATTAGAGCCGCTCGCACGATGTGGAGCATTCTCAAAACATATTCTACGGGGATGACACTTCGGGCGAACGTCGCTTTGCGCTACCTGTTTCCGCACAGCCGCCCAAGGGGGCTATCATCGATGCCACCCAGTCTAGCGCTTAGTGCCCTCAGGGATTAGGTGATATACTTCCCTTCACGAGCCGCATTACCAATATCAGCGAAAACTGCCTGAGTTTGCGAATGACTCGACCGCGTAGTACGCCGCCAGATGCCAGGTCGCCAGTCCCGGTGTGGATTCACGGAGGTAAGATATGACTGCTTAGCAAACTCCAAGCCTAGTTAGCTTCTCATTCTTCTTCGCCGCATCCTCGAACTATGCCAATTTCCTCTCCGAACGTGAGGCGGCCACGCCCTAGGCTCAGCCTCGGAGATGCTCTATGAACCGGAGGGCCTCGTACAGCAAGCGGCGGCAGATGGGGAGCCGCTAGTATTTGCGACTATCAAGTACTGCTTAGGCTGTGAGTCCTGTACCATTTCAGCGAGCCGTGTAAGAGCTGCTTTGCCCCCTGACGTTACCCCGATGCTGACCGAGAACCGATGGGTAGAGTGGTGCCTGGCAGTCCGGGGCTCGGTTTCAATACCAAGGCCGATTTGGTAGCCAAAAATACGGCAGCCGTTGCCAATGAACTGGGATGCGTCAAGAACGACGACAGCCCATCTACAGGGACTGGGGTGTTTACGCGGTATCCCCATCGACACCTGGACAAATCTCTCGGCTTCAGCATCTCGTGCTGCTCGTCCTCCCTTTGAGTAAGCTTTCTTCTATCCTACATATGACGGTGATATAATCACCGACCGCCCTTCTCAACTTGCCCGTGCCGGCAAGTTCACTACAGGAATCCTAATCATCATATCTTGGGTATCCAATGATGGCGCATACCATGCGCCACCGACCACCTCAACCGACCAATAGGTCCTGAGTTCGTTCGGATTCTGGCTCCAAGGTCTGTCTGAGTCCACTAACCGAAAACTACTTGAGCTTTACCCCCTCCGAGACTTTGAGGCCATGATTCGACCAGACTACGACAGGCCCATCTCGCCCCAATACTATCATGCCGCCCAGCTCAGCCGCGATATCTAGCTCACCTACCCCATTGCCGAATTCGCATGGCAATACGTCAGAAACGGCGGTGTAGATAAGTCCCGAATGCATGTATACGAACACAATTCGACGTTGTACACACCATCCTTTAAAAAGATGGGCGTGCCTATGTGGCGTGTCGCGCACCTGAGCGATACCTATACCGCACGTACTGAATACCCAATACCTAGAAGAAGGGACAGGCGGTTCGGAAACGCAACTTCGATTATCGAAGTCGATAAGTCGAAATATCGCCAAGTTCGTTACCTCGGGTGTGCTTGACGATACACAGCCTGCTGCTTTCGCCACTGCGACTAGCAAGGAACCAGAAAACGAGTTATCCTTGCGACTATTTGGAGGGCCTCATCACGGGGTACCCGTTACGGTGAGAAAAACCGGGGGCGAGGCCGCCGCCACCGAAGCCCAGCAGGCTGTCAGGTGGAAGAAACTATTCGAGGTCATTAGGACGTCTTCAGCTATACCATAGGTAAACCGGGGCATTCTGATCCCGTAGAGGCCAGCGCGTATTAGGGGCTGTGAAGCCCCTTGCCCGCGTTCCCAAGGGATAGCGTGCCTCTTTGTCTTGGGATGTTGGTGGCGAAGGAACATCTACCGTGCCCGATTGGCTCATCTGCGATCCGCTCTCGCCTCGCCCCCCAACATCGTGAGGCGTAACCGGAAGCTAACCAACACGCAACGATCAGCTTCCAGGTCAATCCAACGTACCTCGATCCGCGCGGCCCAATCGATCGCGGCAAGATGTCTGAGACCTCAGTTTCCCTCCACCCTAGATACTTTGCTGTCAACCGTAGCTGCTCCAACACGACTGTTGCTTTGATTCTTTGACGGGTTTCTAAGGGGGATTCTTATTCTGCGCTCCTAACTTCTCTAGCATCCACTACTGAAACGGTGCCCAGGGCCGTGTACCGCTAAGGGTACAAATTGCTGCGCCGGATTTTTCGCGATCGAACAAGGTCTCCGCATGTAGATGTAGAAATGGGAGTCGTTAGACGTAAATGGCTACCTAGTGCTCCGCCTAAGTTCGTGATCGAACCCGAGAAATTGTTAACTTACGGCAGGTCCTATCGGCGGGATAAGTTAGGTTACCGCTTTACGAGCTACCCCTCCACGGGCTACCTAAATTAAGCATTACCTAGCAACTACTACGTTAATAATTAAAGCTATTTATATTACTAAAATTAATTAAAACCCTTTAATTCCGGCGTTATAACCTCGATATAATCCTCCGCTTACGATACCTCGTTTTTAGGCGTTTCTAGCGCTATTTTAGCCTCTCTAGGTACCTCCTTATCGCTTACCTTGTCCTTATATACTACCTTACTTCTTAACGACCT